TATAATATATTATATTATATTATATTATATTATATTTATAATTTATTATACTGAATATGTTAACTCTATTTTTATTGCTACATTACTTAAATGGTTAACCATGTGCAAATCCCGTAACATTAATAGGTACAACCTAAGTTAGTGGAGTTTGTACACCACCAAGTAAAAATAAAAATTGATCTTGTTAGCTTCCACTTTTTAAATATTTCCATACGCAATGTTAGGTGCAACAACAGATAAAGCTGTAAAGTTTTCAATTACTTTTTGGTTAAAACCTCCTAATGCACCTACTTTAGGTGGTAAAACTTATGGAATTCTAAGAGTGAGTACAGATACTGCAGATACAACTCCATCAACTCCAGATGGTATTAGATTAGCTGTTTACTTTTCACTTGATTCTGTAAATAGAGGATTTTATTTGGGATACTCAGAATCACCAAGTGATCCTATACTTTATACTGATATTACTTAGATGGCTGCAGCATACACAGGAGATTGGATGTTTATTTATGCAGGATTAGATTATACAATTGGAGAATTAAGTAATCAATTTAAAAACTATATAAGAAATCAGTACCTGGGAAACTAAATAAATATTTTGGCAGCAAAAGAAATTCTTTGCCTCAAAGGTTAATTTTAATACTCCATTAAATACAAATACAGCTATTGAAGCATTGTATTGGGGTGCTTAAAATAGTTTTTGTGGAGATATTAAAAAGTTAAAATGGATGCCTAATTACTATGAAACAAATGATGAAAATATATTTAAATTAGCTTATTTTTTAGAAGGTAAAACTAATGCAGGATGTTATTTATATCGTTTTGATAAAGTAGATAAAAATACAGTTACAAACATGGCAAGTTCAGGAACTTTAACTTTATAATAAAATATGAAATTCACCTATTATGAATTGGATTCATCCCATCCTGTTCTAACTATACCAACTGCTAAATGGACTACTTCTACAAATTCATATACATTTGGAACTTATATTCTATAAAAGAGTTTACCTTAATTTGGAGCAGATATTATCCTAATATAGAGATAAACATCAGGTGCTGTTAATTTATTCTCTATAAAATTAGCTTTATAATCAAATGGTAAATTAGGAATTCTTTTAACTTTGGAAACTGTTCAAAAATTATTAACTTAATTTGATTGTCTAGTTGACAAATGGTATTTTATATAAGTATCTATTGCTTTTGCAGGTAGTTTATAAAGTTAAACTAATACACTTTCTCATTATCATATTGTATCACCTGATGGATCAATATTTAGCGGATATGTTTAAATTACATATACAGCAACAATTAGTAGTAAATATACAAGTGGATCAGATAAATGTTATATAGGAGATACATTAAATCCTTATTAAGGAATTATTTAATTAAGATTTCTAAGATTTGAAGAAGGATTCTAAGTATTTATGAATAGTCCTTGTTAAACTGATTGTACTATAGGTAGATACAGTCTAACATCATCTGAAAATTATTGTTTTATTTGCAGTCTATCTGCTTAATTGGATAGTACATTTTTATGTACTACAAGTGCTTGTTCTAGTAACCATTATAAAATTACTGATATGACAAGTCATAATTTTTGTGCTTTTTGTGATTCAACTTAAAGTTATTATGTTAATCCCAGTTAAATTTGTATTTAAGCTTCATGTGGAAATGGTTATAAAGAACCTCCTGGTGAAGATTGTGATGATAATGGAACTGCTATTGGAGATGGATGTGATGCAAGTTGTGCTTACGAAAAAGGTTACAATTGTTCTCCTGCTACAGATTATGAATTAACAACATGTGTTAAATATTGTGGAAATGGAGTTAGAGATGAAGTTCTTACGCCACCTGCATTAAGTTTTACAGAAGAATGCGATGATGGTAATAATGTTTTAAGTGATGGATGTTCAGATTGCAAAATCGATACTGATCTTTGGGAATGTGGCTATTCATTCCCATCTTAATGTACATTATTATGTGGAAATGCTAAATTGAATAACGATGTTACATATTCATAAACTGAATAATGTGACGATGGTAATAATTCAAATGGAGATGGATGTGATTCATTATGTCAAATTGAACCTGATTGGATGTGTAGTGCTATACCATTATAAATGAGTGCTTGTATTCTCATTTGTGGAAATGGTACTTTAGATGCAGGAGAATAATGTGATGATGGTAATGTCATGGATAATGATGGATGCACTGCTTGCGTTATTGATTCAGGATGGGATTGCTCTGGTACAATATGTACACAATATTGTGGAAATGGAGTCAAAGATGTTATACCCTTAAAATCTATTAATGAAATTTGTGATGATGGTAATACTATCTAATATGATGGTTGCTATTTGTGTTTAGTTGAAACTGGTTGGACATGTGATGCAAGTAGTCCAAGTAAATGTCATATGTGTGGTAACAGTAAAATAGAACCTTATGAAACATGTGACGATGGTAATACAGTTAGTCTTGATGGTTGTAGTAGCACATGTTAAATAGAACCATCTTGGACATGTAATGGAGGGAATCCAGATTTATGCAATAATTGTGGAGATGGGAAAAAACAATAAATAGAAGATTGTGATGATGGTAATGCTAGTTCAAATGATGGATGTACAAATTGTAAAGTAGATTTATATTATGAATGTTCTGGTGGTTCTCCTGCATCACCTGATATATGTGTTAAGACTTGTCCAAATGGAATAGTATCAGGAAGTGAAGAATGTGATGATGGTAATAACACTAGTGGAGATGGCTGTCATTTATGTTTAATAACAATGGAATTTGTATGTGATAATTAAGTTTAACCTTCAGTATGTACACCAGATATTTGTGGAAATGGGAAATCTCATTCATTAAATGAAGAGTGCGATGATGGTAATCTAGTGGATGGTGATGGATGCAATAGTAGTTGTAAAATAGAAAATGGTTGGGATTGTTCTACAAAAATAAAATGTGTAGCAATTTGTGGAGACAATAAAAAAGTAATTGGAGTAGAAGAATGTGAGGATGGTAATTTAATTGATGGTGATGGATGCAATAGTAATTGTAAAGTAGAATTGTCTTATTCTTGTGATGGTGGTGATATAACAAAAAAAGATATTTGTACTGTTACTTGTGGAAATAATGTAAGAGATGCTAAAGAAGAATGTGATGATGGCAACATTAGAAATGGTGATGGATGTAGTAGTTTATGTTTAATTGAAACTTCTTTTGGATGTTCTTAAGTTTTAATGCAAGATAATGTCACTAGAGATGAATGTTATCCATGTATTTCTAATTGTGCTATGTGTACAGATACAGATATTGATGGATGTTAGTTATGTTATCATGGTTATTATAAATCAGAAACTTCATGTACAGATAATTGTGGCGATAATTACTATGCTGATTCATTTATGTAAGCATGTTTAAAATGTGGAGAAAATTGTGTTAGATGTTATAATAGTGCCTAATGTTTTAGATGTAATACTCCTTATGTCTTAGATGGAACTCAATGTATTGAAAAATGCACTGAGGGATATTACATTAAAGAACATGAATTAAAAGGATAATGGTGTAAGAAATGTCCCCTTCATTGCACTGTATGCGAAACAGAAACATTATGTACTAGTTGTGAAGATTTTTACTCTCCTTTAGGTACTTGCAAGTTCTGTGATATGGGAGAATTATGTTTAGCATGTGATTTTGAACTTAATACTTGTATAAAATGTAAATTGGGATTCAGACCAATTGAGGATAAATGTATTAAAATTTAAGATAAATGTGGAGATGGTTTAGTATCTATTAATGAAAAGTGTGATGATGGTAATCTTGCTAATGATGATGGTTGTAACAGAGAATGTAATATTGAAGAAGGTGCTAATTGTAGACTAATATAAAATGAAGGACCTTCAGAGTGTTTTGATATTTTAGGATGGGAGTTTGAATTGAAATCATTTATTCTTGATCCTTAACTTATCTAATTAACTTTTACCAATCAAATAAAATATGACGATATCATTATTAAAAATATTAGCACTTTATTCACATTATCAATAAATGGATTCACAGAGTAAGATTATTCTTATTAATTTGTTAATAAGAGTGGCTCAAATTAAACAATCTCTATCTAATTTACTTTTTTAAAAAATGTCATTTCTCAAACTCTTACTGTTACTTTGAAAGATCAAACTAAATTGACTAATTATTATGACATTAAAATTAACCCAGATAAAATTACCAAAAGTATTGATTTAGAGGATAAAGAATTTTATACTCAATCCTAAATTGATTTTTTTACTCTTTTGAGAAACCTTGCATATGGTTTACAAATATTGAATTGGATATTGATAGTAGGTGCAGGATTCTTAGATCAATAATATAGAATTTGGAAAACTATTGAAATACTTCAAGTGATATGCTGTTTATATTATATTAATTTGAGATCATACCCTCTCAATTCAGAATTATTGCTTGTTGATTTAAGATACAGTAATTTATACATTCTACCCAATTTCCTATAGTAATATACTGATGAATATCTATTATCATTAAGAAGATTCTCTATGGCTGGTTTAACTTATTAAGTAATTAACAATACTGGAGGATTATTTTTATTTTATCTTGCTATTTCATTAGTTGTTTATGCATTCACTAAAATAGTATATTATAAATATGTTCTATATGTTTTTGAAGTATTTTTAGATAAACTGGAATTTAGTTACTTTTTTAAATTTTATGAAGTATTTTTACTTGAACTTCTAATCAGTTGTCTTCATAATGTAAAATTTAATTCAATGGCTTCAAATTGGAGTGGTACAAATACTGTGATAGCCCTTATATTACTACTATTTATTATTTTAATATAAGTTTCTTTATTTTTGATATCATTTTTTAGAGATTATTTTGGTACTGAAGTAGAAGTTAAATCAATGTTTGGAACTTTAACTGATGGTTGTCATGATCATGATCGTAAACGTCGTATTTTTATGAGTCAATAGGATTTTATAAAAAAAGTTTTCATAGCTTATGCTATGATATATGTTGATGATCCATTTTAATAAATGTTATTAATCATTATCCCAAGAGCTGTTTTAAGTATTGCTTCCTGTTTTATAATGAAAAATTGGTTTTTAAGAGCAAAAGAAATATTTTCAGAATTACTTCTTTATGGCATTATTAGTCAATCTTATATGTTAGCCTTAGGAGATTTTATTGGAGATTTGGATAAAAAAGTATTTTATGGTTCTTTATGGGTTTATATGGTTTTGGCTTTTGAATTTATCCATGGAATGTGTAATACTTATTTGGTTTGGAGATTATTGTATGTATTAGAATCTAGTTTACCTGAAAATATTGATCCTACTGCAGGACAGAATAAAAAAATTGATTTATTCAGATAAAGAGGAGCAAAGAAAGATAGAGGCAAAACATAAAAAGAATTATAAGAAGAAGAAGATAGAAGAGCCAAATTAGAAGAAGCTAAAAGAAAAAAAAAAATAGATGCAGAATTAGCTTTAAAAAATTAAAATAGAGAAAAATGGAATGTATGGAATATGTAAAGGGAAGCTAACCCTGAAGAGAGAAAATTTGTATCAATTAAACATAACGAATTTGGTGATGTTTTAGAACCTATTCAACCTTCAGGTCCAAAATAAAATTAAAAATAAAATGATGAATTAAATAATTTTGATGATTTTGATTAGATGGATAATTTCTTTGGTAATCCATCTAAAATTGCTACCAATAAATCATAAATACTTAATTAAACAAGTCAATAATTTAAAGCACCATCCTTAAATTAAACATAATAAATGAATTAAACTTAATAAAACTAAATTAATCAAACTATGAACAAAACTATGAATCAAACAATAAATCAAAATTTAAATCAAACTTAAAAGTCTTAAAATATTGCATAATAATGGTTGGTTAATGATACTTAATAACCATTATTCTAAGATTAATCATTCAAACCTGCTAGTGCTGCATAATAATAATAAAAGTCCTAGATTAGTGCATTTTAATTTTAATAAGAGGCTCCTCCTCCAAAAAAAGATGCTCTTAATGATTCAGAATAAGAATCACTGAATAATGATAATCCATTTGATTTCTGATTTTCAATTAAGATAAAATTAATAATTTATAATCTTCAATTGTAATATTCCTTTTCTTACATATTTTCTAGATTGTATGTATAATTAATTACATTCAATAATATGAAAGTATGCCCTTATTTTAATAAGATATTTTTATTGGAACATGTCAATTGAATCATTATAAATGTATTTAACTAACATAAATTATATCCACTAATTAATGTATTTCTAACATACAAATTCTGCCTAAAGAAATATTCCAGTGATTTAATTACAAACCCCATTTAATAACTAGCAATATGTAATCTGAATAATCATAGTTGATAGCGCTCTCCTACTAATTAATATTACACAGTATCATCTTAAACAAGACCATTTCAAGAAAGTCCAAAATAAAATAAAACAAAAGAACAATTAGATTCATTATACATTAATCTAAAAAAGGAAAATCAAACTCTTAAAGATAAACTGTAACATATTAGTGCTTAAGTTGATGAAGCCTAATAAAAGTTGGATTATTATAAAAAATCATGATATTTATATAAAGCTATTTAATTTAAAAATTTTTATTTACAAATAAAAAATCGAATGTCAAATACACAACCAATAAATCCGGAATTATTTTCTGCACCAAAAAGTATAAAAAAATAAATAATTGATCCTATTCTTAAAATAGAAAGAGATTTAAAAGACAACAAATAATTAATCAATGAAGCTACATTCAAAGGAAATGATATTATTTAACTTTAATCCTAATAGCAAGAAATGATAATTAGTTTAGAAGAAAAATATCAAAGACTTATTGATTGTATGAAAGAAGTATTGCAAAAATTTCTATCATATGAAAATAAGAATTTTATAAGACTAAATGAAAATTATTATGGTAGGAATGAAAGAATTAAATAAATCATGAAAGACTTAGCAAATTTGTTTGATGTAAATATTATAGAGATAGATGATTTTAAAAGAGACTTAGTAATTTATAAAAAGTAAGATCCTGAATTGTTTCCTTTAAAAATTCGATAAACAAGAAACTAAAGAGAGGTAAATTAAGATGGATATATCGAAGATTTATTTACTTAAATAAAAGTGTCAGATGAAAAAGAATAATTCATCATAAATAATTAATCTCTACCACCTGATATAATTAGAGAGATAATTGTATAAAATGATACCTCAGAATAACATACAATTTAAATTTCTTTTAATTAACCTAATGATTTTGGATAAGAAATAACACTTTACAGGATTTATTAATTAGATATATATGATTAATCATTATCTTTACAACCAGCTAAAAGAACAGTAATGGAATTTAAGAATAACAAAGACTTTGTGTAAATCTAAAAATTAAGTTTTACATTAAATAATCCATTAAATGTAGGTTAACTTCCTTTTAATGAAATGATCTATTTATCTGTAGAAGCTTAAAATAGTAATGGATGGTCTTCAGAATATGAATTATGCCCAATAAAATTATATGTTAAATATTAAGAGCCCTTTTCTATCTATTTATAAGGGATAATTAACTCTACTTTAATAGATGATTAAATTTAATTTTTAGAGATTTTTGAAATTCCATAGATAATAAATGAGGAAGATAAATAATTTCTGTTAATTGAAGATTATAGTCTAGTTTAATTAGAAAAAGAATAGATAAGAAATGTATCTATTAAAAAAGAGTAAATTTTTATATAAATGATAGCACAGTAGGATTTGTGAATACTTAATTTTAAGCTTGTTAATGGGGTAGCATTTTAAATTTCTATGATTAAAATATTACTTAACATTTTGATGTAGATCCAAAGAGAGATTTTGACATAAGTCCTCCTTATCATATCAATACGGATAGAGCTATAAGTAAAATAGCTTGTGGATTATATCATTCATTGGCACTTACTGTTGATGGCAATATTATTTCATGGGGATATAATAAACATGGCTAATTAGGAAATGGTATTTTAGATGATTGATATAATTAGGAATGACTATAAGTTCAATTTTACCATAGCAATTATCTTATTTTAAAAATAATTAGATATTTGTAGTTGATATTTCTGCTGGGGATGAAATTTCTATATGTCGAACTGATTAAGGTGATGTGTATACTTGGGGAAAGATGTAAAATACCTTTGGAGATAATATTATAAAAGTTTTAAATGCTTAGAATGAAGCTATTAATTTATAATGTGTTGAAGAATCTAATAGTTAGTTAGTCCCAAGAAAAATAAATCTAAAGGCTAAGTAAATTTAGGCTGGTTATTCTTGTTTTGCAGCACTCTCTATAGAAAACAATTTATATATGTGGGGATGTAATGAATATGAAATATTTGGATTTCTTTAATGTCCAGAGTTAGATGATTAAACTATCTTACATTTATTAGATCCTATTAGAATCAATATACATAATGATTATGAAATTCAGTATCAATTATTCTTAATTAAAAATTAAGGGATTTTTAACTTGGTGCTTATCATTGTGTGACTAGAGTTATCAATAAAAATAATGGATGTGAAAAATATCTCTCATGGGGTTACAATAAATATAATTAATGTGGACAATCTACAAGTAATAAACAGGGAGCTATATCTTGTAAAAAAGATTTTATTGAGTATTTCAAATAATCATATACAGTGTATTACCTTAAAAGAAGTTTAAATCATATAGCTGTGGCTTTGATAGAACAATTTTTGCATCATATGAAAATCATGTCTATACATTATCAAAAAATGATACAATTAAAAATAATTGTTCTGTTTTTGTTGAAGTAATTTATTAATTAGTATTTTTTCAGTAAGTCATGGCTGGTGATCTAATTAACTTAATATTGGGAAAGGAATGATTAATATTAATGTTTCGTTTTTTATGCAAATTCAATTTTAAATAAATGACAAAATCATAAGCTGATTTTTATCATGCTAATGGTTATCTAGTACTTCCAAATATTATCAATCATCAAGAAATAGATAAACTTCTTTAAAGAACTAATGATTTAGTCGAAAAAGCTGATTTAGTGAATAATCAAGTATTTTTCAATCCTTATTCTATTCTAGATGTTTTTTGATACTAAAAATGCACCAAGAGGTATGAGCTTTTTAGATACTGCATCTAAAATAGGCTATTTATTAGAATTAGGTATGGTTGATGAAAAAGGATAAATTAAAGTTAAAGATAAAAAACTTGCCCTAAACAAAATTGGCCATGCAATGCACGATCTTGATCCAGTTTTTGAGAGGTTCTCATACAATAACATTTTCAAAGCCATTCTTAAAGGGGTTGGATACATTGATCCCATTCTTGCTCAAACTATGGTAATATTTAAAAACCAAAAATTTGGAACTGCTGTTGATATGCATACAGATAATACATATATTATTAGTGAACCAAAACTATCATGTATAGGATTATGGATAGCACTTGAAGATGCAACAAAAACTAATGGATGTATGTTTGCTTTTCCAAAATCTCACCTTACACCAACAAGTTATTTCAATGTTTTGGATGAAACCAGAAGAAATACAAAAATGATTGGAAAAAATCCAGAATATAATAAGCATTTTGATCCATCTAAAGCAGAATGCTTAGAAGTTTCTAAAGGTTCAGTTATTTTGCTTCATGGAGATCTTGTGCATTTTTCAGGACATAATAATTCATCATAATCTAGACATGCATATACACTTCATTTTATAGAAGGTCACAATAATAATTGGAGCAAATAAGCATGGCTATAAAGAATTCCTGAATTACCTTTTTAAAAGTACTATCAAAGAGTATCAGAAATTAATACATTTTGATCTATTGCATTAGAATTTCATATGCTAAAGATATTTTTCAAGTTTAAAATTTCAACTTTACAATTCAATAATTTTTCTATCTAAAGAAATATATATTTAATTAATTAATAAAAATGTCATCTCAAGCAACAGCATAATATAGAATGTACCTAGGTGCTAGAGTATTGTGGCCTCCTGACTGTCCTGATGACATTCTAGAAGGAGCAATAAATGAAACATAAAACTGTTTGAAAACATATGAAGCTAAAGATGGATAAAAGGTAACAGTTTCATAACTTGTATCAAGATGGCAGAACAACTTAAGAAGTATTTGGATTCTAATTTTGAACCTTATTGGCACGTATTTTTTGGCAAGAATTTTGGATGCCATTCTATTCATGAAAAAAGAAGATTTATCTACTTTTACATCGATAAAACAGCTTATCTATTTTACAAAACATAATGACATATATACATCATAAATAGTGATTTCAAAACATTTAACTTCTTTTTAAGTTTTTATTTTTTTAAATAACTTTTTTCTTAATCCTTTGTATTATTTTCTTATTCAACTTTATTATTATTAATCTTATATACTTATTTCAATCACTTTATTATTTTGATTCTTATAATGAAATTTAAGTCTTAATCAAATTTGAATTTAGAGCATTTAAAGCATTTTTACAAATTTAATTGGAATCTTGAATAAATATTTTATATTTGAAAAAATTCATACTTCTGATATAATCTTTTTATTCTAAATATTTTCTTTCTATTTCAAAATAAAAAGTGTTTATTTATATTAATAATATAAACAAACTAAAATTTTACAATTTATTTAATAAAAGAACTAACCTTAGATATAATAAAAATTAATTCTAGAAATTTTAATTGAATTTGTTGTGTTTAAATATATAAATCTATTAATAAAGTTAAAAATGATAAAATTTGAGAATCTATATTGATAAATTTTTTATATTTAATCATTTCTTATTTGTTAATATTTTTCCTGCTTTAGGTTCTTAATTTATAATCAAAACTTCCTCTTCTCTTTAACTTTATGGAGTAGAATCCATTCGAGAAGTCAAAGGATACATAAATCCACTTTGTTTTTTTCTCATACATTCGAAAAATGCTTTAATCTCTTCATCCATTTAATCAATAATTATTTGATCTAAATTAGATGGATTATTTTTTTGTTTAATTTTTATATAGGCTTAATAAGAATCTTCCAATTTTTAAATTTCAGTTTTTTCTTCTTCAAAAATTGAAACAGAATCTGCTTAAATCGAATTAGAATTGTACTATTTTTCAAATCCTTTATTAAAAATATCACTAGGTATTAAAGGTTTTGGTATATAGTTGAATAATTTTACCTATTCATTTGTCATTAAAATGCTCTTTAATTTATCGATTTCATGTAATTTTTTTATAATATAAGCAACATCCAATTTCATCATTATTTTCTAAATTGCAAATCTAAATGTTTTTTAATTTTTTCCTAAACACCCTAAGTACATTAACAAAGCATCTTTGAAAGTTATACTGATTGGATTCTTTTTTTTTTTAAGATATTATTTTAATTTTGAATGATTATTATTATTATTATTATTTTGAATTATAGATTAATTTCTAGTTTAGAAATCTGAAGCCATCAAGTTTATTTCTTTAATTTCGTCTTCATTAAAAGTTTGTTTTTCAACTAAAGACTTAGGTTACTTACTTTCAATTCTAAAAAATTTGCTTACGAGGGATAAATTCATGTATGCTAGTAAGACTGGCCCAAAAATAGCCGAAATGACTAAAGAAATGATTTACCACAAACCTCCGACATTACCTAAAATTGTTTAAAGTTTAATATATGATCTATAATAAATCGTTTCTCTTTAGTCTAAGTAAATGATATTATTTGCTAAATAGTATCCATTATATGCTTCTGAGTATTCTTTTGTTGCTGATTACAAAATTGTTTCGTCTATTTATACATCTTTATTGATTAATCCAATATCTGTTTAAGTATTAGCAATCTTATACATAGAATGCAATTATTAAGATTTAGCATAAGAAAATTAAGTATTTTAAATAGTGATTACATCATCATAGGGTCTTCCAGGATTTTACATTTTAATAAGAACATCAGATAGATAGATTGCATAATATGAGCTTACAAGTCCTTTTTGAATTTCTTCAATTGAACTACAATTTTTGTATGTTGTATTGTTTTTACACATATTTACATTTACAGTTATGAATTAAAAGTTATCACTCTATGAATGACCTTAAAGTTACTAATTTTAGAATATTTAAATACTATCGGTCTTTAATCCCATTATTCTGGATTTATACAATACATAGTAGATAATTAAAACTTTTGAAAATAAACTTTTTACAAATCTGTTACAAAATGTTTTTCCAAATCACAAGGCTCGATCTAGTAATTGAAACAACTTATTTTAATGATATTTGTATATATTACTTAAGTGAAATATTTGTACTACTGCTGCCTCCATCATAGTTTCTTTTTCTATGGCATTAATTTACAGTCAGATTATAATATTTCAAATTTTTATCAAAAGATTACAGAAGAGCATTTGAGACACTGATTACAAAAGTAAAGTTGCTTCTCGATAAGTAAATAACCTATAATTAAATTATAAATATTTATACTGGCGTGTTTAGGGGTTGATTATCGGAAATGATGACATTTGGGTTTGTTTGTTTTGCTAGCTCATCAATTTAGATGTACAAATAAAATAGACATATTGCTGCTAAAATTAACGTGAGTAAGTATCCGAAGGCTGTACTAAATGATGTCTTTTTTAGAACTTAAAATTAAGGATGTTAAGCAAAATAGTCTAACTTTGTAAATATGCTTTTTGAAGCATTCTTGCAGAATTGAGTTTCTCTTTTTTGATACTTGAACATCAAAATCAATATTTAAGAATAAATAAATAAAATTTTCCAAAATAAAAAAATTTTAACTAATAATGGGGTAGTATTTTATTATTGGAAATTTAAATTTATTAATTTACAGAAATTAGAAAGACTCAAAAAAAAAGTTTTATTTTTTTATGAAATAAAAGTTATAAATTAAGGGAAGGCTGAATATATAAAGAAAAATACAATATAGTAATAAATTAAATAAAAATAATATTTAATTTTTGAGATAACTCAATTAATAGGTTTATATTATGAAACAATTATTTAAGGTAATTGTCGGCCATTAAAGTCTTGGTTCATTTAAGTTGGAGCTATACGATCAATAATTTAGGATGAAATGTTTTCTTCTTTTGGATACAAATTTCTATAAATATTTAAAATTAGATTTACTTGTTAGATTCTCCAGAAATGACTACTTATCTAGTAGCCGTTATACTATTATTCATTTATTGAAAAGCAATATTCTATTAAATGGGAGCAGGGGATGGAACTATTTACTAAGCAGATTAATAAATTGATTATTGATTGTTATTTTATTTTATATAACTGTTGGTTTATATTATTGGTTATTAAATATAGGTTGTAGAAGTTATTTATTATTATTAAGAAGGTGATCTTTTAGATTATCTAAGTTTAGCCTCATTTAAAATATTCAATTGAGATTCATACTCAGTGATCTAAAATTTAAAATAATAAATACTTTTTATAACATAATATTGATACGAGATTCTTAATCTCTCTTTAAATTTTATAATCTTCCAAGTTCCAATTACAAATTTTCTACTTAAACTTCTAATTCCCTTATTCTTTAATCTCTGACTCTAAGCTATTCTTTAATTACAATAACAGAATTCTAACTATTCATAGTATAACTTCCATTTTGTTCTAATTCTAATATTCGTTTATTTTTTTATTCAATAATGTCTGTTAATTCTTTAATTTTATGTTCATCTTTGATTATAACACTTTTTTCAATAATAGACTATGTATTTCTAGTTTCATATTCTCTAGACCTTGTGTCAAATTCTCTTATTCTAGTTTCAAATGTAGCTATACGACTTTCATATGAATTAATTTAGAATTAATACTCCCTTATCTTAGCCTCTAGTTCTCTAACTTTAGAATCATCATTAAAGTGCTTTACTGATTGGGATTAATAAGATTAGAGTTCTCTAATTTTTAATTCTAATTCTTGTATTTTATTATAATAATTATCTCTTTCTATTCTGATTTAATCATCTTATTAAATCTTAAATCCTGAAGTTTGTTAATCTCTAAACAAATTATTTTATTAATCCCTCAATTTGGTTTCTAATTCTGAGACTTATCTCTATAAATTATCTCTCTCTCTCTTAATAGAAATGTATTAATTATCTTATTCGATGTTAATAACAGTTGTAGTATGTACATTTGTCTATTTGATTAATTTTTCATATTCAATTCTTAAAGTATCATATTCCTTTAATCTAATTTCAGTTTAGAAATAACGATTTTTCCAGACTTCAAGCTCTTTTTGATAATTTTGAATTTCTTTAGTGAGATTATCAACATTTTTATATTTAGATGAATTAGAATCTACAATATCTTTATATTTAAGATAGTTAGCATTCTATTCATTAAATTTAATATTCAATTCAGAGAACTATTATTCTAATTCTTTGATTCTCAACATAAAAGTATCACAATCTCTTTCTAACTCTTCAATTTATAATTCAAGTTTCCATTTTTCTTATTCTAATTCTTCAAATTTCTCTTAAGTAAAGACATGTGCTTGCATTTTGTAACCTTCCATATCTCTATTCTATTATTCTAGTTTTGCTTATGCATCTTATAATTATCGTTTCAATTATTCTAATTAATTATCATTATCTTAGTTTTACGAATTCAATAATTTGCTTTACTAATATTATGATAATTATAAATTTAAAGAAGCTCTAGTCTTTTAAATATCTTAATCTTTCTCAGCCAATGAACGGTTAAGCTAATCTATTTTAGCTAATAATTTAGCTTCATCAGAAGCTTCAATCTTAGCTTCCATAGCTAAACATCTTTTTTTCCATTAACCAATTTCATGGATATATGCTTTGATGTCATCTTCTAATTAATTTACTCTATTATTGGAAGATAGTTTAATTCTAATTTCTTGGCTTTCTAATGCAAGAGCATCATATCTTTCTTCCCATCTATGAATTTCTCTTTTTAATTCTTCAATCAAAGCTTCTTAATCACTTAATTATTATTACAGCAAATCCACAGATTAGTATTTCTCAAACTTTTTCTTTGCATCTAATTCATATAACTTGAGTTTATTTTAATAATAAGCTAATTATTTCAATTATTCTGCATTTTCTTTATCTTTTTATTCTAATTCTGCACATTTCTTTTTCCATTTTTCTAATTCATTTTACAAATTATCAATCTCTGTCTTTTATTTTAATTCATGTCCACTTTTTAATCTGAGAATTTCCTTATTAGCTTCTTCTAATTCTTATTAAGTGATTTGTAATTCTTTTCTGAGCATAGAAGCATCAGAACTTGATGAAACCTTATAAGTAGCTACTTCTCTTTTGAGTTCTTCAATAACTTCTCTATAGATAATCAATAATAATATATAAACCTCATTCTTTAGTTATCTTATATCAGTTCTTCATAATGATGTTATCTTTCAGGTTCTGACTTTTCTAAAGTTTTGGTCCTTTGTACTACTATGAAATCTTTTTCATCAACTTTGCCTACAAATTGGCTAGAATTCCAAGCAGTTTATTACGAAGCAATAGGCTGGTACGTTTAGAATTTATCTTCCTTGAAACGGATTTATTGAGTTTCATAATTGTACGTAGATTGAAACATACCAACTTAAGGCTATAAAGTCTAAGATTGAAATGTGTTGCTTTAATTCATTATTTAATTATTGAAGATACTATCGAATAATGATAATGTGGATCAAGACTTTGAATAATCAATATATTATTATATAATATTTAATTAAAATGGCTGACTTGTCAACTTTGCGAAGTTAAATCAATCAATGGACACTAGATTAAGACAATAAAGTATGAATAATGAGATTACCTAACAATAGACATTCATGAAATTAGATTAGATGAGTACCAATCTACTTACAAAATTTGGAGCTGTGTCATCAGATATAAGATCAGTCTAACATTCAGCAAACTCAATCCATGCTCAAATCAACTAGGCCTTTAATAGATTTCTAACTTTGAGTGATAGCCGCTTTACTGAATAAGTAATTTGATTTATAGATATTTAAAGAGAATGGCACCTCCATAAGAAGCTGCCCCTAAAGCTACACCTGCTTAAAACAAAGATGATGGACTTACTATGCCTCAAAGATATACCAAAGCCTTAGGTATAGCATTACAATCTCTTGATTTATAATAAATGGCTTAGGATGGTATAATAAATCCTCATATTCTTTAGATGACATATTTGATGACAGAGATGACAAATCAATATCTGTTTTCTCAGCAGCAACAAGTAGTGGAACTGTAAGCAAGTCTGTTAAGTTACCTGCTATGTATGGCACACCACAATTCAACAATAATAAATTTATTGGTTCTACATTCCATACTATTCCTAGGTCTTTTTGAAGACTTCGATGAAGCTCCTGTTTAAGAACCAGTACGTTAATCTGCTCCTGCACCTGCATATAGATAATCTGAAGCACAGCCTTAATAACAATCTTAAATTAATTAGTAATCTCAGTTAGTTCCACCATAAAATCAATAACAAATTAGATAATCTGTGAGATAAGATTAATCTTATATTTCATATACTGGAGACAATAATCAATTCATTACACGCACAAATTCAGCTTTAGGTAATTCAATGATGGAATCATAATTCAAATTTACAGATCCAAAATAATAGGAAGCATTTAATCAAGCATTTGCACCGCCATATCAATAACAATAATAATAAGGAATGTATCCATAACCACCACTATAAACTGCCTTACAAACATAAAGACCAACTGTAGTTGATGCTCCTCCTCCACCTCCACCTCCACCACCTCCAACTTAATAACCATACTATTAATAAACATAACCACAATAACCATAACAATATCAACCATAACTATATTAACCATTATAATAACAACCTCCTCCTTAATAGTAACTTCCTCCTCCTTAATATTAACTTCCTCCTCCTTAATAGTTGCCTCCACCTCCTTAATAGTAACTTCCTCCTCCTTAATAGTAACTTCCACCTCCTTTAACACTTGTTGAATAATTAAATTAACATATTTTACAAAAAAAAGAATAGTAATAACCAAGATAACCACCATAAGAACTAATCCCAAACCCATAAATTAATTAAACTTAATTAGAATAATAACCTAATCCTTAATCAAGAAATTCATAATAACCAGTCAAAGTATTTTAACCTCCAAATGTTATTGGTGCACCTACTTATGCATAATAAAAGGATAAAATAACAAATTTATTTGAAGATGATGATGATGATGACAATGATGGTGGATTATTTAAATCTACTAATACAAATAAAAATAAGTTCAACAATCTACTTACTGATGGAGTAGCAAAATAAGAAGATGTTCAAAAACCAGTTGCTGTTGTTATTAAAGAAGAAGAAGATGATCAATTAAATATTTAACCTAGATTACCAAGTTTTAAGCCTCCATAAAAAAAATAACTTTTCGATGAAACAGAAGAAGAAACACTTTAAAAATCAAATGCAGATAAAATTGCAGCAATGTATGCATAATAATAATAACAACAATAAAAACTATAATAATAATAACAATAATAATAATAATAATAACAATAATAATAATAAAAATAATAATAGCAATAATAATAATAACCTAAATAATAAGTTCCTCCTCCTAAAATAACTCCTTAAAGAAATGTTTTTGAAGATTCTGATGATGAAAAAAAGCAAAAAACTTAATAAAATCCTTTAAAACCCCCTTCATAACTAATTGTTTCTTCTGAAGAACCACCAGTCAGACCTTCAATTTAATAATTGTAAAGTAAACTGAATTTAAACATGTTTATGAAAGCACCTGGAGAATAAGTAACTATGAAAGATATTAAAAAAAATGAAAGAGAAAATGAATCAGAATTTATAGAGTAATAAGCAGAAAGACCAGTTGTATAAAAGAAAAAGGCTAGAGCAAAACAAGCAATAGATTTTGATGATGATTCTGAAAAGAAATCTACTAAACCAACTTTTATTATAAAAGAGAAAACATAATAAGTTTAAAAAGCAGAAGTAGTAATAGATAGAACATCTTATAGAGATTCATTAAAAACTAATAAATAGAATGATTTTGAAGTTCCAATAACTTTGGAAGTGAAAACAGAAAAGAAAGATATTTAAGTAACAATAACTCCCCCAACTCAATAATTACCAAGTTTAAGCTTAAACAAACCAAGTTAACAAGATCCATTAGGAAAAAAGAATATTGGAAAAGAGTTTGAATAAAAGTAATGAATATTTAATACTTTATAGAGGGTTACCAAATTTCTTCAACGATCCTTTGGGTGGAGGAGGAAAGAAACAATAATAACCAGCATAGATAGGAAATTTACCAAGTTTGGGAGGTATAATAAAATAAAAATAATAGGTAAAACTAATACTTAGACAACAAATGTTTAAGTAACAGTGACACCAACAATAGCAAAACCTTAGAGAAAAAATATGTTTAGTGATGATGAAGATGAATCAGCGACTAAATTACCAATGCCAGGCTAAAGAATTGAGTAAGATGAAATAATTATAGTTGACCTCCGAAACCAGTTGTATAACAATAGTAGCAAATTCCTGCATAGAAGCCATTAGCTAAAAAAAATATGTTTGATGATGATTCAGAAGAAGATTTGAAACCACCATCAAGACCTACAATATAATAATAAATAGTAAAACCTCCTGAACCAATCAAAAAACTTGAAGCTCCTAAACCAACAGCTGCTTAATAAAGAAATTAGAGAAATCAAAGAGCATTGTTTGATGATTCTGATTGATGGATATTGCCAATATTGCATTTAAACATATATATTTATATTTATATATATATTTATATTTATATTTATATTTATATTTATATTTATATTTATATTTATATTTATATTTATATTTATAGAAATCACCAAATAAATGGAATCTTTTCTTTTAAATGTTTAATTCCATATTCACAACTACGATCTTTTTCTTTATCTTTTTTTGCAAAAGCTATAAGTTTCTTTTCTAATTGTTAAACATCTCCATCAAATTAATTAATCATATCTTCTAATTCATCTTTTTGAGGTTCTAAATTACCCAACCATCTTTAAGCAGTAATCCATAATTCATTAACAGATTCAGTTTTAGGTAAAACAGTTGCTCCAACCCAGGCTATATTAATAGGTCTAACATCCCTAATAATAGTTTTAACTTCAACTCTTTCAATTTCATTCAATTCCATAACTTAAAATTTTTCAATGAGCAATGCTTCTACTTCATCTACAAGATCAATTAGATAGGCACCTCCACCAGCGAATAAAATATTATTAGCTAATTTTTATCTGATTTCTGGATCTTATACTTAAGCAATAGAATAAGCAATCATATGATCAAGTGGTATCATATAGTTAGGATTCAACATTTAATTACCTTCTGTAAAATATTGTTATTCTTTTTCTTTTGAACCCCAATACCAACATAATTAAATTCCTCCACTTAACTCTTCAAAATTATCTTCTGGATCATATTACATTTCAAACAAACGTCCTGTAAAATCAAAACATTCATTCATATCCTACTTTCTAATTTCATTAAATGGTTCTGATTCAAACAATGTATTAGCAGAAATGTATAATCCATCATTATGTTATACAAAGAATCTCTTTTCCTTTTAATTTCTTAAACAATGTAATTCATAATTATAATTAAGTTTATCCTCTTTTTATGTTAATTAACAAGCTTTCTCTTTAAGTTTTTCCATTTAGAGTAAATCTCCATAATTATTACTTTATAATTAAACTGTTTAATCACAAGCATTTCTTTTTGTCACTTATCTCATTAATACTAAATCAATATCTTTACTTCCAAAATTCTTTCTAACATAAGTACCTGGTAATATTACTCCATCATCTACACAAGTAATATTAATTTTTTCATATCCTATATCTACAACACAACATTATTATAGATTGGCTCCAAAACTAGCTAAAACAGATTCTAAATGTAAATAAATTCCTTTGAATCCCATTTATCTAATTAACATATCTACTAACATTTTTATTTAAACTCTTTAAAAGATATCAGGAATTACTAATATACAATAGTAATCAGAAATGTTTTTTACTTCCAATTTGCAATTTAATCCATATAATGTTAATTTGTATAAATCTTCAATCACATCTTACATGTTATAATTCTCTGATAAATTAAAAAATCCATGTTTTATTGGTTATCTAACTAAATATTCACCTGTAAATATGTCATCTTCAAAAACTACAGATTTATCCTCAATCATTTAAGCAAGTGAGCATTATGGTTATTTTTATTCTTTCTTTCCTAAGAATCCTCTAATGTTTCTTAAATCTACTTCAATTTTAGCTCTTGGTTTTCCACGCATACTTTTTGGTAATGCTTTAAGAGCACCTTTTTAAATAAGCTTCTATTCTAATAATAAAAGACTTTCATCAATCACTGTAAGATCAGTCTATTAAAATTGTTTTGCTTGTGATTGCACTTTATAACCTATCAAATTTCTAAACTTCTTTGGTAGCATCTCTAAATTAAATTAACACACTTTTTACCACTCGCTTTATTCATTTTTATACTATGTGATCCATACTATATGATTATACAATCACTTCCTCTCTCTATTAAATTTTCTATATTCTAAATCTTATCTTATAAAGACTTTATTGTATTTTGTACATTGTCTTATTATTGATTTGGCTTATCTTACATCAATTGATTAGAAAATATAATATAATTAATATCACTAATTTTTTGCTTTCACAACAGCAAACACTCGTTCCTTCATCACTAAATTAAACTTTGGCAGAACATTAACTATTATCAGAACATGTCATCAACCATTCAAATTGATATTACTAATCAATTATATTATATAGTCTTGGAACATCTTCTATAGATTTTGCATTACATTCCGATGATATCACTGACTTTTATTTATTAATTATCTACCATGAGCATATTTACCATTATAACTGAATACTTTTTAGTATTATAATCCTAATACTGTTCCTAACATTATAAGCAAAATCATAAATTTATTAAATTTTATAACAAATTAATAACATCCAACTAGTCAAATAATTTAGATTATAGATGCAAAACAAAGAACCTATTTTATTTTAATAATTTCTTAATGAAAACTAGAAGAACCTAAAACAAAAAATAAAAGAAATACACTATATTAACAGAAGAGGCTAAATAAGAGATTACAGAATACTATAATAAGCATCCTTCTTAAAATTCACTCATATATTTAAAAGATAAATATAATACTTCAATTAAAAATATACAACGATGGATTAGATCAGGTTTTAAGAGAAAAAAAGGATGCGGAAGAAAAAAACTTAATGAAAAAGCAGAAGAATTATTAGAAGTTTGGGTTAAAAAATAATGTATCAAATAAAAGAAAAGAGTTTCTAGACAATAAATTAAAGCATAAGCAATCAAATTCTTTAAAGACACTAATTTTAAAGCTTCCAAAGCTTGGTAAGATGAGTTTGTTAGAAATAAGAATATAAAACTTAAATAACTACTACTTTTACATGAAAGAGGATGTTTAAATTATACTTAAATAAGAACATTTTAATAATTACTTTTGAGAAGTGGAAAAGATGCTTAAACTTATAGAAATGAGATTCTCTAAAATTTTGATATCTAAAGTCAACAAGATAGCCAATAATGTACCAATTCTATCAATAAGTAATATTGGAATTATGAAATCTTTCAATAAGATTCATTGATGCACTTTTAAGAATTGTTTCTCTGATTGAATGTAAAGCTAGTTAATGCTATTTTTTAAATTATTTTATATATAATTAATAAACGAATATATGTCTGAATTCGTTTGCTTTGTAGTAGAGGGTCAAACTCATTATATAGAAGCTAATAAATGTTTGAGCATGACTCTCTAGACTGAGAAAAAAGGTCTTGTAAGCAGTTTTATCTTATAAAAAGGTGTACACTGCTACTATGCCAAAATGGCTAACGATGGAAGCTTTTTCAGTTTTCTAACAGTTCCTCAACAATTAATTAGATATTTAGAAAAAATATACTGATTAAACTCTATAAAGACTATTATGGTTAGGAGATCATTTGCAGATGGAATTCTTCTAAGAGACTGTAATACGAGATCTCATTTTAGATAGAGTGAGCGTTTAAAATTGCATTTTGTTTTTGAATGAAGCATTCAAAAAATTGAAAGCGTGTGAAGTATTCTTTTAATATTCATTCAGGATTCCCCAGAGGTATGGTATTAAATGCTTAATGTTTGTATGAATTTCACTGCAAGAAATCTACTTCTTATATATTAATCCAATCCTATGGATTTAAACAAAATTAACTAAAAAGTTATTGAAGAAATCTTAGAAAGAGCATTAAAGCATTATCGTAAAAAGAATAATCCTGAACTTTTATCAATAGTTTAAAAGATTAGAAATTGTTAAGATATTGTTCAAATTATTTCTTAATAGAAATAAACTGTTTTAGCTAAAAAAATCAATTATCAAACTCATCCTAGTATAAATTGGAAGTTATCTAATCTATCATCTATAATTAATAAAGAAACATAATAATTTAAATTTTCAGATTTCACATGGAAATTAGTTGCTAAAATGGAAGATAAAATTTTAAAAATTTATCTAAAATTGGAAGATATAGATCCTGAGTTAAATTTAAGAATTATTGCACTTTATTTTTAATTGCAACTTTCTTAATTTGGTTTAGAATAATTAAAACTAGTAAATTTAGTTGCAAGCAAAGGAAATAAAATTCTCTTATGCGAATTTAATGGTATTTATTATATTCTAAATAGATTTAAATAAATTTGATTAATAAAAATTAGAATTTACTGTGTATCTTAATACTGATTAAGTTTTAACATTATGTTTAAATCACTTATATTATAATTTGAATCCTACATACAATTTAAGTAAGTTAGATTTGGATGATAGTTTAATTTTATTAGCAGCAACACCTTAAGTATAATAAGCATAAGAGAAATCATTTTAATTACTCTTAGAATTTGGTATGATATTAAAATAATTTTATAGTGCCTTAATTAAATCCAAATGATTATGAAAGATGTATAAATTAACTAAATATGTCTTTGATGAACACAGAATTTTTAGTAAAATACTTGAAATGTCCATTAAATAAGTTCATTCAGAATGAATTAGATAAGAGATAACCTTAATAATAGAGATCATATTCTGTTTCAAAGGATTCAACAAGTTCTTCAAGAATTTTAAGATAGGTGAGTGCTGGAGGAAGTAAGAATGATAAATCAGGAGATTAGTTAGTAAATCGGAGTTAAAGTAGTGAAAAGTTACATAATGAAATGCCAATAAATAAATTATAATAATTGAAGAAAACTCCAAGCTAACAAAGATTTGAATAATAATAAATAGTTAATAGTGGAATAAGTAATTAATCTGCTTTATATTCTCGGAAACAATTATTTGATGAGATAAATATAGTTAATTTTTTGAAAGTAAAAGATCCATAACTTATACAAGAATTGAATGAATTGATAAGAATTTATTATTGATAATTTAGATATTTAATAAACAAATCATTCCTTTAAAATTCCATGCTTTTTCCAGATACTTTTGAAAAATTCAATTTCTTCTGCACTTCCAACAATAATTTCACTCTTTTGATAATATCCTGTGATTTCAGTATCAAGTACAGAATGTTAACCATTGAAAGATTTGCCTTCAGCTTTTTCGATTAAGAAAGATAGTGGAGCACATTCATAAAGGTATCTTAATTTGGATGGATTTTTAGCATCACCAAAACAAGAGAATACTCCTACTTCTTTTAAGAAGATTTAACAAATATCAGGTGCCATTCCACCAGAATATCTAAGAGTATAACCATTATGAATCCAATAATCAACTACTTCTCTATAAGGAATATGTTCGACAATGCATCTAGTATTTCCAGGACTGAATAATTTTCCTTTTGGTTTAATCTTAATATTATCTTTAGTCAACTCCCAATGACCTTGTTTATCACCATCTATCAAATTAAAACAAATTATATACCAAATAAGGTATATTCTTAAACTTTTTATTCCTTCTCATTCCATATAACAACATTTGTTCTACTGCCATATAAACAACAACAAGCAGATACCATATCTCTTCCTTTTTTTCCAATCAATAAATTTTCATCTGATTTCCAAATTGCAACTATTGTACCAACTGCAAAATTAGTTCCTATTATTGAACTACCATCTAATGGATCAAATGTTACTATATACTTTCCACCTTCACAAAGAAGCTTCATCTAATTAAAATCATTATATTCATTTTTACTTCTGGAGTCTCTTCACTTGCGGTATGACTAACAACTCCTGTTTTCTTTAATTCTGTATTTACATTCAGTTCACATTATACATCCATCTCTAATTAATGATCCCCAAAATCATTTTAAGTATTTGTATAATCCCCACCTCCTGAACAATATCTTAAGACACGAGAATTCTCAATAAATGCAAGAAGAAGAGCTGAACATACTGCTGATAATTCTGGTTCATCACTAAGCTTTACGTGAAGAGAATGCATTTCCTTATTTATTTTATAAATTAGATCATAAATACATTTATTTCCTTAATTAGTACCTATTATCATGCGCATTATCTTTTAAACTTATATTAAAATGACGCATTTTTTATTTAGTTAATCATCATTATCTCATTATTATTTTTAGTGTTCTTCATAATCAATTTATATCTTGTAAACTCACTAAACACTTTAATATTAATCATCACTATAACAATTACTCCCTTTATTGAATTATTCATTCACTTCTTAAATCGCTTCAATTTTTACATTTATTATATTACCCATTATATATTGTAATAATTTGACTCATAATCCATATAATAAAAATAACTATATAATTCAATTAACATATCCATAATATCGTTTACAACAACTCAATTACTCTAATTATGATTCATCTTAAAAAGTGCATTGTAATCTTATTTTTATTTTCTTTCATGTACATAAAATATCGTTATTATCATTATCATCGTACTTTCATAACTTAATAAAGAATCCTATAAACCAATCAATACTTTGGACTTATATTTTTGAAATATATATATATATTCTTAAATAGTTGTTAAATAGATATTAAATTATAAATGTTTCTTAAATTTCCATCTTGTATTTCATTTTACTTTGCTTCTATTAAAATCTCACTTTCTATAGTATCAGTACCTTTATTCCCTAAATTATTTTATGTATATTTTTGTTTATATTAATCTTAAACTTTCTTCTTTTTTCATAAAAATTATTTTACAATTTCTATTCAAATCATTTATTATAAATATAATCGTAATATATCATTGAAATCAAATAATTGTAACTTATTACTATGGAATAATATTTTAATCATTATCTACAAATTTCTTTTTGAATCCTTATCCATTATGATGCAATTTATTGATTACCAAATTTTTCTTTGAGACACAAGAACTCTAATATTCTATTATTAATATTTATATAATTAATGTGATAATAATATTACTTAATATTCTTAGAAAAAGTAATTTAAATTAGCGTAACTACTGATATGGCAATTATCTCCTTATTACTTAAAATTCTCATAAAACTTTAAGACAGATATTAGGACCTACTATGATCAAAGACAATGATAAATATAGGATTTAATTTTATTGATTAAATTTCAGCATAAGTAATTTTCTCCTAATTCATTCTTCAATTTAGCTTGTCATTATCTTTTTATTTACTATTAAGTTTTTTTAGCTATCAGATTATGAAAAAGAGTATTAGTGATTGAGAAGCAGAATTTCTTGATTGATGTTCTATAAGTTTTGAATGTTAAGTATATTCAGAACAAAAGTTTTAATTGAAAAGAAGAAGGATAGAGGATCTTCAATAAAAGGATAAGTAGATTGTGTTTGTATAATAAAGAATTGATTTTAATATAAAATGTAGTTATCTAAAAAATTTGAAGAATTTTAAGACCTTGATCCAATTGAAAATTTTCCTTAAAGAAGAATATCAAGAACGATGGGTTACCAGAATAGCAAATCAATTCAAGAAGAAGATGAAGAGCAATCTTCTTCAAGTATGTAATAACCAAAACCAAAATTTCCAAAAATGAATTCATCAATTTAATAGCCCTGTGACCTTTGTGGAAGTGATATGAAAGTACCAACAATTNTACATAAAATATCGTTATTATCATTATCATCGTACTTTCATAACTTAATAAAGAATCCTATAAACCAATCAATACTTTGGACTTATATTTTTGAAATATATATATATATTCTTAAATAGTTGTTAAATAGATATTAAATTATAAATGTTTCTTAAATTTCCATCTTGTATTTCATTTTACTTTGCTTCTATTAAAATCTCACTTTCTATAGTATCAGTACCTTTATTCCCTAAATTATTTTATGTATATTTTTGTTTATATTAATCTTAAACTTTCTTCTTTTTTCATAAAAATTATTTTACAATTTCTATTCAAATCATTTATTATAAATATAATCGTAATATATCATTGAAATCAAATAATTGTAACTTATTACTATGGAATAATATTTTAATCATTATCTACAAATTTCTTTTTGAATCCTTATCCATTATGATGCAATTTATTGATTACCAAATTTTTCTTTGAGACACAAGAACTCTAATATTCTATTATTAATATTTATATAATTAATGTGATAATAATATTACTTAATATTCTTAGAAAAAGTAATTTAAATTAGCGTAACTACTGATATGGCAATTATCTCCTTATTACTTAAAATTCTCATAAAACTTTAAGACAGATATTAGGACCTACTATGATCAAAGACAATGATAAATATAGGATTTAATTTTATTGATTAAATTTCAGCATAAGTAATTTTCTCCTAATTCATTCTTCAATTTAGCTTGTCATTATCTTTTTATTTACTATTAAGTTTTTTTAGCTATCAGATTATGAAAAAGAGTATTAGTGATTGAGAAGCAGAATTTCTTGATTGATGTTCTATAAGTTTTGAATGTTAAGTATATTCAGAACAAAAGTTTTAATTGAAAAGAAGAAGGATAGAGGATCTTCAATAAAAGGATAAGTAGATTGTGTTTGTATAATAAAGAATTGATTTTAATATAAAATGTAGTTATCTAAAAAATTTGAAGAATTTTAAGACCTTGATCCAATTGAAAATTTTCCTTAAAGAAGAATATCAAGAACGATGGGTTACCAGAATAGCAAATCAATTCAAGAAGAAGATGAAGAGCAATCTTCTTCAAGTATGTAATAACCAAAACCAAAATTTCCAAAAATGAATTCATCAATTTAATAGCCCTGTGACCTTTGTGGAAGTGATATGAAAGTACCAACAATTTACACTAATATGCACTCAAATAAAAGTTTTGATAAGAATCCATTTCAATAGGAATCAAAAATAAAGGTTGTTGAAAATAACAGTGGTAGTAGATTGATAGATGTATCTGTATAAGAGCCATAAGATTCATTATAATCTGAATCTGTAAAATAGAAGATTTATAATAGATTAAATCACAATTGATGGATAAAAATAAATCAGTAACACTTAATTCTGTTCATGTAAAGAACATAGTTAACAAATTTGTTTAAAGGATGAAAAGAAACATAAATTGGAATTAATTGAAAGACATAACATTGATTGATGATTTAGCATAGAGTAATATGTTTAAATAAAAATAGTTTAACCTTAATTGTATAAATGGTTCACTATATCCTATTTTAGTTTGACTTCATTAATTATTCTTACATCTTCAATATTTATTCCCTTGCATATTGCTGAACAAACAGGTTTTGAAATTCTAACCTATTTAATACATTGTTTATCAATTTTACAAATAGTTGCTGATATTCATTTTAAAAGAGGACCATTTCATTTAAGTGAAGGTAAGTTTAATAATGAATATTTTGATAATTCTAAAATTATTTTAGATATAAGTCGATTAACTTCAGGAGTAGTTTTAATATTTTCATATCAATATGATCTTAAATATCTCATTGTACCTTATATTATATTACAATTAATAAGATAAGGTGAACGTTTTGAAAATATCTACACATCAACATAATTAATAATTTATATTTTAATTCTTTGGATAGCATTAATAATGACATTTGCTTGTTTATTAGAATCAGATGAAGGCATTCATTATTCAATTTCATTAGCAATATCAATATTGACACATAATGGCACTATATATATTGAAGTTACTACTTAGAATGCTTTACTTTTGTAAAGTTTTATGATCATAAGTTCAATAACAATGATTTATACAGCATCAACAATATTTATATGGATTAAACCAACAATTAAGTTGGAAGAGGAGAAGGAGAAACATTTGGCATCATTTTTAAATGGTATTAAAGATAAAAAAATTGAATATGGATTACAGTGTCGTTGTTATTCATATTTAGAATATGTAATTGATGTAATGATAATCATTAATCTAAGATTAGGAAGATATCATTAAGACCAGAGATCTATTAGCTAAGAAGTTATCCCCAGGCCTTTAAGAAGAACTTTAAATTTCTATTCGTTCTAAGATGGTTGATAAAATTAAATTGTTTGATAAGTTTACATCTAGTTTAAAATAACAATTAATTTATTGGTTTGATATGGCATAATATAACCCAGAAGAAAATATTGTGTAAGTAATAAATTTAATTTAAAATTAAATAGGAACATCAAGTTGAAGATTTCTGTCTCTATTATATTTTGAAAGGAAAAGTTAAAATTTAATTTTAAGGCTATTTTTAAGGTAAACCTAAACGGACTTTCCATACTTTATCAGAAGGACAGACCTTTGGAGAATTCTCATTTGTTAGTGGAATTCCTCCCTATATTTCTATTAATAGTTAAGGGTTGAGCACAGTTTTAAAGTTGAGAAGATCAGATTTCTTAGAAATCATTAAGACTTTCCCTTAAGATAATGAGATTTTTTGTTTATTCAAGGATAATTGTTATTAGAATCACAATATGTTCGAATGTCATTATTGTAAAATAAAGGGACATTTATTATTTGAATGTCAATACTTACAATATTATCCAAAAAGATTAAATGTTATTGAAAAGCATATCTATCCTCATCCATAATAACGATTTAAGTGTGAAAGAAAACATAAAGAACCAAAGGCTCTATTGATGTTATTTATTGTAGGAGAACGAGCTAAACAATACCAATAGAAATTATCCTAAGAAGTAATGACTTCAGAAGACTTCCCTATGTCATCACAATTACCTTACAGTGAAAGTATTTATACCTTTGATATAAATATATATTAAATTTACATAGATTAGACCTAACAATCCGCCAGCTATTTGAGCAAAACCCAATCCATACACAAATATAGTCCAGAACATTTAAGTGACAATCCAGATAGCGATGGAGATCAACTATATGAAGAATAAGCTATTGATCCTGTACTTAATAATCAGTTAAGAAAACAATAAAATAAAACTACTTTAAGAACTGCAGGATTTCCTTTCATGTCGGAAACTCTAGGTACTAAGGTTAATAAGCCTATGATAGAGAACTTGCACAAAGAAAAGCTGCAAGTAATTACTGAGCAATCTTAAAGCAAATAACTTGATTCTCTAAATTCAAAATAAGAGGATACAAATTAATTGAGCAAATAGAGTAGCGGTTCACAAGCATTTGCTAAAAAAAACCATCTCTATACTGCTGCTCGTTCTATGCATACGAAATTAACTTTTCGATACTAACAATAATAATCTGGGTAAATGGAAGACCAAATTCAATTTCAATAATAATAATAGAATTCTATCAGATAAACTTCAAATAGATCCAACACATATTCTAATCCTTTATCAAATAATCTATCTAATAATCCATCAAGTAATTCTAAGGCTAATACTAAATCTGCTAGAGTTTCTCCAACATAATTTCAATAACCACCTCCTTAAAAAAAGAAGGAGGATAGAGCATCACATAGTGATTAATCACTCTCAGAACAACAGAGACATACAAACAGAAAAAAAAGTACTAAAACTGGGACTAAGGTTAGTATTCTGAATTAAATGTCTCAATTCTAAATAATTAATACTCCTGAGGTATTGAATTTGATTTATCAATAGAATCATAACTATTAATATAATGATATTGTTTTAAATAGATTTGAAAAGATGCATTTATTTAAGTATTATAATCCACATAATAACTACGATAATGTTATCGTAAGGTACAATTAATAATCAGTGTATAGAATGAACAAATTCCATAGATTGAAAAAGAGCAAGCCTATACATTATACTATAAAATGTTATGTATCTTCAAAAATAAAGAAAGTAAAGAGGATTTTGGAATCTTAATTATGAGATCTGTTATAAAGTTTCTTACTAAGATATAATTAAAATTGTGTGTAATAATATGATATTAATAATGATATGGTTCTCATTTAAGATTTTAATTGTCCCCATATTTTTCTTCAATCCATTTTAGAGTGATGGATCCTGGTCTTTCAATAGGTAAACCAAATGCTCTTGACCAAATGAGATTAGCCATACATCCTAAAGCTCTTGAAACAGCAAAGACTACAGTATAATATTAGAATTCTCTCATTCCATAGTGATATAGAAGGACTCCTGAATGAGCATCAACATTTCTAAAATGATAATAAAATTTTATAATACGGCCATGGATTTTAGATTTTTCCAATAGTTTTTAAAACAGGTGGAATAACATGGTAACATTAAGCAGTTAAATTAACGAGAGGATCATCCTTAATGTGTCTAGCAGCAAATTCTTTTTAATGGATAAAACGTGGATCAGTATATCTAAGTACTGCATGTCCATATCCTGGTATAACTCTACCTTCTCTAATGGTAGTAAGAACATAATCTTATATTTTTTCATTAGATATATTATCACCTAATTCTTCCTATAAAAATATGATATTAGATATACTCTCATTTCTAATAACCATTTAAGTACTTCTTAATTAGCAAGACCATGTAATGGACCAGCTAAACCATTAACACCAGCAGAATATGATAAATATGGATCTGCTAATGCTGAACCAACCAAATGTGTTGTATGAGCACTTACATTACCTCCTTCATGGTCAGCATGAATGCTAAGATAACCTCTTAAACATTCTCGAACTTCAAATTTATTATATCCAAGCATGTGTGCATAATTACCTGCCCAATCTAAATTTTCATCAGCTGAGATTATTTCACCATTCTATTTTATAACAAATACATTTATACCTTATATTTATGTCTATAAATCATTGCAGCCACTCTTGGTAACTTGGCTAACAAATTCATAGCATCTTCATAGAAGTATTCCCAATATTAAGGCTTAGAGATCTTTCCTTAATCATAGCCTTATTAGAAAAGGGAATCTTTTTATAGATACAATAAAGTTTGAGATAACATTGTCATTGGATGAGCTTGTTTTGGTAAATTCAGAATAAATTGTTGGGTTTAAGAATCTAATTACCCTCTCTATTTCCATTCTTATTGAACATCAGCAAATTCTTGTTCGGCTAAACATATTAATCTATATATATTTACATGGGAAATCTCCTGTGCATAACAACCAGAATAAAGCTTCAGGAAGAGGTTCATGACCATTTTCTGCTTTTTAAAGGTACTCCTACAATTCAGGGATATTGTAGTCTCTCATTGTTATACCCTAAGAACTTTTAAACTTAAATCATTACAGTCTTAGCATCCAACAAAGATGCATCATAGAACATAGCAAACACATTTCTCATACCTCCTATTGCTTGATCTACGGTCACTTTACAGATCTCCTTAGATCCGTATTTCTTTCTAGCATCACGGAGCAAAGCTTATTTTACTGGCACAAGATCTCTCATTCTTTACTTTAAAAGACCATGGGAACTATTGAACACACTTCTGAAGAACAATTAGCCTACACTTCTTTGTTTTGTATGCATGATGAGATATTAAATTTATTGCCTAAATAAAAAGATATTTTATCATTTATACACGTATTATTTATATTATAATAACTTAATAAAAAGATACGCAAAATTTCTCCTTTTATTTTTATAAAATTTAATTTTATAATTATATTCTTTTATTATTATATTAATATAATACTTCCAAAATTAAATTAATTGTATTTAATTATATTATATTACATTTAATTTAAAACCCAATAATATCATCATATTATTGTTAAATATAAAATAAATGATAAATTAAATTAACCTCTCATATAATTATCATTTAAAAATTAAACCACATAATAAATTAATATTAAAATATTAGAAAAGTTTAACCTTAAAATATATTATAACACTCTCTTATCTTTTTAACTCTTATATCATATCATACATCCTCCCCTTTTTAGAGATAAAAGAACTATCCCTAAGATAAGATTCCCTTCATGTGGCAATTCTACTAAGTAAACAGGTGTCAAAGCTCCTAAATCAATTATCAATCTGGTCTAATCTCCACCTATGTCTTTATTCATCTAACCAAGACAACATGTGTAAAATCATCATATTTATATTATCACTATAGACATGAATAGACTTGAATCTTATTCTTAACTACACCATTTTAGGCTACAATATTAATAAGCAATTTTACTAATTGAAATGATTACAAATTTCCCACTTAACCATCCTTTTTATTTATATGGATCAAAATAACTACAAAATCATGATACATATTAAATGTACAAAAATTTTAAAGATTTTGAAAGCCTTCAAATTAGAATTGTAATTAAAAATATGATTTAGTTGTTAGTAACATGTTATTAATATTCTTCAGCCAGTTTGAGTAAATCATCTTTAGTTATGTTTGTAATTCTTGAATTTTTAAATGAGACCATTAGATGTCTTATATTTTTTTTTCGAATAGAGAATCTAATAGAAATTAGGTGAGTGGTTAAATGAAATTAAAAAGTATCTTTAAAGGTGAGTTAGAATATCTCTAAATCCTCTGATTTTATAGCTATTGCAGCATTTTTTATTAAGATATCAGGTTAGTGGAATCTTATTGTAAATTCTGTAATGAATTTATCTATATTTTCAAGGGATGCCAAAATCAATTCTTTTATTAGTACCTGTACTTAAATTGTTTAGAGATTATTGAATTAGGAAATTTGAAGAATTCGAGATATGAAATATTTTTTGAGATGGAATTATTTATAAATTCCGTATGATAATATTAGGAGTCTTAATGAATATATAATTAGAATGAAACATTAAATAATATAAGTAACAGCTAAATAGAATGTCAATATTAGAATAGGCATTAAAAAAGGCAGTTGGTTTGGGATATTTGAAATGGGGATTAATATTTGGTGTTGCAAATGGGATGGCAGTGTATTCATATTATAGAGAGAATCGAAATAATAATGATTTGGAAGCATATTAATAATCAGTGTCAAGATATGTTTCTTATTAATCAGGAAAGATGGCAGAGAGAAAGATTCCAAAATGGTTAAGAAGTCCTTTATTTTAATTATTTGGTTATGTGTATAATGTAAATTATGAGGATATGGTGGAGCCATTAGAGAATTATGAGAATTTTTAACAATTTTTTACAAGAAAGATAAAGAGTAGAGAATTTGTTAAAGAGGGGAATAAATTGATAGTACCAGCAGATTCAAAAGTGCTGTCATTTTGTGAAGTGAAAGATGACAGTCCAATATTAGTTAAGAATATGCATTATAAATTGGGATATTTTTTAACAGGATAAGAGACCTTTGAGATGAATGCAAAAGTATTAGAAGATGCAAGAAAAAGAGAGAATACAAAATTATATTCAGTGATATTTTATTTGGCACCAGGAGATTATCATAGATATCATTTACCTTGTGATTTTGAATTGAAAAGTAGAAGTCATATAGTAGGTCATTTGGCTCCAGTGAAAATAAGTTATATAGAAAAGAAAGAAAAAGTATACGAGACAAATGAAAGAGTAGCATTATTTGGAACTTATTAATATGGATTAATGAATATAGTATTGGTAGGTGCTACAAATGTTGGATCTATGACTTTAAATTATGATGTAGAATTTTAGACGAATAGAAAGGCAGAAGAATTATTTGTATATAAACATTATGATCCAAAAATATTTTTAAGGAAAGGAGATGAATTAGGAATGTTCAAATTGGGTTCAACAGTAGTGATGATGTTTGAAGCAGAGAATGTCAAATGGAACATAGAGGAAGGTTAAAAATGTAGATGGGGAGATGTATTTGCAGAAGTAAGTTGAGTTTTGATAAATATATATCAATTTTAATTTTAATGGCAATATTAAGAATAAAAGAATAAGAGGTATCATATTCTTATCTCTATATTGTTGTGTCTTATATAGTGATGAAGTATCTGTTGGAATAATTTATTAATCTAAGACAATTAGATTAATTATCAGTCAAATAGATGCCAATTCATATCGAACAGACTTTGGGGATTACATAGAAATAATTTAAGAGAAGTCAAAGATTTTATTATGATAAATTGTAAAATAGATTTAGATATTGTTTAGATCATTTGAAATGTATACAAAATCAATCAAAACAGCAATTGAGATAATTGTGATATTATGTGGTGTTATGCCATTTATTTGGGAAAGGACTGTCACATTCTTCAAAATGGATCCAAACTCAGAGGTAATTCTATTTTGAGTATAGTTTTAAAGAGGATTAGCATATATTTTTGTGGAATTTCTACGCCTCAAATTAATTGATGTTCCTAATAATTTTTATAACACTCATGTTATAGAAAAGAGATATGATTTAAGTCAAATATCATTTGCACTTTAATTTAGTGATCTAGTTATTGAATCAGCCTTATGGGTAGTCTTTGTACCTATATTACTATATTCCTACTTATATGTAGCTGAACTAGGAGGAGACTATTTCTTTATAGCTGTATATATTAAATTAAGTATTAGATGCAATTCTTTGTATTAATTATGGCAATAGTATCTAGTCTTGTCTATCCAAATTACATTTAACCTTTATTCAATGAATTTGAAGAACTTAAAGAAACATAACTTAAATAGACAATTAATCAATTAGCTTTACGAATGAACTTCCCTTTAGAAAAGATTCTAGTTATGGATGGATCTAAAAGATCCGATCATTCTAATGCATATTTCTTTGGTATGTATAGCAAACGTATTGTATTATTTGACACTCTTATCAATAATCTTACTAATGAAGAAATTGTAGCTGTTGTTGCTCATGAATTAGGACATTGGAAATATAAACATCCTTATATTAAATTATTTTTCTTTTGCATCAAAAGTATTTTAATTAATTTATTATTTTTAGTCCTTATCACTTTCTATATTTTTGGTTTCTATAGAGATTCTGATGTTGTATTCTTAAGTTTTGGATTCAAGGAGAAATCTATTTTTATAGGCTCCGCTTTATTCTTTTCTCTTTTTGAACCCATGAATACATTATTTCAAATATTTGAACTCCATCTATCTCGCTTCTTTGAATATTAAGCAGATATCTTTGCTAGTAATCATGGTCTAGGATCTTATCTAATGAGTGGACTTATTAAATTGTTCAAATAGAATTCCACCAATTTAATGATAGATCCAGTCTATCAATGGTACTATAATAGTCATCCTTCATTGTTTGAACGATTGAAATACTTAAATAAATTGAGATGATTAATTAATTACTTTTTTATAATCATATTAATTATTTGACATTATCATATAAATTATTTGTCCAAACCCTACCTTAAAATCCTAAAATTTTTTTCTACATTATTTTAATGAATAACAAACTTTCTGATTTAATTAGTAACTATCTCAACGAATAGAAACATCTTTCAGATAAATATACCAGATTATTCAATCAAATCAAATAAGCTGATTCATACTATGGTCGTAATTCCAATTCTATACTTAATCTTAAAAAAAGATCTTCCAATTCAGATTATAGTTATAGTTCCAATAAAGAAAAGGTTTATTGTTAATTTTGTGGAAAACAATATACCAGTAGATTACCATTAAAGAATCACATTGAAAAATTTCATTTCCAAGAAAACTATCCATCTAAACATGAACTCTCTACTAAATAAATCACTTCCTATGATGATGAAGAAGATTGTAGAAATGATGAAAATAGTTATAACGAAGCTGATGAACAATTAAGACAAAAACTATTGAGAAATGTATAAGCCATTGAAAAAAGAGAAAATCAAACATAATCTTAAGAAGATGTAGTTATCAGTGGTATTGATTCAGATTCATAAAATTGATTCATATTATTATTCATATTATTCATTATTTTATTTAAAATCCATTTTTTACTCTTATGAACAATTTAACAAGGATTTTCATTTTTATACAGATGCTACTTATTTTTTTTATGGATTTCAATAATATTTATGGATTCACAATAAATTGATTGTCCACTCTCAGAATTGATGACAAATGAAGAAATAAGAGAATGGGCATTTTCATTGGATCCTCAACCTGAAAAAAAAAGCAAATTAAATTCATCCATGCCTTAAATTAGCAGTTCAGCTACTATTAATAGAGCTTGTCAAAAACAATAAGAATTAAAGACTAAATAAATCCCTCGAATCATTCAACCATAACCAATACAAATTGAAAATTAAAAACAAAAAAAAGAAATTATACATCGCCTAAAATTATAAAATAGACTCATGAAAGAAATGATCCAATAGTAAAAAGATTTATTAGAGCAGATGAAAAAGTCTTGATTTAATTTTTAATTATAATTATATCAATAATTTAAATAAAAAAAAAAGATAACTTATGGATTAAGCCAATAAGTTGTAATACTAATAATAAGTTGAAAAATATCTTGAAAGAAACAAAGTTTATCACATCTTTGAAGATTTACTTAAAGCTTTAATTATTAAAAAACCTGATGATCCAATCTCATTTCTTATTAACAAACTACAAGAACCAGAAAGTAGATATATCCTATATAATTAAGCTAAAAAAATCTTTGTTGTTGGTCCTCCTGGATCAAAATTAAGAGAATTATCACTTACATTAGCTGATTATTTGAATTTTCATATTGTCTCAATTGGAGATTTAATTGAAAAAGAGTTAAGTAAAAAATCAGAATTGGTATACATTATATACATTATCTTATTTAGAGTCAATAAATTTAAGAATCATTGGATAAATTTTAGTATGTGAGTGATGATATTGTTATTAATATAGCATTAAATTAAATCAATCATTTAGAAAATGAAAAAAAAAGCTATATTTTTGAAGGATTTCCTAAAACTCGAGTTTAAGGATTGGCTCTTCAAAAAGAAGGTATAATTCCTGATGCATTCTTAATTTTGGAAATGTCAGAAGAAAAAATATATTAATGTTGCGTAAAAAAATTAGAAACAGAACCATTTAATAAATTAAATAATAAAGAAGATTTAGTAAAGAATCATACATTGGAATACAAATTGAATTTAAAATAAGTTAAAGAAATTTACAAAAACTAATATTTTTAGGTAGATGGAGAAAAGAATTATGAATTAGAAGATATGGCAGTAATTATTATAACAATTAATTATTTAGTAACTATTGAAATATAAACTATATGATAATGCACCAAAAAGAGCACTTAGAATAATAGTGATAGGACCTCCTGGATCTGGTAGATCGACATTAGCTAAGAAATTATCAAGCAAATATGGATTTATATATATTTCAACAAGGGAATTAATATCAAATTTAATAAATAAGAAAGGAACAACTGGAAAAGAGGCATTTGAAAAAGTAAATAAAGGAGAACTTGTAGATGATAGAATAGTGAATGCTTTAATAAAAGAAAGAGTTAATTAGACAGATTGTTAATTATAAGGTTTTGTTTTAGATGGTTATCCAAAAACAGAAAAATAATTAGAATAATTAAATGAATTAAACATTTAACCAACTTTAATGGTAATAATAGATGCAGCAGATGATATAATTATAAGAAGACTTGTTTAAAGAAGAACTGATCCAATTACAGGAGTAGTTTATAATTCAATAGACGAAGCTGATAAGGAAGTGAGATCAAGATTGATAATAGCACCAAATGAAAAAAGAGAGGTTGTATAATTGAGGTATAATTGGGAAATTAATAATTTTATAGATTGAAGAGATGGGATGATTTAAAATAATTGATAGATGGAACACCTAAATATGCATCAATTATTTATAAAGTATCAGGAGAGAATTCTAAAGAAAATATGATTGAATAAGTATGTTATCATTTAGAAAAAATGAATTGATTTATTATATCAATAAATATAGATATTTTATCTTAATAATCATAATCATTATTAACTTAATACTTCTTAAGCTTATTTTTTTAATAATCTTTTCAATTCTTCAGGTGCTTTACTTACTTCTTCTTCTTCTTCTGTAATTGGATAAAATTTAAAACGAGGATCACCGTATTTTGTAATTTAGATTTCACTCTTATCACAATCAAAATAAAAGCTTAAAGTAAAATCAATTTATTAAGCAGCCTCTTTTGTACATGGTATTACTGCATATCTACCATTACTTAAACATATATCATTAGTATCAATTTCTCTTCTTAGATTTAATTTGCCAGAAGTCGCAACTTTCTTAAAATCATCAAATTTGGCTAAACATTTTTCAGATCCTAAAGAAAATACACAAAGTAAAATAGGTTTCATAACATTTGGGAATGGATATCTTTCTCCTAAAAATAATCTACCTAATTTAATTTGATAAATATATATAATACCATCCATTTATTACATTTAAATGTACATATTAGTTTTATCTCCCTTTTTTCTGTTTAATTAAATAATATATTATGGATTTTTCTAAGCATATTAAATTAAAGATGCTTCATTTTTCATTGGAGCTCCTGAACTCTACAATCCAAATGTATCGAATGCTCTTAATCCACTCCAATCTTTAGGAAAATCACTATAAATTTAATATATTATTAAATACATGCATTAAAATAGATTAGAAAACACACTTCTCCAACTTTTGAAACACATAAAGAATGTACCATCATCTTATCCATAAACATAAGGTTCTGGAGGTTCTCTATCTTCTGATTTAGCTTTTTCAATTTCTTTTTAATAATAATCATTAATCCAATCAATCCATTTATCTAATTTAGCAGAATAATCTGGAGTTTCTGACCATTTTAATTTCCATTCTCCATATCCCCATGGATTTCTAATCTTTAGTAATCTATGTGATTTATGATAATTTTAACAACTCTAATCAGGAATTTCAAATACATCTAAAATACCATAAGCATGTCCACTCATAACACCTGTATCTTCATCATTTATTTTAATATATAATTCAGTACCACCTTCAGCACTACATCCTAACATAGTTCCATCCTTCTTACATTTTAATAAAAGATTCCAAAGTTCTTCTCTTTTTTCTTTTACTTTGCAATCATCTTATAACTTTATTTTATCAGGTACTTTACCAGTCATATCTGCTAATCCTTAAGCAATGTCTCCTGCTGTTAAAGCAAAGTAATTTTGATGAAGTTTTGCATAAGCTTTTTCAATTAAATTAACCCAACATTCTGTAGGTTTTCTACATTTACCAAATACATATTCATTATCTTTGACACATAATTTATCATCTATAACAACATATTTCCATCCGAAATTTTTAAAGAATCTCATAACATAAATACCATATTTTCTTAAGAATTTAAAACATGGTGGATATACTCCTATAAGCATTCCATTAACTTCTTAATCTGTTAATTCTTATATTGATTCTTAAGTAATTACAAAATCTCCTTATAAATATTATTCATATCCTGAAATAATCGATAATGCTGAAACAAACCAACAATTACCTAAATATTTAGATTAACAAACATCATTAGATGCAGCTCCATCTTCATCAAATACATCAACATGACTATTTTTATATTGTTCATCTCCATTCTCTACTAAAATAGCTAATAATTCTTCTGGTCTTAACCATTTACATTCCTTAGGTTAAGGAGCACCTTCTGGTACATCATTATCAGCAAAATACATACTTTTACTACCATATGGATCTTCTTTTGTAGGTCCAAATTCTGGATCTTCCCATTTTGTACCTGGATTCTATTCCAATTTTGATATCTCCTCATATACATATCTTAAACATGCTAAATCAGAATTAAATATTGTTGTCCATTTTGTTTCTTCTTTATGTAATGTCTTTCCACTTCCTTCCATTCTGTACTTTTAAAAACAATCATCCTCAGTTATTACAGGTTTTAATTTTGATAATGTTGTAGCATATTCTCCTACCGATTTTAATGAAGCTCTCATTGATTTATTTAATGTATTATCTAAATTCATTGTTTTCTATGGAATATATATAGATAAGATCTTTTAAACTTAATCAATTATTTCTTATGCTGATAATATTCCTGATCCATCTATATCAAAATAAGAAAATAATGCATCAGAATGTTTTTTAGATGGACATGAAAATAAAATCTAAGCTAATTAATAAAATTAATCAGGTGTTAATTATGTATCTTCATATATTTATTCAGATGCTAAATGTTAAACTATTCCAATCTCTAAAGCTTATAATTTTCTTGTTAAAATTTCAAATAACAAATCAAAATTATCTTTTTAAGATTTGAATTCTTAAAAAAAGACCATTAATTCATCATAATCTATTGATCCATTTTTATTTAAATCTATAGCATTAAAAAATGCTAATTAATCACTTTTTGGTATTTTTTTATCAAATCTTTTATAAAAATCATATAACATAATTCCTGCTCCTGGAACTTCTAATTATTATATAACAATTCTTATAAATTCAATAGCATCAACACCTTAAGCTTTAAGTTTAGTAATAATAGTTTAAATATTCTTTTTATCTTCATCTGTTAACATAATAATAGTTTCATTTAAAAATGCATGTGATGATGACATATTCATACCTGATTTAGATTATCCCATTTATGTTTAAGTCATTCTAAATGGATCCAGTTATTATTATGATGCTTAACTTGGTTTAAGTATTCCAACTGGTTAAGATTTAGGAATAGTATATCCTCCACCTCCTCCTACATTTTGATTAATCTAAACTCCTAAACCTATATCTGATTATGCAACTCTCATTGCTTTTCTAACCTCTTAATCATAAAATGTTGCTTAAAGTACTCCACTCTTATTTACATCTATATGGTTAAAAACTGCTATAATTTCTTTTTCATTTAATAAATTTGATCCATCTATTCCATGAATGAATGATCTTATAATTTTTAACAGAATTACACAAAATGAGATGGTATTATATTATCTCCTAATTTTTTAAGAGAATCCTCAACAGACATTCTATTCATCAATAGTAAACGAGCATATTTTAACAAACTCTCTTAACCATAAGTTCTAGCCTAACCTTATACTCTCTCTTCATTTATTCCATAGGCTTACAAACAATCATAATACTCTATATTAATTTTTCTATTTTACCTTCTCTCTTTATCACTCCTGAACAATCTTCATCAAAAATTCTAACCAACATTGTTAATTAAGTATTATTCAATCCTAATCTAACTTTTGATAAAAATAATCTCATATCTTCAGTACTTATTTATCCTTATCCTTCTCTATCAGATGCTCTAAACATCATCTCTGGAGTTAATCCTATTCTTCTACAACTTCTTGAAAAAATTCCCATAACTGCTTAATTACTTAAATCAATTTAATCATGTTAAGAATCCAAAGGAATACCCTATTCTCTCATTTTATCTATTAACTCCTCATTCTACTTTTACAATTTTAACACTTTTAATTTTAATAACTTCACAGCATTTCTATAATCTTCTATTGATTTTTATTTTGTTGCCATTTATTTATTAAAATATATTTATTAAGAAAATAATTTTTAAATCTATTCAAACTTAATCAAATATAATATTCCTCACTTCTCTTTTATTCCAATCATCCTTCATTTTTTTATTCATTTTTATTATAATAATAATAATTCATTTCTGCAATCATCAATATATCTAAAAATATATTCTCAATATTTCTACATCAATTTTTCTATATATTATATTAATTCACATTATATATATTTATTTTTTATATTTTCTGATTTAAATTGCTTATTTTTTGATCTAACCAAATCAAAAATAAAAATATTACTAATTTAAACATGTTTCATCGAAAACAATTAAGTATTTAACTTGGATAAAAATCTCGATAATCATCACCATCATCATAAGGATCTGAAACTCCAAAACATAAAAAATCTAATTCTTATATGTAATTTTCACCTAAATTGGACTGTAATAATGGATTATCATTTGTTAATGAGATAAAAGAAGTCAAAATTACATCCCCAAGAACTGAAGATCTTTAATCACCAAAGTCTTTGTAACAAAAATAAACTAAATGTAATAATATTATTCACAAAGAGGAATAAATGAAAAAAAGTCAATTTAGTAAAACTAAAAGTGAGGATTTTGTATGATTATTATTTTTATTCTTGTAAGTACATTTTTCCATTTTTTAAAATAATTCCTCTTCTTATCTCAATAATATTTTTAAACAGTACTTATCAATATGTTTAAGAAATTACTTAAATATGATTATATATGAAGAAGATGCATAAGTTAGTAAATAATAAATTCAGATTTTATTTAGAAAATGTTGACATATTAAAATATTTATCTTGATTTAGTTTCTAAAAATAATTAATTTAACAGTAAATTAATACTATAGTAAGAAAGTCACCACATTATATTTTAACTAAAATTTATTTGAAATAAGAAAAATTGTAAACTATTCTTTTTTTTTATTTCATGTAATGAAAATTTAGATTATCAAATAAAATAAAATTTGATTGAAATAATAAAGTAAATAAAATTAAATATAAAAGGATTTGAATTTTTGCTAAAACACACACATATTGTATTAAGATCATTATTAAAAAAATCTTGATTTATTAATGATATTTGCAATAGTAGGAATCTGAGTTTGTTTGGGTGATTTGATTGATGGCAATCTAAATTGAGTAGGAGAAGGAGTTTTAAGAGTCCTTTTAGTATGAGATTAAGGAGTTAGAGTTTTTGGAGAACCAATGAAACTCAATACTAAAGATTCTCTTGAAACTTATCTTTTAGACATCTATGGAGTGTTAAATGTACCTTAGACAGTTTTAAGCATTTTATTTTTTTATATTGGAGGTTTATCTCTTTAAGTCATAGGCAATTATAAATGAATAAATTCTTATTCATATGGATATAATTAATTGATTTCTGTTAAATTAGATTTAGCATAACTTTTACTATCATTTTCGTTTGGATCCTTTTTGATAGATAATTATGATAATCTATTGAAAACCATTAAAGTTTTGATAATTTTTATGAATTTCTATTTCACAACAAATGTAGATATAATTTCATTTGTTGTGATTGGAAATTATTATTAATCAACATTTTTAATCCATGGATGATCCAAACATTAATAAGCAGACATTCTATCATTAGGTTATAAAGCCATAGTTTTTAATATAAAATCTTTAGCCATCAATGGAATATTCTCTCTAAAATGCAAATTAAATTCTAATTTTGCCAATCTTCTGAAATATTCTGAACTTCTCATTCCAGAGACAAAGAATGGATGCTATCCATTATGAAATAACTAATAAAATATGATTCCAAGTGCAAATATGTCTACAGTCTAATTATAAGGCACATCTTATGCCAATTCTGGTGCCATGTATAACAATGTACCACATTATTTATTAGCTATTTTGTGTGAACTTATTTAATAGCTAAGTCCAAGGTCAATCAGTTTAACAATGGATTAATTGTTTTCTCGAACCAAATATATGTTTGCTTAAATCCTAAATTTTTCTTACATGGCTTCAAATCTCGATGAATAATCCCTTGATTATGTAGATAGCTCAATCCTTCTAAGATTTGCTTTATAAGATTTCTAATTTTGTTCTCAGGTAATTCCTTATAAATTACTTCTTAAAGTGTAATTCCTTATAGGTATTCCATTATTATATACAAATGATTATGTGTATAAAGCAACTAATACATTACAAAATATACAACTTTATGAAAATGCACAATATTTTTGTGATTGCATTTCTCTAATAGAGATGCTTCTTAATCTTATGCTTTATTCTTATTTCTTTCAATAATCTATCCATTTAAACTAAATCATTTACTTTAATTGCTACAATTTTGTTTAGCTCTTTACTTTAAGCCTTAACAACTTTACCATAAGCACCTCCTCCTAACAAATCTATATAAATAAATTGATCTGCTAGTATTTAATCATTCAATTCATCAATTAAATGAGAAATATCATTCATATTATTAATATCAATATAATTTGCATTTTTGCTTAAGATTAAAATCTAAATAAATATAAATTCTATTTTTTTCTATTCTTCTAAAATTTAACACATTTTTTCCGAATGAGATTAATTTATTATTATAATTTTTTTGATATATAAATATATATATATATATAATTTATATTTATACTTAAGATAAAATTTATAAAGCTTTTTGTTATAAGCTTTTTTAAAGCGATAAAAAAATGTCAAAAAATATAACTATGTACATGATGGATTAATTTCATTTAAAATGTTTTATTATTTTTAATGCTAAACTTATTGACATAAACTATTTAACAATTTTAGTCAATTTGAAAAATTTAACTCTTCTAATTCACCAGAAATAACTGTTAATTTTATTGGAATTACAAACATATTAGAAATATTTAAAATTTATATTTTATTAACAAAAAATTATAAATAGATTTATATTCATATCAAAATTAGAAGAGAAAACTAAAACATTTCAATTATTTTTTTTAGTCTTCGATAAACAATTCTCAATATGAATATCATCTAAGCTTTACTTATATATTTCAGGTATTTAAAGTTTTTTTATTTATTAACAACTAGAATATAGAATTTAAATAATATATTTAAGCCCTAATAAGTTCTATCTTTTGCTTCCTTATTTTTATTAGTATTTCCTAATCATTTGAATCATTAAAATATTGGTAATCATTCATTTTTAATTCCTTATGATTTTAGCAAAACTAAATTTTATATTTATTTCTGAAACTTTTATATAAACAAGAAGGTGCATGTTCGACAATTAATTTATTAATTTAGCAAATATTATGATGAAATACTTTATATAGAAAAAAATTGATTAAATTTATGTTTCATTTATTGTTAGAAAATTCTAACAAATGTTTAGTTAGAACTCTTAAATAAATTAATATCTATAAATTTAATTAATATATTTAATCAATGATTATATAAATTAAATATCAAAAATATATGATGGTTATTTATAGGGAAAGAAAAAAAATGAAATTTACATTTTATATTAGAGAAAACCATTAAAAATTTAAATAATAAATTTATTTATCAATTATTGTATACTATTGAAAAATCACAGAATTAATCATATAATTTTTATTAAAACAAATAAGAATGCAATAAGAGAAACAAAATATGATGAAATCAAATTTATTTTTATAATTGTAAAATCTTATTTAGTTTTTCTTCTTCTAATTTTTATATTAAAATTAATTAATCTTCGTTCTATACTTAATCTCTAATTTTTTAGATTCTTTAGTTGAAATATGCCACTATTTTTTAAATTTATTTAGCTTCTTAATCTACTTATAAGCTGTTTCGTCTTTAAGCAATTCTAAATTTAATTGAATCAGTTTATTGATTAATTTGTTCTTTAATAAATTATGATTGTTATTTGTGATTTAGCTCTTATTATTTTATAAATGATTTAACTTACTCCCTCTCTAATTATAAAGAATTATATAATTAATTCTGTTTATTTTCTTTTCTTTATTGATGGTACGATTAACTGTATTAATAATACATTTTATTTAATAAATAATTATTAACTAATAAACCTTTCTATCTTTTATAATATTGTATAATTTAAAAATAAATCTCCTTTTAAGAAATTTAACATAAAAACAATTCTAAATAGTTGTACAAAAATTTGACAATAAAATATATAACAAACTATCACTATTATTTCATTCAGGTTTTTTTTTAAATTAATTTGCTTGTTCATGCATACTTTCTAAGATAAAATTAAGCTTGATGCCAATCTCATTGTATTTAATTTTATTTTACTTAATTATTTTATTCAATTAGATTTAAAAAGGCAGAATCAAGATCATTTAAAGCTTGAAACATCTCAGGATCTTTTTCTGTTTCATTTTCTTGTTAGATTTTCATTTATTGAGAATCATCTTCTTAAATTTTAGATAAATTTACTTTTTTTAGGTGATTCTGAATTGCCCATGGTAGTTGTATAGTTTTGATAAAAATATTAAAAAAGTAAATAATATAAATTCTTTAGAGAAAAATAATGATTTTATTGAAAATATATTTGAAAATTAAAAAGAAATTGATTGATTCAATCTTTCTTAATATTTAAAGTTGAATTATTGAAATTTTTATTAAATTTTTTAGGATCCACATATAGAAAAGGATTATCAAGACATTTTTTAATAAATAGATCCCAATTTTCAGTTTTAATTTATTTTTATTCTGCTTATTTCCATAATAGAGATACAGGAATTTTTTAAGCTGGGCTGGATTAAGGATATCCTAATTTTAAATTTAAGACTTTAGAATAAAAACATCTTTATGCAAATGTTTTTGGATCATTTTATTCTTTTATTGTTTCTGATAATTCACTAATATTAGTCAGTAAGACATCTCCTTTCCTTTATTGAGATGTAATTCCTTATTATGATTTAAGACTTCCATGTGAGAATCGTGTTAAATTTGTCATTCGATTCTCTAGATTTTGGTTTTATGTTAATTAATGTCCTGAAGTAATAATTTCTGACTATTCAAATTAGTTCGATATCAAATTTTATAAATTAAAATTACTCAATGTTTAAGTGGAACCTGTTGATATTTTTGATTATTTTGAATGAAAAACAGTACTTGTTTATGCATAAAAGTGTTATTAAGATTGAGAAGGTCGAATAACTTTAGAATTTAACTAATTCTGAATCATTATAATTCTTTCAATTATAAGTGAGCGCAATCTTTCTATATATATTTATAAATTCAATGATTCTATTGGTTCTTTACTTAAAATATGAAGCTCATTTTCAAATTCTATTAATGATGCTTCTTCTACATATCCTATAGTATTAATTTGAGTAACTAATTCACAAATTCGACATAATCTTTGAGTTTGTTAATAGTTCTTATTTTACAAATTTGATTTCAATTTTTTTAATTTGAAATCATTTTCTTCAAAACAAATTGAAGAAAATGCAAATTTAAGTACTTTATTCGATACTTAAGTACAAATTTGTGCATGAAGATCTATTCTATCTAAAGGAATGAATTCTTCACAATTAACACAGTGGGCGAGAATACTACTTTTTTCTTTAGTCCTTTATGGAATTGTTTAGCTTTTGTTCAATTTATACATTAATTATAATAATGAATGAATTATATTAAAATAAATGTTATTTGCGAATACTCAGTGAATTTAGGTATTTGAAACTTAATATACAGGGAACTCAAATTGCCTCCAAGAGTAACAAATTTAAAAAAGGAAAGTTAACAAACAAACTAAATAAAATAATTATTAAGCAAACCTACAATTCATCGTAAAATTTTGAGTGAACATTGTCCAAAAGTACCTAAATTAAAAATAGAATACACTTATACAAAAAATAATTCACCTAGGTTCCGTATAATAAAGAACCTGTCTCCAATAAATACTACTAGAAGTTCTAGACCTACTACCCATCGAACCGTAAGAGCTTATCTTACTCAAACAAAGCAAGGAAAGTTTAATACTTTACCATAAGTTCAATAATATTAATAGACAATTGAAGAAACTCCTTAATTGGAAATATATTCATGTTAACAACCTCCTGCTTTATAGTCTCCTAAAGAGACAGTAATATCAGAATTTCAATCTCCTAGGATTATGTAATGTTTTGATTTTGATCATTAATTTGTGAAATCAAAGATAGAACCTCCTAAACGATCAAAAAAATAATTAAGAATGATACTTTTAAGAGCAATTAATAAATTAAAAGCAATGAATATCGATCCACAATATATGATTGAAAATAAAGTATTCTCTAAAAAGCCTTACTAAAGAAAAATGTCTAATGAATTTATTCATGCAGTTAAATTGAATCAAAAAGACAGAGTTTATGAATTATTAGAGTAAAATAGATATCTTGTATTTGATTTTGATTTCTATAATATGACTGCTTTACATTGGGCATGTAAAAAAGGATTAATAGAAATGGTTGAACTTTTAATTAAGAATCATGCAGATGTAGATGCAGTTGATATTTTACATAGAACTCCACTTTATTTAGCAATTTAAGGAAATTATCTTGAAATTGTAGAAGTAAATATTATCATATGAATTTAATTTAGACATTATTAAAAAATAAAGCATATCCTTGGTCTACATATTATACAGATTTGGCTGAAGTAGTTTAAGACAATAGAAAAGTTTAAAAACTACTCACTCTAGTCAGAAGAGTAATAATTTTAAATTACTTTAGATTGACATTATTAATACTTGGGGAGATAAGAAAGTTGAAGAAGATTGTATTTGAATATAGCTTAATCATTATATTTTCTTTATTAATATAAATTCTAAAAAGAAATCAACTTAAATTAATATACTTTATTTATGGATTAACAAGATTAAGACTCATTATTGCAAATTTCCGAATCTGACTGTTAAACTAATATGCTTCTATCAAATAACTTAACTGATATCTTTTTTAATGATTATTATAGCAAATTTAAGAATAGTTAAAACATACAAGAACCCTCTATGACTATGTCAAGAGTATCTTAATTAGATAAAATTTCTGATGATAATTCAAATATCACACATATGAAAGTATATCATGCTTCAGAAAGATTGCTATTTGAATTATAAAAAAATTAAGTATATCTCTTACATTATATAGTTATTAGAAAATAAATTAAGTTAACAAGCTAAATTGATATAAAATTTATAAGAATAGATAAACTCTAAAGAATTGTAATTACAAGAAAGCATTTAACTATGTGAATAACTTTAATCTTAACTAGAAAATCACAAAAAAATTAATAAAGAACAATCAAAATAAATTTCAGAACTTAAATTTGAAATTAAGGAAATTAATAACTAATTATTACATATTTCTTTTTCAAAAAGAATTAATCTCAACAATTTAAAGTAAGAAACTAATCAATCTTCTATTGAATGCCTTTCCTTTAGGCCTTCATCATCATAACCTAGAGAAAAAAAAACAAACAATAATCATTCCTACTCATCTTCTAGAGCTAATTTTTAAAAAATTCTAACTGATAATACATAAAACATTTCAAATGATAAAATTATTAAGGATAAAGTTTTATCTTTTTTGAATCCAAAACATAAAAATACTTAATAAAATGAAAAAGATAACAAAATAAAAAAATATTATAGATCTTAATCCAATTTTTGGTCCAGTGTTACAACCTCTCCTAATCCTAGCAAAAGCAATTATACATAAATTAGCATCTCTACTAATAAATCATAAATTTCTGATAAGAAAATTGAGAATACTCTCACTTTATTAAAAGCTATTAAAATATAATGTAATCAATTTTCAAATAACAAAAAACTACACTGAAACCTACATTTATGAATTCAAATTATTATAAAATTACTTATAATTTTAAACTTTTTTATTATGTTTAAAAATTTAATTATTTTCCTTAATATTTGGACAATGAAGCAGAAGTATTGCTAAAAGAGCAAAATTAGTTAAATTAAAAAAAACTATCGAAAAAAGTTGAGAGTATTTTAATTACAAAATTATGTCTTTTTAATTACAAAATTATATCTTTTTAATTACAATTGTAAACAGTTTAGTTTGCTTTTTTAACTAAAGAAAGATTCTTAAAACCAATAGCTAGTTGTCGAGCTGAATATCTTTATAATAATTATTCCATACTTAAGATTTTTAAGGAAAGAAGATAAGTTAAAAAGCATTACATGGAAAAGAAAATTATTTTATGAATCATAAATAGATTTTAAGCATTATAATCAAAAATTGATAAAAGATTTTAAAATCAAAGAGTTCAAATTTCCAATTTGAAATAAACCATTTCCGAAAAAAAATATTTTTAAACATTTAATTTTGTTAAATTTAGTTTGTGCCCAACTAATGAAGAAGCAGAAAATAAAAAGCATAGTTGTATAAACATTGAGTTAAAAGAAAAATAAAACGAATATCATAAATAATTTAAAGTTACTGATGCAATCCAATAATATAATAATCAAAAAAAATTTTGTAAAACTAAAGTCAACATCTTAAAAAAAAAGTAAGTAAAATTATTTATCACAAATCTCATTTATTATTACAAATCTTTATTTAACTAATAACATAAATTGAAAGATAAATTATTTGCTAGAAATGTAAGATTAGGGTTTAATTGAATTATTTGATAATAATTAATAAAAAAATTTAAAACTAAACAAATCTATTTTTCAAATAATTTTTTATTTATTAAAATATATATAATTATCAAGCATGACTGTTAAGTAATTAATTGATTTATAGTCTATATTGATTATTATCGTCTAAATATATAAAATGATGGGAAGCCTAATTTAGATATATTATCTTACACTTAAATAACTTTGTGCAGAAATATAATTTAGAGATGGAAATAATCTCGTTATTTCCCTAAAGATATCTTCTATTGAACAACTATCATCAGAAAAAAGAAAACTATCGCAAAAATTTTAATTTAATTTTATAACATCTTTTACATTCTTTAAAAATGTCTAAAGATCTCTATTTTTTTGATAAATATCTATCCAATAGGTTACTGTTTTGTTTTCTTATATTAATAAAAGAGCTATTGTCTTAATTTAGCTAATATCAAAAAAGTTTTGTGATTTAAGTTCTTTTATAATTTAGATTTATAATTCTTATTGTTTTTTTCTAAATAATACTCTTGATAAAAGTAAGAAACCTATTTAAGGATGGCATGCTTTACCATAAATTTCAATAGTATGTTCTTCTGCAGAATCAATATTTGCGAGAGCTTAAGTAAAATTAAACTATTGTAAATGGCATTCTGCTAATATAAGATATATATTTATATAAAATATATGGTTAGTTATTTTTTATTATTGGGAAAGTATTTAAAAAAATTCTAAAGATTTTTCAGCAGATAATTAAACTAAAAAAAAGATTTCTTCTCTTACAGGTTTTTTTGCAAATTTTTAGTATACTATTTATTTAAATGTTAATTTTGCCAACTATTAGTTATAAGCTATAATTTCTTATTAAGAATGTTGATGCTTGAAAGATTAGTAACAATTTATTAAAAGTTTTCTTTCTCTTATAGTTTCTTTTGCTTCATTCATTATTTATTAATCATATTGAATAATTGATTATTTTTCTAAATTTATATTCACCATAAATATTAAGGATAATAGTTTATATAAATAAGCAATTTAGTATTGGTTCTATGTTTTATCCAATAAATTTAATACTTAAAAAAAAGAAAACTTAAATTAATTTATGTTGATTAAAATATCAACATGATTCAAAATTATTTCACAAATAAACTCATCATCAATTAAATGACAATAATAAACATCACTTGACTATTAATTAATCTAAGTTTTTCGAGTTTAGTCTTTAGGTAAAAAATTGGATAAAATTTATTGAAATTTAGAGAGCTTTTTGAAATGCTTATTCTAAAAATCTCCTTCTAGTGTAATTTATTTACTATTTTCATAAGCATAAAAAAATTAAAGAACTTGGTAAGAATATTGTAAAGCAACATGATATTCTTTTTAATTTATATAAATTCTAATCATAAGATGTTTATTTATTGCTGCTATTAATGTATTAGTATCATCTAAAATTTACGAATGAATACTTAAAATGAAATCTTGTGCTTTTTCTTATTTGGTAATTCCTATAGAAACTTTTATGTATATTAAGAAATTTTCATATAATTATTTCAAATGATTTAATTCTCTGTTATTTTCTATTTAATTTAAATTATCTTCAAAGTATTCTATGACTTCATGAAAATTCTAAATGTAAAAGAAATGATGTATAAGATGTCTTGAATAAATATTGATATCATCATAAAACTTAACACTAGAAGACCTTTAGTATAAGGAATCATAAGGTTATATAAAATTTAAATCTATTTTTTTATTTGGTATATACAATGCGATAATATTTAAATCATTTTCAAAATTTTCATGCATTTATAAAAATAATATTGATTTTGTGATTATGGATTTTTTACAAAATTATATTAAAAATTCCATTTGATCATATTATTAGGATTAAAGTAAAATTTGTAATATCATTAACATAATAATTGATGGTTGGATGTTAATTGATTATTCTTTTTGTATTTGGATCAATGTTTAGCCTAAATCTTAATTTTGATGGATTTTAATTAGTAAATATGAATAAAGAATTTAAAATAGTTATGATTTCTTTAGATTTACATCAATTAAAAGGAGAGAATCTTCTAATAATATTTATTTAATTTTCATTAATATGTCTCTATTATCCTTTTACAAATTTAATACATTAACTGCATTTTTAGATAGTTCTCTTAATGAAAATTCATTATTTTCTAGATTTTCTATATTTTTAGGAGAAAATGCAAACAAAATACTTTAGATATGATACAATCTGAATTATAATAAACCGTTACTATGAAACCATGAATAAAAAGGTATTGTTATTTAATGATGTAAATATTATAATTATGATATATAAGAATTTTGATAGATTTCTCTATCAACATTATCTATTTAAAATTTTAATTGTTGTATCTTATAATTTAATGGAAAGTAACAATCTAAATGTAAAATTTATTATATAATTCTTATTAAATAAAGTTAGACTCTTAAATCATTTGGATTAATCTTTAATTATTCATGCAAAATTTATTTATTGTGTATATTTTAATTAAGATTACTATAAGTCATAACTTATTTCCATTTATATTAAAAATCATTAGATAGAATATATTCTGATTAATATGAATATGTTTATTCTATCCATTTTTATAATTTTACACATTCAAACTTACCAATTTCACATTCTTATTCTTTTCTTATATAAATTATAGGAATCTCATCAAAAATAATACTTTTTAGATAACTACAAAAATATTCATATGTTGGTGAATTCTCAATTCCCATAAGTAAGAAACTTCTAGCTTTTCTTTCATAAATATCATTTTCTGAATCATGCCATATTTCTATCTATAAATAATTATAATAAAGAAGTTAATGAAAATACGTTGGATCATCTTAACAAAATTAACTCATTGAAAAATTAATTTAAAATGTAAATGCATCAATTTTATTTTCTTTTGGTGACATTTAATTATAATTATAAAGATCTGGACTTAAATCTTTTAATTCTTTTGTTAATTCTAACTAATTCTTTGATCTAATAAGTTCCATTTAAATTTCAATACAATCATCTATTTATTTAGCTGCAATTGGCATTTCCATTTTAAAATAATGCCCTAAACAATTAAGTGCATTAAATTAATTTTAAAATCTTCTAATAGTTTTTCGAAATTAAAATAGATTTTCTATAAGTTTCTTATTTTATCTTAATTAATTAATTAATTAAATTCTTTCATGATGTTTAAATTTAATCACATTTCCAGCTTAATTCTTTGTTATTCCAAATAATGCTTAAGCTTCTTATTTTGTTATTTATTCTAAATTAATATTAATTTATAATTATATAAGAACAAGATCTAAATTCTTAATTAGATCTGCTAAACAATTCTAAATTAATTCAAATTATTAACTAAATTGATTAGTATGTTTTGAATTACCCATCATATTATTTGTGTTTTATATTGTCTGATTAAGATTTTTACTTTTAGTTTACATTTAAATACAAAATTTTATAAAAAAAACCATTGTTACTTATACTATTTCTTCCATTTCTTAATGATTTATTGAATATTTCATAAAATTATTAATGATATAACCTTAAAAGGCTTCTGAAGCATTATTTCCACATTTATATATTTATCTATGTAAAATTGATTCAAATTAATGTATATAAAACAAGCCTTTTTCAAATTATTTCATTCTTAATGAAAAGTTTCCTCTATGAAGTGTTAATTATAAATATTCTGAAAAATCACACTGCAAATTTTCATTTATTTCTTATCTTTCTACAATGAATGTTTCTTAAAATTTATCTTAATACTTTACAAATGATAAAAGTTCACTTAGATTACAACTACCATTTAACATTTTAATAATCACATCGTATAATTCATGTTTTTCCATATCAGCTAATGAATTTAATGAATTTTTAAATGGTGTTAGAGTTATCATAGAAATAAGAACTTTTGCTAAACAAAATATATCATTATCTGTATCTGGCTTAATAGAATTTCCTAAGTAATAGCATTTATTATCTAATAGATAATTTTTAGTTGAAATATCACCATGTTATTCTCTTAGAAGTAAAAGTAAATTATCATAAAAGAATGATAAAATTTCATCTTAACTATAATGTAAATGATATTTCTTTCGATATTTAATCACATTTTCTAAAGTTGTTATTGGAGATTATTAATAAATAATTAAACAATATCCTTTTACATAAAAATCATCAATTTTATCAATATGATTAGATAATCTAGTGTAACATTCACCTTAAATATAACTTACTCCTCTATCATCATTTATTGATTATAAATATTTTAATTTTTAACCATGTTTTAATTATAGAAATTATATTAATTATGGTTATTTTTTTTCATTAATATTTGCCAACCACATTGTTTCATTAAATTATTTTATAAAATTTATTTCAGGCATAGGAAACATTTCTTCCTCAAAATATTCCATCATTATTTATTACAATATAAGTTTTTAGGTATCAAATATATATGTATCTCTAACTTTTTCAATAATATCCTTAAAAGTACTTGACTTTTTATATGATGCAGAATAATATTTTAGATTTGTATGCCCTGCTGATAAAGGAATCAATTTAACATTGCTATAAATAATCAAAAATGTTACTTTTAAGTATATTATTGACTAAAATTTATTATGCTTTATAAAGAAACTTCCTTAAATTCAAAGCCTTTATTATTTTTTTCAAACTATTCAAAATTTGATTCCTCTCCAGGTAATTATTTTGCAGATAATCTTTTTAAAAATACTGAGATTAATATTTTTGAATTTAATTTAATTGAAGTCTTACGAAATCGATTAAACCATACTGCTTTTTTTATTTTTATGAATATAAATTTTTATGCATTTAACCATTTATGCTTATTATAATATTTCCTCATTTTTTCCTTTAGTCCTTTCAACTCTTTAATATCATGTTCCTCTTTAGAATCTTTTAATTTTGCTATTTTTTTTCTGTAAAAATTATGAATATACAATTTTGCTTAAGATTTTTATGTTTTTAAACTTTATTATATAATTTTATATCTTACTATATCAAAATTCTTAATTATCTATTTTTTTCTTGGAAAATAATAATTTCTTTAAAGAAATCTTAAGTCTGTCCAAGATTTATGATAATTAAGTAATAAATCAACTTAATGGAACATTTTTTAAATTTTCTCTTAGTTGGTTATTTTTTTTTTTTTTTGAATAATAAATTTTTCATAAAAACTTGAGGATCTAACAAAAATAGGTGCTTTTCTCACTCTATTTTTCAATTTTGGTTTTGATGTAATTTATTCTGTATCTTATAATATAGGTGCTTCCATAACTTCTTTTCTTATATAATATTTATCTAAATCACTATCTGAACTCATAGTTTCAAATTCTTCATCTTATTCTTATATTTTTAATCCATAAAATTTATAAATTGGCATTCTTTTTAAATTTTTATTATCTACATAATCAGTAGTTTTATTTTTCTTTTTAAATTTCTCCAATGTTGATTTAACTAAATATTTTTATCGTAAAGTTAATTTTTACAAAAAGTGTGGTGTTTCTGAATACCAAACTTGATATATAAAATTAAGCGTAAAACTAAGAAGCATAAATGAAACAAAAATAAATATTTAACTTCTTTTCTCAAAAATAAGGCTATTTGATAGTCCATAACTAGATATTATAATGCTTGATAATATAATATATTTTAGAATATTATTCCAAACTTTAACAAAACAATCTATTGAAGGCCAAGGTCTTTAATAATAATATAAATATTATGCTTTGTCTGCATAAATCTAAACTACAAATAAAAGCCATTACATAAAATATGTTATTGGATATATATATGCAAAATATGTTAAAATTGTTAATTCTACCATATTTTATTAAAGGTTTTCCTCTATACAATTAAAATATTGATCTTTTATATTTGAAGGTTTCTTTGATTAAACTTCAATATACTGATTGATATCTTCTTATTAAAATTTGTAAATAAATAGTGGTTATCTTCTCAAAGAGTAAAAGTTAAATAGAAAAACACATAATTTTTCAACACTTTTTATTATTATATAAGTAAGAAAGTAATAACCAATATATTATTCACAAGAATCATTTGAGCAGACTAATTAAAAAGAGTGATTAAAGAATCTTAAAATCAAAAGAGGCCCTAATTATTGGGTGATTGAAAAAGAATATAATTTTAAATTATAACTCTATTTTAATGCTTAAATAGTACGTAGTTATTCAAAATCAACTAAATGTTAGATAGCTTTTTATGCATGAAATGTATACAATTTATTAAGAATCAGATGTAAAGTAGCAATAACTATTATTTCAAAATTACTTTAATTTGTAGTTTATTTAAATAAGGATTGAAACCATACACATAAAAAATAGAGAGCTACAAATAACACAGAACATAGTAACTAAAGTAAGACAAAAATTATCATAGAAATACATTCTCTAAATATTTAATCTAATTCATTTATTTATGGTACATTCATTTGATCATTTATTAGAGATCTTTTGGGTTCTCCAATTGATTTATATGATGTTGTATCAATATCTTCTTAACTATTAACACCAAAAGATTAATTAAAGATCTTTAACTGTTATTCCCATTTTGCTGTATACAATGATGTTATTTATAATTAGCAAACAAGATATATAATTTCTAAAATACTTAAGTATTATTATAAATCATTTGGTATTTAAATCATGTAATAGGTTAAGCCTAAACAATTTTAATATAGTAACATTTAAGAAAAGAAACATAAAAAATAAAAGTAGGTTCCAACAGACTCTCCAAAATATTAACATAATAAATCAAATTTCATTTTCATTGGTAATAATAAATGAAATTTTAATTAAGTTCCAATATCAAATAATTTTTCTTAATAAAATTATTCTCTATTTCTAGATAAATTATCATAGGATGAATAATATAGACCAAATAGTTCAAAATTATCATGCAAGCAAAATAATTATTTGATTAGATTTTTTTAATATAGTAAAGTTATATCAAAACTTTAAAAAATATTTAAATATGCTAATCTCAATCTTTCAGATGATTAAAATATAGTTACTTTTTCTCCTTAATTTAATTAATATTTTTTCCAACACATCAATTAACAATGTTTGTGATGCAATGAACGATCTGTTTAAGGGTTGGAATACTTAGTTTTCATATTTAAAGGTTCTTATAATTTAACTAAATCCCATAAACATTTTAAATATTTCTTTTCATTATTTGCTACTTTTAGAGATTCTTTAAATATTTCTAAATATTTTTTAGCCAATTATTCTTTTTTTAACACTTTAATAAGTTTTGTATAAGGAACAGTAGTTAAATTGAAAATATTTTTATATTCTTCAATCATATTTGAAGCATCTTTTTAAAATTTATCAATTTTTTTTGTTTTTATAGCTTCTAAATCTTAATAGAATGTTTTTGATATTTTTATATCTAAATCTAATTCATTCAAACTATTTGATTTAGCACGTCTTAAATATAAATCTAATGCTGATATTTATTTATTTATTAAAGCTGCTACATCATTATCAATTTTAAAGCTTTTTCTAGCAATATCTAATTATTCATGTAAATGAGTTAAATAATAATAAAATGCTACCCATTCTAAATCTGTAGGACTATCTTAATCATCATACAAATCTAATCCATAATTAAATAATTTCTAATTAATTCCACTTTAATTAACTTCTCTTGCTATTCTTTTGAAATCAATTTCTTATATTAATTATATCAATATTGGTCTTAGATACATAAACATCTATGATAAATTTTTATAATTTTAAGGTTTCCATAATCTATTATTTAATCTAAGAGGTCTAAAACTTTTATCAAGTGGTTCAAAAGAAAATAAATCAATAAATTATATATTTAGTAGTTTGAAAAGACCTTAATTTTCTGCTTATATTTTTAAACTTTCCTCTGTTGCAAATAAAGAACAAAATATATATTTTCCATTTTTTGAAAGAAATTGTTGTGTAAAATATCCCTATCTACATAATACTAAACATATAAGGTTTCTTACTAAAGTAGAAAAATCTTTTGTATCTTTTTTCGTTCTCTGCCATTTTTTATCATATTTTATAAGATATCCTCCTTTATTTAATTTTTTGTTTGGTAAGAATTTCAACAACTTATAATCTATTTCAAAGGCTTCATTGATTTAATTCTAATCTGAACCAAATTACCAACTACCAGTTAATTTATTATTTAGTTTTAAAATAAGTTTATCCTTAAATTTTTCACTTTGATCTTCTTCATTAATAGTAGCACTAGTCTCAAATCTTTTTGATTCTTCTGTGTTTTCAAATTAAATAAATTAGTTTTCTCTTCTAACTTTCTATCTAAACAATTTTCTACGAGAATGTTTTGTATTTTCTTTTGAATTATCCAAAACTTATAAAACACCTTCACATGCTTTTAATAATATTTTCTCCTCTATACTACCTTTATTAAATTTTACTAATGTTTTTATTAATTCAAAACCTTCTATTCCAGATATTGAATGTGAATTTGATGATCCATAATCAGGATTTGGAAATCTATATAAATTTTTTAATTATAATACTTTATTATTGCATCAGGAAGCTAAGTTTCTTATGTTTCACTACTAAAATTTCCCCACATTTATTCAAGCATTTCAAGCTCATGTTTCTTTAAATCTATTCCCAATAAAAAATGTAAAAAAACAGAGTATTTTTCGCAAAAATTCTAGATTGCTTTTACTTTCCTCTTTAAATAAGTAGCTTCTTAATTTTCTTAATTATTCTCATTGTTTGTTTTCAATTATATTGATGCATCTTTTATATATGATTAAGATAGAGAATTGTCAGAAATAGTATCCATTTCTTTATTTAGAATTCTTTGAAATTAATTGTAAATTATTTTATGATGTTATACTCCTTTTATAATTATGACATTACTTACATTTTAAAAATTAGAATCATCTAAAATAATATAAATCAATAAACTTAACATTCATTATTTTATAATAAGAGAAGGAAATTATTTTTTATATTTTTTTAATAAATTGTATAAATTTTTAATTAGATTGTTTTTTATTGAACTATAAGATTATTAATTTTTATTTTAACATTAATTGTTAAAATGGTTTAAACAATAATAAGTATTTAATTCAACAAAAATAATTTAAATAAGAAATAGGTTTATAAAATGAATAATGTAGAAAATTTTGAATAATGATAAATTTATAAAATTCTACTTTGAGAATCATATATATTTTGATGAGTTATTATTTTTTTTAGATTAACCCAAATATTTGCTTGTATTTTGATTTTGATTACTTTAAATTAAACTGGAATTTATTTACAATTTATTAATTTGAGCTAGAAGTGATGGGTTTTTTAATTTTATAAGAGATGTTATATCATTTAATCTAGAATAATAAAAAAGAATATACCTATTTTAAACATATTATAGTTTAGCTTTCATTAAATTATATCGAAAGGAAACATTTTGCCTTATAACTTCTTCAGTTGCAGAACGAAATTCTAAAGTTAACATCTCCATAAATTTATATTCTAAGTTTTCTATAAAATCTAATTTAGCAGACCCATCTTATTGCATAAAAAATACACAAAAGAAGCTAAAACAGTTTTAATTTAATTATACTGGTTAGGTTCCTTATGAGATGAATTTAATAATTTAATTAACATTTGTAAGAATTAAGGATATTCTATTGTAAGTTTTTATGCTTCTTTTATATTTTAATAATTTTCTCTATCAACACTAATTAAAATAAGTAGATAAAATACATTGTTATGTAATTAAAGAATAGATCTGTTTCACTAGTCAATTCTATTTTCAAATTCTCAAATGCTTATAGATCTCCCTAACAATAATTTGAGATTTTACCTAAACAAGTATTTTTACTTTGATTTATTCAAGTGTTCCTATCTCTTAAGTATCATTATTAGCATTTTATATTCTATAGATAACTATTATAAAAACTTAACCTTGTTTCTATATTAATTTCTTTATTAAATTAAATTTTATATCCTCCTGCCAAACTAGGGTCTATATCTTCTAATGTTCCTAAATCTAACTGAGAATCGTCCATTTTATTTAATATTAATTTTATATTTATATAAATAAAAATTGATAAAAAAAAGTATTTATATTATGATCTAAAAAATTTAACTTAATCTATTAATAAATATCTATCATTAGATTAAGAATACCATTTTAAAACAAAAACTCATTCTTAATCAGTTTTCATGAATTTAATATTTTCATTCTCTCTAGAAGTTAAGATTCTAAATGTTGATTTTGGCTATTATAAAGATATATGTAATCTTAAATATAAAGATATTAATACTTTTAATTGTCACTTTAAATTTTGGAAATAGAAAATAAATATTATTTCAATTTTTTAAAGTTTGCCTTTAACTATTGTTCTCTCTCTTTTGAATCATTTAACTTTTTATTCAAATATAAAACCCATTTTGATCTATTATTACAAAATTTAATAGTTTGTAATACAAGACTTAATACATTATTCTTGTATTTTTTTTAGTAGACTCTAAAAATTTCATAGATAAATGGATAACATAGTTTGATACATAAAAGTATAATAAAAGTTTAGAGAAGATAAGAATAAGTTAAATTAGATTATTATTCGCATACATATTTTGTTGCTGCTAAGAATATTGAAATAGAGCAAATTTATCCAGTTTCAAGATCAAGAGAATTGAGTTTTTAATTCACATAAGGTTTGGCTTTTACAGTCAATAATTAATATACTAATAAACTTAATCCTAATAATGATGCTTTTAATAATATATTAGTTTCAAAGTAAGTAAGAATAATAATAAGAATTGTCTTCTTCCATATTTTTATATATTCCCAAAAATAACAATGCTCATCATATTCATTAAACATATAACAGATGTGTCTTCTAAATTTAATTAAATCAAGTTTTCTTCTCATAACAAACATTAAAGAAAATAAAAACATAGGAATAAAACAACCAATAAATCCTAAACCTGGTAATATAAAACTAAAAATCCATTTTTAATGGGATTCAGTATCAAACATTAGAGATACATTGCCTTAAACATAATCAATATTTGAAATTGATCTTCTTGCCAACAATGAAGAAAATCTAATTAAATTTTATTTTATATTTTTTACTATTTAATTAATGCTGCAAAATTAGATACATAAAGATAAAGCGCTGTATTTGAAATAACACTATTATTAAATTTAGTGTTTGTAATAAAACATAGAATTCTGAATCCTAAAAATATTGTAATCATCTAAAGTATTATAAGTACCAACATTGCTATTATTCTAGAGTAACTTAGTTATATATATTAAAATTCTAATAAATAACAATCTAAGCTTGTTGCCATAAAATTAGATGGGTTACTAGCTTAATCTACAAACCCAAAAGAAAAAGAAAATTAAATATTAAAAGAAAAAATTACAGAAAATATCCAAAGGAAATTTACAAACATCTTTATTAATATACTTTGATGATCTATAAATTTATTTTAAAATTATACCTTAATTAAGTTTAAATAGAATTTTACTATATTTAGCTCTTAATTTCAATGATTAAAATAAATGATTTGATCTATCTATACTTTTTAATGTCAAAAGAATTTATAGAATAGCCCTATTTATTTTTAGAATTATTACCATAAAGAAGCTATAATAAATGATAATACACTATTTGTAATATAAGAGCATGATTCACAATTGTATTTCTATAAATTTTTATAATAATTTCCTTCTCCTCTAATATTATAATTATCACATTCTTCACATAAACCACCTACATGTCCTCTAAAACATAAATCATTTCCTACTTCCCATCCTCCTAAACAATATTATTATTATTTGAAGCATAGTTCACTATAATCAGACAATAGGTCTGGTCTCCAAAAACCTTCTAACAATTAAATCTTATTTGAAGTTATATTCTAAAACTTTGTCTTATCAAATATCGAACATTTTGTAGAATTATAAGTAACTGAATAAAAACCTTAATTTGATTGACATAATTAACAACCATTGTTTATATAAAATTCTCCCAATTAACATTTTAATGTTTTTGCTGTAAGAATATATCTAATAGTATTTAATGCTTATTCTGTTGAACAATTTATTTACACTAAAATATTTTGATCATTATTTAAATAAGGATCAAATGTAAAAGAATATTTTTCTAAATCAAATGTATTTGTTTCTTAATTATAAGGTAAAACTTCAATTGGTTTCGGATCTGATATTGATTAATTTTTTTCATTCTAAGTGAAAATTTACAAATTACATGTAAAGTTGATAATATTAGATACTTTTTCATTAATACTATTTTAAAAGAATAATGAAAATTAATAGATATATTAAATATATCCTTAATTTTATGGATTAAATATTTTATAGTTAATAATTTATTAACTACTTGGTAAATATAATTATTTTGTAGTTATTAATTAACCTTATTCTATAATTTAATAAGAATTTAATTTTAAATTATTTGTCGTCAAATTTTCTGTCATTTGCTAAGAGGAAAGCATTATATTTGAATTTATTGATAAAGCTAAATGATTTGGCAATTCAAAAATATTATCAGCCAATTTTTCAGCCAAATTCAATTTAATCAATGTATTTTTAATATTATTTTTATTGATTTTATTTTATCCATTAAAATATATTCCTCCTCCTTATTATGCTTTATTTTTTAATATAAATGAATTTATAATCATAAAATTATTGTTACAATTCTCCATATAGATTGCACCACCTTATTCTCTTGCATTATTTTCAATGAAATAATTATTATAAATATCTATTACTACTTTTTTAGCAAAAATAGCTGCACCATATGTGCCATTATTAAGAATAAATTTTAAATTTATCAATTTAATTCTATTTTCTAAATTATTATTAGCAATAAAATTCAGACAGCCAAATTAATTTATTGAATTTTCTATAAAATTAATCTCTACAAGTTTCAAAGTTTAAAATCCTGCTAATTCAAAATATATTAATCCTTTTATATTTCCTAAATAATTATTTTCAATAATAGAAAAAGATCTAAAATTAATAATATTTTCCATAGAAATACTCTATAAAAATATTAAAGATCCAGATGATGATATATTTTATGTCAAATATTTTAAAATTAAAAAAAGGGAATTAGATGACTAATTTTAGTTAATTGGAGTACTTTTAATAGTGCAATTATCCATATAATATTTATTCTACACAATCTTCTAAGATATTGTTTCATCATTACTTTTTTTAAATAATGTTATATTTTTCATTAAGATTGCTTCCAGATGCATAATAGTTTTTTAGGTTTTAGTCTAAGTAAACTATAAAATATTAAAAGAATAAAAAGTCTTAATAGAATTTAGTTTAAAATCTTGAATCTAAATCTTTGGAGAATCAGTAATTTTTAAAATTGGAGAAATAAATGTTCCATGTATTATTAATCCTGTAATAAAAATTTAGCATCCATTTAAATTAATTATTGCATTATCAATATTAACTTTATCTAATTCACTTTAACTGATTGGATCAATTTTTTTGAAATATTCTATCCAATCAATATCAGATTAAGATATCAACAAATCTTAGATTAATACTAAATTTTATTCTTATTTTTATTAAGAAAATTCAATTTTCATAAATTGATTAATTAATGAAAGACAATTTTTTAATTTAACATTTAAAATCTCTATTTTATTGAATTTTTAAGATGGTGTAATTGATAGAATTGAAGAACTTAACCTATTAAAAATATTCTAAAAGGTGACATTCTTAATTTATAAATTTAACATACTGTTTTTTGAATAAATAGCAATACAACCTTATGTTTCAGTTGTTGAAAGCAGATCAACTTCAGCTTAACTAATATCTAATGATTCTAAATGAACAATTCCAAATCCTTATGTTTTAATATCAAAAAGTGAATTACTATCAGAAGATATCTATGAAAATTAACCTTCAGCAATATAAATATTTGAAGAAGTTATTGACATCACTCCTCCTTTATTTTAAATGGTAAATATTTAATTTATAATTTGGTTTATATCATCTTGATTTCTTTCATTAAATATAGGAATCTCATAGAATGTATTCCAAATTATTTAATTCAAAAAGTTATGATTATTTATTTTTATAGTTTTTATTTAAACAGAATTAGCATTTATAAATATATAAGAATTTGATGAGTTAGTTATTGCATTTGATTAGCAAATTAAATTATTTATTATTACAGAACTTTTTTACGAATTAATAAATATAAGTCCTGCTGAAGATTAAGATGGATCGTCAATTTATTCATTAAAAAAACCTTCCAAAAAACGAATGTTTTCAAATGTAATTTCTTAGAATTTTTCAGAATATATTAATATTTATGAAAATAATATTCCTAAATTGTGTTTTAGCAAAATATTTCCTTAAAATTCAGCATCTTTGATTTCAATTATTTCTCTGACATCAGGGGAATAAAATATATTTGAAAGAATATGTAAAAAGGAAAAATCTATACTAAATAAATTCCAAATTCTAATTTTTTCAATAAAGAGTTTATAAAACCCTGAAATCTATAACAATTATGAATTTTTTAATTAATTATTTAAGCATTCAAAAGAAAGAGGCACTTTACGCTTTTGTTTTGTATTTTAGTATATAATATTCTTAATAGTAATATAATATATTTCCAGTAAATTAAAATGATTTATATTGTTTGAATTAGTAATTACACAGTTTTAAATTAATATTTAAAGACAATTTATGTTAAACATATATTCTTTTGATTCAAATAATTAATTATTGTCTTTAATTTAAAGATTAGTAAGATACAAATCGGTTAAACTATTATTAGTGTACAATTTTGTTTCTAAAATAGATGAAGTTTAAAATTAATTCTAATTAATAGATAACTCATCAATTATTATAGTATTAGATTAGCCTTCAACTTCAGTAATACGAGTAAATAATGATAAAATAAATATATTTTAATATAACCATATTTCTTTAATAACTAAATTATAATTTAAATTAAGTAAAATTGAATCTTTAAATTAATTATTTGTAATCTGAACATTATCTAGGTATATTGAAATCTAATTCTATAGAAAAATTAAGCTTGAATTAATAAAAATATTTTCATCTAAGTTTAGATTTTGAAAATATATTTATGATGAATTTTTAGAGTTTGAATTAAAAGAAAATATTGTGGAATTATAGAATTTGCAAAAATAAAACTTTATTTCAGAAATCTATATTTGTTATTTTAAATTAAAGAATGAAAATAATACACTATTTGTAAATGTTGAATTGTATATAACTAAATTTTAAATAGAAATTAAACTTTCTGAACTTTTTGATATGTAATCTAAAAGAGTAGAATTGTGAAGATTTAAAGTCATAATCTGAAGATTTTCTATTATTAAATTTCCAGGTTATTATATGTTTATAGAATATTGTTGGATATCATTTAATTCTCCAAATATGATTGAGTTATTGATAATTAAGTCAATTTGACTAGAATTATTTTCTAGTGTTAAATATGAAAGTTTTCTAATTTCAAAAACCATTTGATTAATTTCAACAATATCAAAATTAAATATACCAATAGGTTTGTATAAACCAAATTAATTTTAGCTAGTCATATAAAGTTTAATTTTCTGTAGAGTAAAAATTATTTCTTTAAGATTATTTTAGATATCGATTAAGTTTGGTAAAACGCAATAAGAATTAGGTTCAATTTAAATTCTCATAAAGATAATTATCATTTAGATGCCTAATTTATTGCAATAATCAGTGTTTATATTTTTTTAATAAAAAGTTTCAAAGTTAGGGCCTAACGTCTATTATAAATTTTAACAATTTATATCAACCTAATTTAATTTAAAGAAATTACTTGATATTAGATATTATCAGTGCAAATAGAATTTTCACAATACTTAGCAATATAAGTATAAGGATCAATTATAATATTATGATCAGGAGCTCTTTGTAGACATTTAAAAGTATAAGGAAGTGTTTGATCACTAATTCGGAAATAAGGATTTATATTCTAAAATTATTTAATAGTAATACTTTTAATTCTTAATCTGTTCTGGATTAACAAACTTAACATAATTAAGGACATTAAATACATTTACTTTACGAAATAGATCGTATTGGTAATTTATAATAATTTAATGGACATTTATTACAATAAAATTGATATGGTGTATGATCAGTCATTAAACATTATAAACAATTAGTATCACAATATTTAATACAATTATTATTTAGATCTGATTGATAGCCATCTACACATTTTAAAGGTTATGTTATAATTTATTGTCGAGTATATGGTTTTGGATACAAATATTAATTGGGTAAAAACTACATTAAAAAACTTTAAATTAATTAAACCCATCCATCTCTTTAAGAACGATCACCTTCAATACATATTTTAGCATATTAAATAGTGCAGATTTAACATAATCCAGTTATTATTGAAGTTGTATAACCATCTTCACATAATATACATTTAATTAATTTTTAAGATGACTATAAACATTATTTACAAAATGGTATATATTTTTAACAATTTATAATTTCAGGAGCAACACTAAAATCATCAATTTTAGATAATGTACAAATTTCTTAACCTTCTAAATTAATAAAAGATCTTTGACAATTTTATATTTTAGGTTTAACTAGTTTGCAGATACCTAAAACAAAATCAAAAATAAAATCATCTATACATAAAGCACAACCCACTTTATGGTTCTCATCAATATAAAATTATGAGAAATCTTTATATAAAGTACATTTAGTTAAATCATTACTTAAATATTCAAAACAATACAGACAATTTTCAATATTACATAACTAACATTAATAAGTTGAAGTCTAATAATATGGAGATTAACATTTATTGATGATGATATTTCCAACAATTCCTGATTATATACATAATCCATCTTAAAGTGATGAGAAATAATCACAAAACAAGCATATTGTTTTAGAAGCAGTAATTTAACAAATTAAACAATTTTATAATTAGCAATTATAACATTCTTTCTAACTTCTCTCAATAGAAAGCATAGATGATGTTTGAAAACAAAAACTCTTAAATTCAATTTCAGCTAAATCAAGTTCATCACTAAGATCATTATCGATTATTGATGTATCTGAAGAATATCGTGTTTATAAATCATGACCATCATAAATATAGTATTATTATGTAGTTTATAAAAACTTAGACACTGTTCCTTATTAATCAATAAATAGAGTTGTTTTACAAAAAGAATTTCTTGCCCAAGTATCAGGTTAATACACACATTCTAAACATGTAATACTTGTATCACTTATAATTGATGGACTAGTATAAATATTTAGATTACCATTTGATACAATTATCATCAAATTAAAAATATCCTTGAAGACATCTCTGTTTTTTTATCTCTTCTTTTACAAGAATAAAATTATAACCAGAATAATCATAACAATTATAATCGTCAACAGTATTATATGGACATACACATGACTTTTACTCAGCTATATACTAACGTTTTGAGTTTATAGAGCATGATAAACAATCTGTACTTGTAGGACCATCACATTATGAGCATCCATTAAAACAATATAGTCCAGGAAGAAATAAAAAGCTAACACAATTTTAAAAAATTGCATTTAAAAACTTTGTAGATATGTAATCTTAATCTAATTTTAATAGATTCCCATATTATAATTTAAATTATACCACACGAAATTAATTTACTGTTTATTAAAATTTATATTCTTAATTTTAATTTTCTTAATAAAAAATGATTGTTGTTTGAATTTAATTATTCTGTAATACTACTTAAACAAAATGCCAAAGTTTGATATCATTTTAAAGAATAAACTCTTTTCTTATCAAATATGGATTGTCTTAAAAATTAATTGAAACAAGAGGAAATGTATAACTATAAGTAGTAAAAATTATTTAATTGTTTTATGAACCAAATTTATAGAACATTTAAAAGGCAGCTAAATTTGCATTACTCAATTAGGAATCTTCAAAACTAGCAGATAATTTTATCATTTAATATAAAAATTCCTCTTGAGATTGATGTATATTTGTTATTTTAATCCAAGTTTAAAAATAAAATGAATTACAATTAGGATTTTATGAAGGGAATATAACTGTTTCCAATTTAGATAATTCTTTATTTTCTAAACTTAATTATTAATTGAATGTACATGCACATGCTTACTTTGGCATAAATACATTAAGTGCAATTACTGCAGCATTTCTTGAAATAAACATAGTACCAGTTGATAATGGATATAAATAAAACTTACCAGGAAAAAACGAAAATTTTGATCTCCCTTCTAAAATTTAAATAATTATTTCTGATTATATTAATAATCCTCCTCCAAAAGTTAACATTAAATTACTTTCTTTATAAGGAAATAAAATATCCTCCTTAATTATATACAGTTTTGTTTGTGGATATTGAATTACTAAATATTCAAATCTTTTTCGTTATGGCCACTGTGTGATTTCAAAATAATGCCAAACATATTCATATTTTTAATTATCTAATTTTACTTCGAAAAAATGCCAATTCCCATCTATCGTAATGAATTGAATTCGTCTTACAATTGTTTAGGTCTCAAAGTTGAGACAATCATATACAATTAAATTCAACTCTTTGGTTTCTTGTTCAATTGCATTATGAAGATGAAAACAATTACTATCTAATACTCCTAATGATCCAACAAGAGATATTCTACCTAAAGGAGTATATCTACTCCATAAACCATATGCAAAGTAAGAATCTATACCATAATTGTTTAGGTTAATTTAAAACGATTATGTTTCTATTTAGGAGTCATCATTCATTTGAACAATATAATATGCCAATAATAGAGAGAATCTCGAAAGTAAGAAAATATAATGGACTGCTTTCATTAAATAAAAATTAAATTAATTAATTGATATGTAATTTAATAGAAAAAAACTTCATTCATACATATTTATAAATATATTATATACATTAATACTTAAAAAGGCTTGAAAAAATAAATCATTATTTGATATTTAACAAGTAAATTATTTAAGGACTAAATTATTTTGTAATATTAGAGAAATAAATAAAATTTAAACTCAAAAAAAATACATATACAGAAGGCATATCTTAATAATCTGAAGGTAAAGAAGTAAGTACTAATAAATTTTAAGTATTTTTTTTCACCAAAAAATAAATGATGTAAAAGAATCACTTAAAACTTATTTAAGATTTTAAATCTTTAATTTGCGAATTAAAGTAATTCAAATTGTTGAAAAGTGGAAAATTGTTATTTTTTCTCATTAAATTTTAAAAATCTTATATGGTCTTAAGTAAAATAATATGTATCCAAAAATTTTTTTATCTAATTTTACAATTTTTTTATCTAATTTTACAATTTTTTTAACATCCCATTTTTATTATTCCCTTAAACTCTTTAATTGTATTTTCTATACTATATTACTATCATTTTTAAAGTTGATGATTGACTTAGAATAAATTAAATTTTAGCTTATTTAAGTAACATTATTAAAAATTTAACAAAAATATTGATTAGTATTCAATTAAATATAAATTTAGAAATTAACTTTTCAAAAACAAAATTTAATTTACTTTGTAAACATTTAGATAATTAATTGCATGAATTTTAGTTTTATTTGTTCCAAAATAAAAGAATTTTAATTGAAAAAAATTGATACTGCATAATTAAATATCAAAATATTTAAATAGAGGTATCAAATGAATTAATGATTATAATAATAAAAATAAATAATCTTTGGAAGCACTTAAATAAGATAAATTTTCTAAAATAGTTATAATTATTTAATAGTAAAGTATTTATTTAATTTGTTAATTTTTTTTATAACCTTTTAAATAATGATTTATGTGAATAATTAAATAAAAAATAATTTTTAAAAGCTATATTTTTATCAACAACACCACTTTTATATTATTTATCTTGATATATCAGTCATTTTACTATTTTATTTGTTTAAAAATTTAAGAGAATTTTTAACTAAATTTATTTTAAAGCTTTTTAGAAATTTTAGAAAATGTTCAAAAAGGATAATCAATTTGAAATGATTTATATTTGTTATAAAATAATTATAAAATAAATTTATTATAAAATCAATCTATTATTAATTCAACCTTCTTTTGTTGTTAAATTTATTCATTTGGTTCTTAATCAATTAGGATTTCAGTTTTTTTATCAGGTTGTAATTTTAAATTTATCAGAAATTTTGATAGGAAGGATTTCTGTTTCTTTTAATTCTTTAATTTCTTAAATTGTTCTAATTCTTTCTTTTTTTTTATTCTATAAAGGATTTTGTAATCTAAGTGGTTTATTTTAAATTTTAGTAGATGTAAATTAAATTTAAAGTTATTAATTTAGATGTTATAACCAAAGAACAGCTAAGAATTTTTCTTCAATAGATTTAATAATTAATCTGTTATCTAGATCAATTTTGAATAGTTCATTTAATTTTTTTTATAGAATTGCTTGATTATCATTGTCATCTTCATCATCCCATATAATACGTGATAAAGAATCAATATTAATTTCAGAGTTGAGATAATTTTTAGTGATTTAACAAAATCAACAATAGTAATAAGTGAGAAATCAACTTTAGTATAGATTTGATTATGAAAGCAAGAATTACATAATGGATTAGAAATAGCAGATTTAAGAGTTAATATTCTTTGTTTTTTACCAGTTGAAACATAGGATGCAGCATTAAGGTCTTAGAAATATTAAATTTTATGATGATTTTGAATGAAAGCTAATAATCATTAGATTTCTAAAGCTGCCACAATAGAATTAGTGGATGCAATAGCATGGATAATATTACCACTAATAGATTTAATTTATTAATAATCATATTATTCAATATTGAAATTTCTACATCTAAGAGCAGTGCTAGCATAAATAAAGAGAACATGAAGATCATCTTCTTTATCATATAATAATTAATGATCAACAATATGAATAGAATGAGGCATTTCTTGTCCTTTAAAGAATTTACTAAAAACAGAATTAGGCTAAGTTTTATCAAATCCTTCTACTTCTAGAATTCCAACTTCTCCTGAGAATAATTATGTAAATAGATATTTAGCCCATATAACACAATGAGTACAATTACTTGGTTATGATCTAATTGTGCATGCTGGATATTATTTTTAAGTAGTTGCAATTGGATAACAATCATAACAAACTGTTCCTTCATAATAAGCATTAGCTTATCCTTTAAATCCCATAGATCCAGCATCAACAATAAATATACCCAATGCATGACATACTTTATTAACATAAGATCTTGTTTCTGCATTATCTAATGCCATTATTGCAGCATCAAATTATCTAAAGAAATCCATAGTATAACCAGGAGATTTAAAAGCAGCAAAATGAGCTATAATATTTAATTATGGTGCCATCTTTTTCATTGTTTAAGCTGCAACAAGAGATTTTGATTAACCTCGATGTTCTAATCGAAATAGAAATTAATGATTTAGATTACTTACTTCTATAGTATCCATATCTATTATATGGAATTCTTAGAATGTGAATTTACTCACCATTTTTAAAACTTCACATCCTATACCACCTACACCAACCATAAGTATACTAATATTTGGATAATTATAATTAATTTTTTCAACTAATTAATTAAATATTTTTTATTTTATTCTTAAAAAAAGACATTATTATCATAGAATTAACTACTCATAAATATTATTTTATATTAATGTAAATATATCATATTCATAAAATCTTTATAGCAATAATTTTTATATCATTTAGTGGTTTATCAAAATCATCTGTTTCAACTTCACTTATTTATACTACAATATTCATTCCTTTATAAACTCTACCAAAAATAGTATGCTATTAAATTAATATTATTTTAATACTTTATCATCTAACCAAGGTGTAGGACAAACAGTTATAAAAAATTAACTTGTATTACTATTTGGACCTGCATTAGCCATACTAACAGTGAATGGTTTATCATGTCTTAATTCTGGATGAAATTCATCTTAAAATTCTCCTCCCCAAATAGATTCTCCTCCTGTTCCATTTCCTTTAGGACAACCTGTCTATATCATAAATCCTTATTAAACACGATGAAATATCAATCCATCATAATAACCATTTTTAGAATGTTATATAAAATTTTCAACTGTCTTTGGTGTTTCATTTGGAAATAAATTTATATAGATTTCTCCATAAGTTGTTTATATAATAGCTTAACAACCAGATAAAGTCTTTAATTTATAATAATAAATTATATACTTTATTTTTATTGTCAGACATTACACTAATACTTTATTAAATAAGATTAAGTGGTTCATTTAAAACATCTCTAGCTACAGTCCATGGTTTATCAGCTAAATCTTCAGGAATTCTACGAGAAAATACATAAAATTTATTTGATTTATGAGCACTTATATATAAAGAAGGATCTGTTTCTTTTCTATTTAAAGAACTATGAGATTATTCATTTTATGTGTTTTTCATTGCAGGTCCTTAATATAAAGCAACTCTCATAAATCTTTAACTACTTTCCATTTTCCCTAAAAGTTTTACAAGTTCTCCAGTCTTAATATAAATAAACTTAATTCCAATAAAAGTAGGATATATTAATATTTGATCAGTTTCATCAAAACACATAGTAATTTATTTTAATTATTCAGGTTGTTTATCTATATCTTTTTCAATCAATAATCTCCTTTCAAAATCTTATTATTCTATATGTAATAATGGATATGTAGCTTAATCATTTTATCTATTGGTTATTGCTTCAATTGATTCATCAAGAGTTAGAATAATCTTTCCTGTTTATATGTTAAATACTCTTAACTTCTTATCAGAAACATACAAAACAATTAATTTCTACATATTACTCATACATATTCCAAAACATGATAATTTATGTTGCATTAATTCATATAAATCAGTTCCAATTTTACTTGAGTATTGAATTTTAAATTAAGGTTTAGCATAAATCTATTTTGGAAAATCTTAAGTAATAGGATCCCAAACTTCAATTCTTCCACTTGTATCTATAGTTAACATAAATTGATAATTGCTTAAATATTTGATTTATTTAACAGGTAAATTATGTAATTTAACTATTCTCACAGTTTTACCACTTTCAGTAACATAAATATCTCCACTATTACCATCACTGATTAATAATAATTATTATTGTACATCTGCAGTATCTACAAATTCACATCCATATGGTTAAAATGGAAGTTTTATCATATCTAATAAATCCTAATTTAATATATCAAATATTTTAATAGTTCTATCTGCAGGAGATACACTTGCCATTTTATCATGCCCATCAGTCAATGTAGCACAAGTGACAATTCCTGTATGTGCTCTAAAATGTTTTATGAATTCAACCAATCTGAATACTTTTCTCCACATCTTTATATGTCCATCTGTTGATATAGTTATTATTATATGTGATTTAAATGCTGATAATACCATATTTATATTTTCTCGATGCATTAATGATCTCTCATATAACTCACTCTAAGGTAAATTATCCAATATTATATCCAATATAGTTTATTATGGTTTTGTAGCATCAGGACCTACAGTCTCAGAATTTTATATAGCTTATGTCACTTTTGATTAAACTACTATTTTCTTTGTCTTCTTTATTTTTTTCTTCACTTATACCAAATTAAATTCCTCTATCTTTTCAGCACCTTCTATTTTTTAATAATTCATTATTTTATATTTAAAATGTATCACAATTTAATTCTCATTTTATTCCTTTTAAAATTCTATTCTCTAACTTTACTCTATTCTCTAACATCACCTTTACTTCTTAGATAAATTATATTTAATATTTTTATTAAGAATTTCAAATTCTTATTCTTTCTATTCAATTAATAATTATATTATTCATATCTATTTATAATCATCTTTTTAATAAAATTCAAAATGTCTAACATGATTTTCAATATTTTTTATATAAATAAAAATAATAAAAACCTTAGATAAAAAACTTGTAAGGAAATTAGATATAATATATGAAATAATATGAATTTATGTTTAATAAAGAATCACAATCAATACTGAGTTCTTCTATATGATGATGTGACTGTTTATGATGGTTATTAGATTCCACTTTAACGAGGTGCTTCAGATGCTCTCAAATTAGTTGGAGTTTAATTAGTCAAATATCTAATGCATAAATCTTCAAGGTCCTAATATGTGATTTTACCATCTTAGTTTCTATCCAAAACCCTAAATAAATAGAATCAATTTTGAACTTATAAAATGAATCAATGTCACCTCTAGCTGGTGAGAAGATTCTATTAAATGATTTATAGACATCAACTATCATAGGTACAACCTCTACATTATCAATCTATCCATTTCTATCTCTATCGTAAGTATCAAAGAGTCTTCTAGCAACAGCCTAAAGTTTCAAATAATTAAAAAACCTTTGCCCCTTCAACATCTGTCAAACCCAAATTCAGTGGTTTTTAATCTTGTCCACTAACTACTTATGTTCTAACAACTGACTCGTAAGTGTTTGAGTATTATTATTACATTACTAAGATTTAAATTAATATAATAACGAGTTTATATCAAAACTTTCATTTTAGTTTTGGCAGTTCAAAAGGAGAAACACTTTATTTACTCATATTTAATGGTTTTCTCTTTGAATTTATTCCAAATCCAATCCTAGCCAAAAATCTTTGTATATGAATACATCCATCACCACATCTCTTATGTATCTATAAATCAATATACATATATATACTCTCATATAATTTTCATAATATTTTTTGAAATCTATATAAGTAATTGTCTATGGAGGTTTATTGGCAAATTGAGATATAATCATATAAAGTTAATCTTACCAAGGATTCTTAGGTCGATTAATAAATTACTGATATATTTTTTTCATAGCATCTTCTTTTAAATGATCTTAAATAACTTCTAAAGGTTTTCCTAAATTAACTCTAACAGCTTCTAATTCAAAATCTGCATCAGTTTATAATTCATCTCCAAAAACATGAAAATACATTTTTTATTCTTTTTATTCTTTTGTTTCAATATCAAATGGAGATGTTAAACCAATCTTATTTTTAAGCATATCTTCTAAAATTTTCTAACTTGTTGTTTATCTTTATTTCTTAGCTATAGAATCTGTACTTACACTACCATAATTTACAATATGAACATCTGATGTTTAACTTATACTTCTACCTTAATTAGGTTAAATGATACTACTTTCATTTGTATAAGAAAGCAACACTTAACTTTTTTATCTTCCAACTTAATTCATTGGTGATTCTATTCCTTTTGGAGGTTAAGTTGTTTTCATTATTGATATTGTTGGTCTTCTAATTTATTATTCCGAATCCGTCGTCTCATTTTTTTATTAAATCATTGTTGTCATCTTACTATCATTTATAGTATTTTCTATATTTTTCTCTTATTTAACTTTTGTTGTTTAATCAACCAAAACTGTTGATGCTCTTGATTTTTATCTTTAAGATGGAGTCTTCTCATAATAATGTATAAATTATTATTCATTTAAAAATATTTATTCTAATCGTTTTACTTATTCTTCTGTCAATCCAAGATCAACTTACATCTTTTAAAATAAATTCCACATAAAAAAGTCATCTGTTTAAGTATATTTTGCTGTCACTTTCTCTTCCAACTATCTATAACTTTATCTCATCAAAGGAGTTTAAATTCCTATCTAAGAACCCATCATATTTGTATTATCTTCTTAAGAATTTAACATTGATGCCTTTATATATTAATTTCCAAAATTCACCTAAACTCCTCTATTTGCTATATCCTCATCAATTTCATCATAATCTACTTCGCCATATTCATCTTTTATTGAATGTCTTTACTTTATTTGTCTTAATTATTTATTTATAAATTGAGATGTTTGTTAAGGTTAAATTATCGATTTTTAATTATTTTAATCTATTTATCCTCTACTTCTATTTCCTTATTGTCTTCCTGATGACATTTATTTTTATTATTCAGTTTTAAATCTACTAGATTCTTTAGGTTATTATAATTGAAATTATTACTATTACGAATTTATTTACTATTATTATTATTACTATTAATTTTAATTAAATGATTAATTTGTTATATTTTTATTGACTTTAGTATCAGATTAACTTTATTTTAATGTAGAAGTATTATTTAATACATTTCTGCTACCAGAAGATGGACTAAATACTTCTTATTTTCTTGGTGAATTTTTTTAGATCATACTATTTTCTTCATTAATTTTATTGAGAGTTGTTTTTTTAAACATATTAATTGAATAATTACTATCATTATTATTATTAATATTATTATTATTTATTATTATTTAAGATTCTGAATTTTCATTTGATTAATCTTCAAACTTATTTTTTGTTTTCTTCATACCAATAAATTTATCTGATTTTTCAGCTGACAATGATTAATCAATTTATGAATCAACTCTTTCTAAAATTATTTTTTTAGATTTTTATTGTTTATTTTTATTTTTTTTTTATTTTTTTATAGAACTTGGTGAAAAATCTTCATTATCACTTTACATTTCTTCAAATTTCTCCAAAACTTCTTCTAAATTTCTATTAGAATTTGTATTATATTGCATTTTTTATCTTACAGTTTTATATAATTCATTTGGAGGCATTTTAGCAATGTCATTTTCTGAATTTTCAATAAGATATTATAAAAATGTTTACAATAATTCGATTTTACCTTCTGCTTATAATTCACTTTAAATAATCATCATTAAAACTTCTTCAATTAATTAAGGTTATAATAATACTTTTTATTTATCATTTTTTGCTTATTCATAAATAGTTTATAATTCCATTTTCATATTTTAATTTTCTTCAACAATTTATTTTAATTATAATTCTAAATTAAAAATTTTAGGATCACTCATACATACCTAAATTTCAATATGACTTTATTTTTCATTTGCTTATTTACTAGTAAAAGTATTATTATTTTTTTCATTTAATTTAATTTATTCCATTTAAATCATTAAATTTACTAATTTTTTCTCTTACTCTTCAAATTTAGAAAACAAAGCAGACATCTTTGATTCTTTTTCTAAAATTTCTTCATTTTTAGTATTAATTAAATTTTCTAACTCATCTATTCTTTACATATTTTATGATTTTCTTTTATGCATTTATAATCCAGCATTCTTTTTCAATTAAAACTTTTCAAATTCTTCTTTCATTTTTCTTTCAGCTAATTTAAATATTCTATCTGCAGTTTACTTTTAAACACCAACAACTACTCTATCCTTAATTTCCTATTTCATATCTCTAGATGGAAATTCAGGTTCTTAATTTGCTATTCTTATTTATTCATTAATAAACATTTCATTTCTTTATAATTCTCTTTCTAATGTTTTACCAAGATCTTAAAGTTTATATGGAGCATTGCTTGCACGTATTTCACTCCATAATCCTTTAATTTTTAGAAACTTTTCTATCTCTCTAAGATTCATTTCATTCTCCTCTTTTGCTCTTTATAATTCCCTCTCTTTCTCACCTAAATATTCTACATTTAAATAACGCATTGCATCTTCACCAGTATCTGTTCCTTTTGATTATACGTTCTTCTTAAATTTTGGCTTATTACTTCTGAATTCTTATTCTGCAGAAATATATTTAGACTTCTCAACAGAAAATATACTAAAACTTTAGATTTCTGCTCCTCCAAATATTGTTTTTTAACTTAAATTAGTCGATAATGATCTTTAACAATATTCTAAAGGAAGTTCTGGGGGATTCTAATGCTTTCGTTGATTTATTTCTTCTACTTTTTAGAACAAAACAGTAAAATGATTGCATAACTTTGTTATTACATTGGCTTCATCATTTAACCCTTTTTTTTGTAAATGAAAATTTATTTCATCAAAACAAAGATTCAACCGTTCTATTATCTTTTCTAAATATTCAATCCCATACATATTTCATCGTGTTTATTGTACTTCCATTCCATTATGTTAATGATTATTTATTCAATTCAGATATTGCTCTCTCTCCTGTTGTTGTAATTTTACTTAGGGCATCCATTTAATATTTATAAATAAAAATTATGAGTGAAGAATTAACTCTTAAGAAAATTAAACAAAAAATATTCTGGGCTGACTATTACACTGAAAAACATAAATTCAAGAATTTTAATCTAAGAAAACATGGTGTTACTATTGATTATGACTTTTTAAGTGACCTAGCAAATAATCAATTTCTGACTGCTTAACACTTTGTTTTTTTCTAGTAAATGTTTTCATTTTATTATGGAGAACTTCTTGTATATATTACTTTCATTATATTAGGTACTTTCATTAGATTGTCATGTTTTCCCGGAGTTCATTCCAGATATTACAAATTCTATCCTTCCAAATATGATTATGTCTTAATTAAGACAAGAGACAACTCAAAATTCTTAAAATTCTTTTTCTAACTTTGAATTATAGTAAGAATATCAGTAAAAATAAACTCAATAAGATTAAAGTGAAAATGTTTCAATTTTCTATAAAACTTTAAATGTCATTAAATCCATTAATCCATTAAGATTGTTATGGAAATCTAAACCTTAATAAGAAATTGATTGTTAAGAAAATTATTTAAATAATTAATATAAAACTAGTTAAGAGAATGTAGTTTCTGAATAAAATTAAGAATTATTGTCAAAGTTTAATTTTGAAGAGAAAAACATTACTTATTTAAAAAAAGATCCTAAAAAATCGACTTAAGTGATTGCCAAAAGCAAAATGAAAATAAATAATGTCATTTTTCTTGAAAATGAAAAAGGAAAATATCAATTTAATAAATTAAAGATTCAAATCAACAATTTAAAAGAAAAATATCAATTTTCCTCTAACATTCAATCAAATTTTTTTAGTCTTTTCAAATACACATACATTCCTATTAATTTATAAAATAATCATTGGCTTTGTGCTATTATAGAATTTAAGGAAAATAAAATACAATATTTAGATTCTAATTTTGCAAAATAAAGTAATGTTATAGAAGGTTTGGAATAAATGTTAAATTATAAAGGAGAATAAACAAAATGGTAAATTATATGTGATAGTCCAAAACAAGAAAATAGGTACGGAATTTATTAATATTAAAAGTTTTGATTGTGGAATATTCTGCTTGATGGCATTGTATTAGCTTTATAAAACAGGTAAATTTATTTAATATAATCAATATAATTAATAAGATATTAATAGTTTTAGAAAATAATTGCTTTACTTGGCAATTATTGAAAGTCAAAGTGATATTAATTAAAAATTACTAAATATTATTTTAGATTATAAACATAAAAATTGAATATAACATAATTAAAATTAAATAAAATTGAAATATTATCAAGAATTTAATTCTGATTTAAATTAATTTTCACAATTTAAATTAGTTTAAGGAGATTATAAAGAAAAAGTTTATATTTATATATATACAAATCGTATTACATTGTGCAGTATTTATTGTCCTTTTCTCAAGAAACTATTCTTGTTATTAAAAAAGATCTGATATAGATTAAATATTTTAAACCAAATAAAAATATAAATATATTTTAATTCAACAAAACGACACTTATTTTTTTTAATCTACCAAATTTAAAATTAAAAGAAAATTTACAATTAATCTTATTTTTATTTTTTAACCCTTGAGTATTTTTTTCACTTTGTAACAGCAAGTATTTCTTCATTTTAATAATTAAACTTTTTACTTATGATAGATTTTATCAAAGAGATTTATCAGAGTTGTAATATTAAAGAACTGTAAATAGAGAGATAAAATTTGGAACTCTAGGAGATTTAGGAGTTTAAAATGTATTATATCATCATAATCGAAAATTACTGCATAAATCATGCTTTTAAATTTACATCCGAAGACTGAGACCTATAATTTTTTAATATTTATATTCAAAGTGTACTTAACATTTATTCTTAACATTATATATTAAATTAGCATAAAAATATCAATTTTACATTAATTAAGTTATTAATGTATTGTAATATTATAAATTCTACCATAATTTAGGTTTACGACTTTGTAGTTGCATTTATAAGTCTTAAAGGAGTATGTAAGAAATTTAATAACTAAAATTTAATGTATTAAGCTTTATGAGATTAATATTTTTTAAAAACTCATAATCTTTTAAATCTTAAATTATATTTGTTAATCTTATTAAAAACTAAAATCACAAAAGTTTAAAATTTCAAATAATTATTTTATTGGTTATTAAAAAAATTAAAATATTCGAGTTTTTTTAATTAAGTATACCTATAAAAATTAATATAATAAAACTTTTAATTTATATTAAAAATTTAGGATGAGTGATTAAGAATTAGGAGAAGATTATGAAAACGAAGAGTAACATCAATAAATTGTTCAAAAAATTGCATAATTAATAGAAAAATGAAGAATATAATGAAAATTTAGAAAAATCTGATAATAAATAATCATAACTTAACAATAATGAGACGGAGACAATGAATAATAATAAAATATAATAAATTATAAAGAGAAAATAATAATTAAGACTAGTAGGATTAATAGAGAAAGGAAGGAAATGAAGAAATTAGTAAGTTGATAATGCAGAAAAGTCATAATAAAATGAGGAAGTAACTTAATGGTAAAAATGAAAAAATAATACATCATAAGGAAAAGTAATAGAAGATGTAAAAAAGAGAAACTATTAATACAATAAGAATGTAGAAAGAATTATATCTTGATAATTTATGAGCTTGAAAAGTGAAGAGAAATTAAATAATTAAGAATGAATCCTCTCGGTTATACCAAAAGTTATTTTAATATAAAAGAATTTTAGAAAAAACAAAAGAGGAATTCTTATTGCTAATTAAGCCATAAATGTTAGTTTAGGATTAGGTTACAGTGAGAATTGTTAAATTTACAAAACAGATTTAGCAGAATTGATTTGTTAACAATGTAAAAAATCAATATAATGTAATAGTTGTTTTAGATTAAGTCATAAAAATTACAAAAGAAAAAGAAATCATGAGTTTTCCATACTTATAAAAATAAATACAGAGATGCCAGTGGTAAGCATTTATTATAATTTATAGAAAAATTAGAAAATAGAAATTTTAAATATTAAAATGGTATGGAAGAAGTATTATCAAACTAATGATAGAATTTATATTATTTTCATCATAGTTACTTCCTTATTTATTTTTTTGTAGGTTTTGTTATATTTGTTTTCTTAAATAAATTTTGATCATTAATACTAATCAATTAAAATTTTGATTTTTTCCAATCGTAATTTATATAGTCATCAAGCTAAATACAAAATGATAGTGTACATTATCTTCAACAATTTATAAATTTAATATTTAATGTCTATTTTCTCCATTACAAAATCTAGGATCAGATTATTTTGACTATTTTTACTAAAATTCTAACTAAATGTTAATTCTACTAAATTTACATTGTAATATATCCTCATTTTGGGAGCTCACTAATTATGATTAAATTTTAACAGATTCTGTAAAATCTTTTCCAAGCAACTAAATATATTATAATTCTCCTTTGGAATTATATTGATCACTTTCGATTAAATAATAATTTTACCTATAAGGTAAATAAGGAGTTTAAGCTTCTGGTCTATCTTCATTACTTGATAAATCTTTACTTAAACCTATGTAAATTAAATATATTACTTGCAGGATCATCTGGTAAAATAAGGCAAATTTTAGCAGCTTTTTAAATCTTGATTTGGATCTAATTTGCTAAAGCTAGATTTTAGAGATATTACTTTTATAATCAAAATTTTAAGGTTAAAGATCTTATTATTCTTTTACCATTTCATGATCATTAATGGCACCAAATTATTAACAGATGGAGGCTCCCATTCTACAACTATTTATTAATTTTTATTATATTTAACATTCATTATAACTAAAATATCACTTAGAATAGCCAGAACACTTCTACCTTTAAATTATTCTGGATTTAAATTAAATATTCCATAAGCAATAATTGAGAAAAGTACTTATTGAAGCTAAAATAAGATCATTATATCAACTCATTGAAAGAGGCATAATATTTGAAACTCTGGTTTTAAAAAACATGGAATCAAATTCCGATTATACTGAAATCAAAGGATTTAGGGTGCAGGAGTCTGAAAATGAGTTAAAATTAGAATTAAGAAAGAGAGTAGAAAATGTTGAAATTTTAATTTGCATTGATTGCTTAATAAAAAAGAAAATTTTGATAATGAGAAATAAGAAAAGTAGTGATTAGATGTATTAAATTAGACTGATACTCTAGTTTAATAACTCTAGAATCCTTATTTGAATCAAATAATTTTAATATTTATCTTACAAAAGGGAATGGAATTATGTCTTGTTACGAATGTTTAGCTTACAGAAGCAATGTAAAAATGAAACTCCTTATTTATAGATTTAAATTAATATGATCTAAATAATTGATAACTTGAAGAACTTAAACTAATTCCAAGATAAAAAAGAGTGGTTATCGCATATTTAGGGAATCATCTTATTAATCTAATAATAAATAAGTTATAAAATGAGATTTTAAATTATCTAAACAGTATTGGAATAGACTATGAACTTGGATCATTTGTGAAAAACCTATAAAGTGATAAGGGGTTAGCTCTGTATTTGAAATGGTTATAAAACAAGCTCAATTCATGATTGACTGTTGGAATTAACTTAAATGTAAAATTATAACAAAAGCAAAACTTTCAAAAATAATACTATTAAATACAAATAAATTATGAGGATATTTAATAAAATCAGGTTCTTTCATTTAAGCTAATAAAGAATTGTACAAAATTGGTGAGAGAGTACTTGGTATTAGAGGGTTTTAACATTTTGATATTACGAATAGTCATTCTTTTAGCAGGACCATTAGCATTGGCTTATAGATTTGGAACTTATGCGATTAAAATAGGTAATTCAACCTTAACATCATATGGAGGCTCATCTCCATCAGTGAAGGAGTCCTCTAGCTTTTATTTTTTGGATCTGAAATCATTATTCATACATTTTTCAAGATGTTTAACATCTGGTTCATTAGGCAGAGCTTTTTTAATTTCATCTATAAGTGTTAGATACATTAAAAGGAGCAATCCAGATATTTTTTCCTGTAAATCTTAAGCTCTTCTATTTTCAATTTCAAGTACTTTTTCACCCCTGATTACAGATACCTTTTCAGCAATTCTAGCAATAGCTTCAATAAATTCATAAAGAGTCATCTAATAGTGTTTTGGTTAAAATAATTCATCTTTTTAAGTAATCATGCTCTATAAGTAGGCAAGGTAACATTCTCGTTCTGATAGTTCATCGCAAATAACATTAGATAATTTTAATAAGTCTTTAAAATCTTAAGGTGAAACGTAATCATATTTATATTGTTAAGGTTTTTTACTTAATTTACAAGTATATTTATAAAGACATTTAATCATGGGCATTCTATCATGAATAAGAATATCACATTTTTCATTCCATAATCTCATTTTCCTCCAAGCTTAAGAAGAATCGAATTTTGATAAGAACTCTTTACATTATGACTATAATTATGATAATCCTTCTGTCATAGTTTAACACAATCCACTCCTAATATATTTATCATTACAAAATCGAACCAAGACCTCCATTAGTTAACATCTCACAATTCCTTTTTCATATGCTTAAGGGAATGATACATCTTTAGCTCCTGCTGTTGATGTAAATCCAATATCAATATCATTTGGTTTGACCCCTTCAATAACATCATTGGAAATAAGAAATTCAACATAATCAGTAGGTCCTAAACATGGAATCTAAAATATTATAAAATATAAAACTGGAGCATTTGGATTGCCTGATGCAAAATATTTATAACAGTTAAAGAGCTACAGATAGAATTACTTTAATATTTCTTTGACATCTTACAATTCTGTTTCTTTTACCAATCTATTTATTTTAGAGTTTGAATAATCAAATTCAAAACATTCATCTATTAATTTATCAGTATCAGGTGGAAAATGTCTAAATATTGATGTTTCTACAGACCATTTAGTAGAAGCAATATTTAAATATGGAGAGAAATCAAATAATGCCATAATTTCTCTTGGTTTAACTTATACTAAAGGAACATATCTATCGAATAAAATTTAATTATTATTTGTAATGTATTCATTAATTATTGGCATAATATTACCATCAACTAAAATTTCATTATTGTATAAAAATGGAATAGATGGAAGCGGTTAATGAAGAGATAAAACATTTTGATCTTCTGCAATACATTGAATTCCTAAAATAGGATTAGTAAAAAAATATTTGATTGATCTATTAGGAGGACACATCTTAACAAAAAAGAATTCTCCATTTAAAAATGTCATTAAATAGGGTTTATAATCATCGAAATCGAAATGTATAAAGATAGGTTCAGATTACAAGGTTCCTGATTTTGGATTCCATTAAAATTTAATTTCTTACCACCCTTCACAAATCCAACATACATCCAATTTATTTATCATATTTACTTTTTATTTGTTTAATTCAGTTGATTTCATTCTTCTACTTCTATGATAAGCTAAATATAAATCATCATCAGTTTTTAATTTATTCGAATTGTCTAATTTTTCTTCATCCAATAATTTAAAATATTATGGTTATTTGTTTAATTATTCTATTTTCTATTATCTTATTTTTAATTCTTCCCTTCTATTAATAAGAAATCCATTAGGATTCATAATTATATCTTAATAATTACCTTCGAAATGAAATCCATAGATAGTTTCATTTTTTACTAATCCATCAGCAATAACTTAACTTTGTTGCTAATTAAACTTATTATATCTAAGATCTATATGAACTAATTCATTATAAGGACGAGACAATGCTTTGGCTATTGCTTAGGCACATTCTAAAGATGCTATTGCATTATGAGACATATCTAAAATCTTTATGCTTGTATTCTTATACATTGCTTTCCATATTTAAATACTTCCATTTATTTAGAGATTATTAAATCCCAAATATAATTCTAATAATCGTTATGATTGTTTTAAAAAATTACTTAATAATGTACTTGAAGATTCTGTAATTTTATTATTACATAAATTTAAACACTGTAAAGTATTGTTGTTCATTAAATATTTAATTAGAGTATTACAACCTTAATCTCTAAGTAAATTTTATTCTAAATTCAATTTTAATATCAAATTCTTATTAACATAAGTCATCAATGTATCTACATGTTTAAAATTTAATTTGCAGTCTTTTAATTCTAGTTCTCGTACTGTATTAGGAAAACTAATTAATAATTCTTTAAACTATCTTGGATCGTAAATATTACTATTCAACTACATTTTCTAGATTCCTTATGATTATGTAGTTGTCATAGCTTATGCATATACTTTACAATCATCAATACTTCTTAGATATCTAGATGCATTCACTTAAGTTAATGGACTTCCTAAAGGTGATACTAATCCAAAGGTTTTTGGTACAAAATTCTAAGCTAACCAATAAATAACAAAAAACATTATACAGTTGTTTAATTTTAGATATAAATTTTCTGGGGATTACTAATAGACTTTAGCATATTCAGTTAATTTTTCTTTTTATCTTACACATTTCATAAACTCTGTTGTTGTCAAATTTGGTAACTGTTTACTAAAATTTATATATTATTCTTACTTTCCTAATTTCATTTTTTCGAGAAAGTCATCAGTATCTAAAGACTTTAAATTAATTGAAGATCTTCTACCATCAAATTATGATGTATTAAATTTATCAGTTTTTTAAGGAGATATGAAAATTTATGAATTCTAAGATTAAATTGAACCTCTTCTAATCTTCTCTGTTGTTTCATTAAATTCTTTGATTTGTTCAGCATCCTTTTACATAAATGATTTCCAATCTAAAACTTAACTAACACCTAGATCCTGTGATAATCGTTTTTCTTAACTTCTTGAATCATTTCGTTTATCTTTTTCAATTATTAATGGTTCCAATTTCGAGAGTTTTCTTGAAAGACTTACTTATTATTTTGTTTTGAATTATGATGGACTAGCTGTAAGAAACATGATGCTTTTTGAATCAATTGATCCTAATGTAGTGTCATCCATAATGATTGGTTAAAACTTATTATGCATTAATATAACCTTATATGTTTATTAATATCAGAGGAATTAAAATAAAAACTTAATTATAATTACAATTTTCAATTTCCCTAGAGTCTCTTTTATTCATATAGAATTATTATCTAACAAGATTATTCTATATCAAAAATACTATAATAACAACTTAAAATAATATAATCAATAATTTATAAATATTTCAATGAATTAATAAGAATAAGTATCATTTAAAACTTTTTAATTGCTTCAGCTCCAAAATTTAGACAATTAATAATATTTAAGTGGAGACCTCTAAATAAAATAAAATTTTATTCTCAAAGATGAAGAAATAAGCTTATTTACTTTATAAAACAATATAAATGATCCAAACACTCATTTTGTATTAGAATTATAGGATGAATTTAGAAATCAATACCTTTATTATGGAGACTTAATAGCAATTAAACATTTTAAGTCTCAGTTATATGTAAATATAAATCATTCTTAAAAACCTGATGAATTTTAATCAGTTGATGCATATTTGGGTGAAAAACCAGAATACTTTGTAATTCAACCAAAGGATGAGGGAAATTCAACATTACTTAAATATCTTAATTAAAAAATCACCCATCCATTTAGATTATTTTCTACAGATAATAGAAATTATTTAATTTCTCAATAATAGAAAAAGAAGAATAAATATTTAGTAAAAGGAAGAAAAAATTAAAATGATATAAATCTAAATATAGGAGTTTGGAGATTCATTTTTGTAGAATAATAAAATAATATTTTGAAAATGTTTGATAATGTAAGCAATGAACCAATTTTTATTGAAAGTGGAAAAAAAGTAATAATCAGAAATTGGCTTACAGGTTTTACTTTACATTCACACCCTATTATAACAAAAACAGCCAACAAATAGGAAGTTACAGTTGTTAGTCATCCAAGAGATGGTATTATATACATATTAAAATATAGAAAACGATTATTGGTGTATTGTTAAACAAAATTCTAGAAATACATCCAAATTCATTAATTATGATGATCAAATTTTTCTTTAACATTTAAATACTGCTAGATATCTGAATGGTACTGATCAATAATCATATTCAAAATAAGGAAATTTAGTTTGTTGTACTGATTAAGTTCATTTATTTTATACATAAGGTAAATTTTGAATATTATTTTAGCTATTGATGATTTTATATTAGAAATGTATAAACCTTTTACAATAAAATTTAATAATTAGTTTTTGGCTCAAAGTAAATCAAAAGCAGAATGCAATATTGGATAATAATAAGAATGTATATGTGTTGAGAATCAGACTCAAACCTGTCTATGGGTTATAGAATAAATGATTTGAAATTGTTTTAATTTTTGTCATAACTTTATAAATATTATTATTATTTTATGTAGCAAAAAGAAAATTTGATTTTATTATTGAACATTCATTTTGATCTTTTTTCATCATCTGAATAAAATACATCACAAAATTGATATGGTTATTTTTCTACCATTTATTCTTATTTCGATTTCTTTTTTGTTTATTTCTTCACTTAAGATGATTCCTATTCAGATTCATCATCATAATCAACAGTATTTCTATGATGGGTTGAAATCTGAACATAATGAACTTACAATCTCTCAGATATTTAACGATATGAGAAACCTAAAGAATTAAGATGTTCAACCAACTACCAAAACTCTTGTTTTTGATAAGTATAAGGTGAACTTCTTCTTCCTACAAGTTTCTATGGAGGAGGAGGATTTAAGTCTTTCTCAATAAATACTCGAAATATGGCATCAATATTTGTTTAAACTTTTTATTGAACAGCCTCAAATCATATATATTATTACTTAATCTTGAATTAATTTTTCAATCATCATTTATAATGAATTATACATTCTGAAAAAGTCCATAGGTTTGATATCATTAGTATTAACATTTTTTATATCAAATGGGAATTCTCCATTTTCAGGTTTAGGAATGAATAAGGGGCGGGTTTATTTTTTGCTCATAAAATTATTTTATTATCATTTAATTAAGATGTGGAAAGTTTTCAACTAAATGTAATTTTAGTGCATAAATCGTAAGATATTTAAGAAGTCATTCAAAAATTATTACACTTCCACAGAATCTTTAATCCAAATACTTTAATTTAATTGTTATTTTTTATAATTTTTTAAAAATCCAAACCAAAATTTTATAAATGGAACTTCCAAGTCTATCTCAAACACGCTTAAGCTCAAAGAAACTTAGTTAAAAAATTAGAGTTGATAGATAAGGTCATCCAATTCTAAAAGGATATAAATTACATTAAGTAACATTCATAGATAATGTAAAATCTGGATAAAAAATTCATAAAATTCATATTGTTGATAGTTGGAAATAACATAATTTTAATGAATATTAATAAAAAAAGGACTAAAAATGTTGCCAAATAAGTTGATTATTACAATGAATTGATTAGCTTAAATTCTTATTATCTAAAACATATTTTTCAATAAAATATATTATAATTGAAGTATACCATTATTTCTAATTAAATTTAATTAATTCAAGTACTAGATAGAGAACAATAATTATTTCCTTTATTCAAAAAAACTGAATAAGAATTTACTATGCAAGATCTCTCTTGTATAAAGGTGGCACAAGATATCGTTGTACTATTACAAAAACTAAGATAAATTTAAAGAGATTAATTATCTTTTCTACAGAAATAAAATTGGTGAAGATGATTTTTTTAGATTTTATTATGAAATTAATTCAAGATGTTTATTTAAGAAGATATTAGGTCATATTGAACAAATAAATCTATTGATTGAATAGTATATTTATATAATATTGGGTAATTCGATTTTGTCAAAGAAAATGGATTCTGATCATATATATAAATATCTGAAAATTCTCAAAATCTCTGAAAATCAAATCTTCTAATAAGCTTGACTTTTAAAGATTCTGAAAAGTATGAAAAAATAGATATCAAAATATATATTCTCTATCATTTCCTTAACTATTATCCAAAATCCATTTATGTTATAACATTTAATCAATAGTAATTCTGTTTTCAGGTCTTTATTATAATCCTCTCTTAACAAAATCTTTGAGTGCAGGAGAGAATGTTGATGGTAAATCAAATTTATTCTATTAAAAATACGATTTAATTTACTTTTAATATATTTTCCATAATTGATTCATCATCTCTTGGATATTCTGAGAAAGGAGTANTAATTTTAGTGCATAAATCGTAAGATATTTAAGAAGTCATTCAAAAATTATTACACTTCCACAGAATCTTTAATCCAAATACTTTAATTTAATTGTTATTTTTTATAATTTTTTAAAAATCCAAACCAAAATTTTATAAATGGAACTTCCAAGTCTATCTCAAACACGCTTAAGCTCAAAGAAACTTAGTTAAAAAATTAGAGTTGATAGATAAGGTCATCCAATTCTAAAAGGATATAAATTACATTAAGTAACATTCATAGATAATGTAAAATCTGGATAAAAAATTCATAAAATTCATATTGTTGATAGTTGGAAATAACATAATTTTAATGAATATTAATAAAAAAAGGACTAAAAATGTTGCCAAATAAGTTGATTATTACAATGAATTGATTAGCTTAAATTCTTATTATCTAAAACATATTTTTCAATAAAATATATTATAATTGAAGTATACCATTATTTCTAATTAAATTTAATTAATTCAAGTACTAGATAGAGAACAATAATTATTTCCTTTATTCAAAAAAACTGAATAAGAATTTACTATGCAAGATCTCTCTTGTATAAAGGTGGCACAAGATATCGTTGTACTATTACAAAAACTAAGATAAATTTAAAGAGATTAATTATCTTTTCTACAGAAATAAAATTGGTGAAGATGATTTTTTTAGATTTTATTATGAAATTAATTCAAGATGTTTATTTAAGAAGATATTAGGTCATATTGAACAAATAAATCTATTGATTGAATAGTATATTTATATAATATTGGGTAATTCGATTTTGTCAAAGAAAATGGATTCTGATCATATATATAAATATCTGAAAATTCTCAAAATCTCTGAAAATCAAATCTTCTAATAAGCTTGACTTTTAAAGATTCTGAAAAGTATGAAAAAATAGATATCAAAATATATATTCTCTATCATTTCCTTAACTATTATCCAAAATCCATTTATGTTATAACATTTAATCAATAGTAATTCTGTTTTCAGGTCTTTATTATAATCCTCTCTTAACAAAATCTTTGAGTGCAGGAGAGAATGTTGATGGTAAATCAAATTTATTCTATTAAAAATACGATTTAATTTACTTTTAATATATTTTCCATAATTGATTCATCATCTCTTGGATATTCTGAGAAAGGAGTACTACCAGCAACAAGTTCATATGCTAGTATAGCAATTTACCATGCATCACATCTCTCATCATATCCTTAATCTTTAATTACTTCAGGAGCAATATAATCAACAGTTCCACAAAAAGTATTTCTTCTATCTTCTTAAGAAGGAATTTCTCTAACACATCCCAAATCGCAAAGTTTCACATAATTCTTTAAAAATATAATAATAAATTACTAAAGACAATAAGATATTTTCAGTTTTCAAATCTCTATGCATATAGCCTTGTTTATGCATATATTATATGGCTGATAATATTTACATAATAAAAGTGCTAGAATCTTTCTCATTAAATCTCTTGTTAGGTTATTTGTATTAATGTTAGAATAGTTCTCCATTATTGCAAAATTCTAACATCATATATACATGGGATTCATCATATGACTACCCATACATTTTAACAATATTTGGATGTGATAATTTAGATTGTATGATAATTTCTCTAGCCAATTATTCTTACATTGCATGTTCAATAACAGTTTATTTTTTAATAATTTTGAGTGCAAAGATCAATCCAGATCTTTAATCAATAGCCATATGAACATCACTAAATTTACCTCTTCCTAAAAATGAACTAATTTTAAGTTTTAATTTATTTTCTATTGAAGAATATAAACTTTAAGTCTATTTCTAGGATGGAAATTGAGATGTAATTTTTGGTTATAAAGTATAGGAATCTTAAGATTTTCGGATAATTGAATTATTTGTAAGTGTCACTATACTAGTATTATTGATGACAGTATTTTATATGGGATTAGCGACATATTTTAAATTTGTAAATGTGTTTTAGCTAAGACTTTTACTAAGTTCTTGTTTTGGCTAAATTTTGAATGGAGAATTGAGTTTACAATTAATATTAACTTTCTACAACTTTAACCTGGAAGAAAGACCAGCTGCAGTTGATGTAGATTCTTTAGACAAACGCTAATCTGGTAGTTTTTTGGTCAAATTCATACTAATACAATTTTTAAGTAAGACTAGATTATCTTAGAGCATTTTAGATTTATCAATTAACTTATTCCAATCTTTCTCCATTTATTCTCTCTATTTTTTTACATTAGGGGATGGTTAACGTAATGGTTATTGTTAATTACCTGGGTCTTCAATTGTGATGTTAAGATCTTTGGATATTTTACGAAAGGCAATGTTGGTTTGAGTAGATGGAACAATTTTCATTGTTGGACCATAGACAATTTAAGATGCAGGATATTAAAGAAATTGTTTGTTTTCTGAACCATCTCTAGATTATATTAGCTATGTTAACACTGAATTAAATACTTTATCTCTTTACGTTTATTATTAAGAGAAGTAAACAGCAGAATTTGTGCCAAATTGATTATGATATTTGATTTGGCTTTAATTAGGTTGAAACATTAAACAAATTATATTATTATATATATTATCTCAAATTGTCTAGATGATAAAATTGATATATTTGATAATGTATAATTGAAATTAATTAATATTTAATGAAAAGACCATCTACAGCTGGGATGCAAAAGCATAATTAATCACCTAAAGCTTTCAAATTGAATTCAAAATTATCAGAAGAAAATCTGCAATAGAAATAATTCTAATTATCTAAAACATTGTCTAAATTACAATTTGAATAAAGAAATCTTTAATAATAAATGCATTCAATAGAAGTACATTATTATATACATAAAATAGTAAGAGAAATAAAAGTCTAAAATTGTTTAAGATGAAAAATAGGGAAATTAGAGTTGGCTAGGAATAAAACTGAAAATCTAAATTAATTAGCTTAATTCACAAATTGAAGAAAAGCAAGGTCAAATTAAATAATTGTAAAAGAATCCTAATTTTACACGAGCATAAGAGTAAAATATTCTTATAGAATATCTCAATTATTGTTCATCATCATTAAAATAGGAATAAAATTTGATGCCAGATGAAGTTGAAGAGTTAAAAGTAGAAATCTAAGAATTAGAAATAACAAAGAAATTATTGGAAGAGTAAAGTGAAAATCTTTCAATTTAAAAAAGTTTACTTGAAAAAAAAATCTCATAACAATATTTAGAACTAGATCAAACTAAAAATGAACTTAAAGAGAAAGAAAGAGATCTTAGATATTTAAAAAAAGAAATGATTAAATTTGAAGAGAAATAAAAAGAAACATAATAAAATTAAAAAGTAACAATTAAGAAGAAGGAGATTATTGATATAGATGACAAAAAGGCTGAAATAATAGAGAAAGATCAATAAATAAGTTAATAAGAATAGATAATTAATTAATTAAAGGAAAAGTTGTAAGAAAGAACGAATTATGAATTGAGAAGCAAAAATGCATTGATTGATGAATTATAAGCATTAAATTAGTAAGTATAATAGATGAGAGATGAATTGAAAGAATTAAATGAATATTACTTGGCAGAAATCTAACCTTTAGAAACTGAATCTTTGCCTATAATATAGGGAAATAGAGATCACACATTTACAATTTTACATGATGTTTACAACAAACAAGAGAAAAAATTTCCAAAAGCACCAAGAGTTAGATATGAATAGGTTTAAGATATGGGAAAAGAATTGAGTTTAAGATTGCAATTAAAATAAATAACTGTAAATGAAGCATGTGCTATCTTAATTTAACCTGCAATCAATAATACCATTAATATTGAATAATTATAAGAGTAATTACTATAAGAACCATTTACAATGGCTGATCCTAATGAAGCTAAATTAATAGCCAGATATATTGTAGAAGATGTAAATGATGAAATTGTTAGTTTGGATCCTTAAGCTTCTATTAAATTGCCAGTAGTAAAATCTGTTTTTAGACATTTACTTAATTGTTATGATTTATTGACTGCTGAATAAGATAAATAATTATGGGAAGAAGTGAGTGCTATTGTTAATAAGTATGAAACAGCTTTGAGAAGTTAATTTGATTTACTAAATAAATAATAACATGGATTTATGAAACCTAAGGATTTGTTTTTTTGTTTAGATTAATTATTTTTAGATCTAACTGATATTTAAAAGGAATATGTATTATTAAGACTATTTGCATATACAAATAATATCAATAAGATTATGCACATGAAAATTTTTGATGTGTTTAAATCTGGATCCTACATTGATAGGGTTTCAAAGGATAGTAGAAAGAAAAAGAAACAAAGGTAAACTGCTAAGAAAATTGAAATTCAGAAGTAAGATATTGATGATTTTGATTGATGATTATGATAATAATATATAATTTTTAATAAATGGATGAAGCAGTTGTGAGGAAATAGAAGAAATTGACTGTAGGAATGGTTATTGCAGGCAAATATAAATTATTAGAAATGATTGGTGCAGGTTCATTTGGAATGGTGTTTAAGTCTTAGTATTTAAAAAATGGAGATTTAGTAGCAGCAAAATTTGAAAAACGAGACGATTCCCAAAAAGGAGTCAGTCTTCTTATTAGAGAAATTAAGGTTCTGTCTGAAGTTAATGGATTGAAAGGTTAGATTAACTCTTATGCTATAAAAAGGTTTTCCCCAAATCAAGTTCTATGGAAGGGATGAAAATTATAATTTCTTTATGGAAACTTACTTAGGTTTAAATTTAGAGTAATTGCTAAGAAAATGTGGGAACAGATTCTCTATTCATACAACATTGAGAATAGGTATTTAAATCATTGAAAGATTGTATGTATCTTGATTGGTATAATTAGGTAAGCGTTTCATGAGAAGAATCTCATTCATAGGGATATTAAACCAGAAAATTTTACAATTAGCAGATAAGATACTACTTAAATTATGGCTATTGATTTTGGTTTAGCTAAATACTATAGAGACACAGCAGGCAAACATATTCCATTTGTAAATAACAAGGGTTTGATTGGAACAGCCAGATATGCAAGCATTAATGCTTAATTAGGTTTGTTTCTTATATGATAAGGCAACGAGTAGAGTAGAAGAGATGATATTGAAGCCATTGCATACGTTCTTATATATTTTCATCTTGGAGAATTACCTTGGTAAAATATTCAAGTTGCTTCTAAGGAAGAAAAATACAAATAAATTTTAATACTCAAATAAAATAATGAATTGGATAAATACAGTGATAAAATTCCTTAAGTAAAATATCCTTTATTCTTAGTGTTTAATGAAGATGCTTAAAATTGCAAAGTCTTATGAATTTAGTCAAACTCCTGATTACATGGGCTTGACTAAATTATTATAAGATGAATTAACTATTGATGCAAAAATGGATTGGGAATCTTTATTAGAAACCACTAATGATAAAATGAGTGTATCTATTGATATGATTGAAAATGATAATTAGTTTGATGAGATGCAGGATGATAAATAATAATAAGAAGTTTTAAATTCCATGAAAAAAATAGCTTAACAAGAAACTAAATTTATTAATGGTAGATTAAATAATAGTCGAAATCATATAATGTATTTAGAAGTTCCAAAGAATAGCATTGTTTTAAATGATGCTTAGAGCCCTGCTGGAACTATTAAATCATTTAACACTTCCAAGGTTAATCATTATTGTGGAAGTCACATCAATTTCAACACATAAAAATAATTTAGCGATTTAAGAGTTAAGTCATGTGAAAACTTTTAATATAATGATGAAGATAATTATGAGGCAGATTCTGACGATTAGCCTTGTATACTATTTCAAAATTTAGTTGTTGGTCGTTCTTCTTCCAAAATGTGAATTGATATATATATTTATCATAAGATTAATATATATTGTAGTGTATATATTGAAATTGTTCTCAACAATTTAAAAATTATTTATAAAATAATAAATATCAATAATAATATTATTGTGTAATTATTGTAAATAAATCAAAATTTTATATCTCATAAAAAATAAATATCTTTAGTTTTTTGAGTCTTTTTTATTTAAATTATATAGGTATTTATCTTAAAATTGTATGTAGATTAATATTATTATATACATCAACAGCAACTTTTGATTTCATCATTTTTTTTATCAGATTTTTCTTAAGGTTGATGAAGCTTCTTTACGCTTAAATCAGCTTAATTGAGAGCAGGTAACTTAGCTTCATTGTTGACACTTCCATTAATATGATTCAAGAAAACTAATTTAGCTGTTTCAGCAAATGCCTAAAAATATTTGTATTTTATACCTCATCCACATTTTCCCTTGTTTTGGAGGATGTTTCAAAAAAAAGAGCAAGGCCATTTGTTTCCATCCAGTATTTACCTTCTTCATAAGATACTTCTCGTCTATAGCTAATAAGAATAAAAATACTCAGATTCTCTATCATTTTAAGCGCCTACTAAAACAGTAATAATAGATGGTGAGGAATGATCCCTTACTTCTTTTAACCATGAATTGAGTCTTTCAAGGGATTGTTTACTATAGAATTCAAAATGTATATATTACTTAGCGACACTATAGACTAAGAAAACAGCAGCAACCTTTCTATAAAATGATCTGACTACTGATCGAAAAGACTCTTAACCAGCAGTATCCCAAATTTACAGTTTTACGTTTGTATTTTCATCAATTTTTACAATTTTAGATAGGAATTCTACTCCAATCGTCACATTGTATTCATTTGTAAAATCATTCTTCACATATCTCATCAATAGACATGACTTTCCAACACCTTAGAATAGTTGATTAGTGATCTTTACCTGCATCTCCAATAATGATAATTTTGAACAAAGGTGATTTATCAGGTGTACTCATTTATAAATTTTATTAATAAATATCAAAAATAGAAAAGTATATAGAGTTTTAATTAAAGCTTGTATATAGTGAATAGCTGTATATTGCTTATTAAATTAAAAGATGATTGAATTAATAATTAATAATAAAGACATTAGGATTTCCATTTTTAAGGTCATTAATTCTTGAATTTGCTAGAGATTTATTGTCTACTTAATTAATAAAGAGTTTAAAGTTTATCAATATAATAAAGAATTCAAACCCCAACATTTTGATATTGAAAATCATTATTGGATATTCAATAATATAAGCTTTTTAAATACTTTTAAATCAGTTTTAAAAATAAGAAACATGGAAGAGAATAAATTTGATAAATAAATTCTAAAAAGTGCAAATGTTGATTGGTTTAAAGGAAAATGTTGAGATGAATTATCTATGTTGGAAAATATGTAATCATTATTCTTTAATGTGATATTATGATTCTTTTTATAGTACATGTAATAGAGTTTTAAGGCTCTCTACAATCTTATTTTTAGTATGCTCAGTTTCTTATATTGTCTTTTCTAGTTCTCTTTTTTCAGTAGCTGTTCTCATGACTGTTTCTAGATTAATTAATTATATTAATTGAATACCATTAACTCGATCTAGTCTTTCTGAAAGAATCTCCAATTCTTTCTCAATTCTACGTCTTTCTTCTTCTTCTTCATAAATTTCACTCTTAAGTTCTTCCTTTTTCTCTCTTAAATCCTCCAATGTTCCAATAAGTTCTGCAACTAAGTTTTGATAATTAGACATATAAGAATTTGAATTTATATAAAGTTATATATAAAGAAATAGTTAGATATATAAATAAATTTATGTATATTGCCCTTATATTTATTGGAATAGTAAAAGTGATAGCAGACAATTTTGGATTCATTGTTCAATCAGGAGAGCAACAATGTCTTTAGGATCAATTATTGAAAGGATAAATGATGGCATTATAGATTATTGCTAACTCGACTGAATTCGAGTTCACAGTGGAGGTACTCACTTGATTAGCAATCGTGAAAGCAAGGCCAAAAGGACCCCTAGTAGATTGAGTCACGAAAAAATGAGATCCTCATTAAGTACACATTGACTATGTTGAGCAATGAATATCTGAAATATTGCTTTAGAGTTTTTGGATCGAAAAACGCAAAGTTTGACATCACTTATAAGAAGGGAGATGAAACTGTAGATAGAGAGTAAATGGCCAACAAAGAAGATCTAGATTTGATTGATGGGTATTTAAAATAGTTGGATCGTGTTTTTGGGTAGATGAAAGATTTGAATAGATTCTAAAAGGGTTCATAAGAAAACAATTAAGGGCTTGGAGAAACTTTAGGATTGTAGATGACAACATTTACAATGTTAACTTTATTAACTCTATGTATATCGACATATGTGTTAGTAAAACAAATCAAAGTTACAATAAGAAAATAAAAAGAAAAATGATATATTTAAAAATAAGTATGCTCCTGTTATTTATTTTCTTAATCGAAATCAAATTTTGTGAGTTGGTACAAAAATGTGATGTTTCTGAAGTTTGTGAAACAATGTAACATCCTATTGATGCTAAGTTACATTTTACTATCCACTCACATTTAGAACCCTTTTAATCTTTCACCTTCCATTAGTATCAAGAAGGAATTTATAGTGAAAAGTATTCTAAGACCATTTGTGTAGATTGTCTTTATGAATAAGTAATAGAGACACTAGTGAAATATCCAGATTTTACATATGTGATAGGGGAGATATGTTATTTCAGAGAGTTTTATGAAAAATAAAATGAAACCCAGCAAAACATTATCAAGAACTTTATACAATAAGGTAGAATAGAAATAGTTAATGGAGGATGGGTATAAAATGATTAATCAAGTTCAAACTATCAAGATATCATTTTACAATTACAAGTTGGCCATTAATGGGTTCATCAAAAATTTGATTAAATAATCTAGACTGCTTGGAATATTGATTCATTCGGACATTCATATACTTAGAGTGCACTCAATTATCTATTTAATATGAAATAACAAATTATAGAAAGAGTTGATGTTAACGATATTATATAAAGAGTAAAGAAGGGGAAATTAGAATTTATTCAACATATTCAACCCTATGATTATCAAATTCTAACACATTTAAGGTTTAAAAGACATTCTTAAGTTCACATTAATTAATCGAAACTAAGTGATAATTCTTAATGTATTCAGCTCTATAATTAACTAAAGGAATTTGAATAATTAATATATTACTAAAAACAAGGAGGTCTTGGTAACATATTATTTCATTATAGCGGTGATACATTCTAATTGATTAATGAAACTAATATTGAATCTTAGAATTTGATTATGGAATTCTATGAATTATTTCAATGTCGAAAATTATAAATACTATGGTCTACTCCTAATTAATTTTTTGATGATTTGAAATCTTCCTAATCATTTACATAGATTTCACATAAGTATTCTGATTTCCTTCCACACTTTGAAGATGGAGTTTATTACAATGCCATGTATATAACTCATCCATTATTCAAAAAATTTCTTAGAGTTGTCTCTTATCAATTATAAGCAATAAATCTTTATACAATCTAACATAAATTATTTTCGATTTCTTATTAAAAATTAACAGAATTAATTGCATTATCATAACATCATCATGGGATATCAGCTACAGCTAGATATTAGGTAATAGATGATTTATAAGAATAAATTGAGAATTCATTTGAAGAATTAAAATAAAAAATTAATAATTTTTCACATAGTAAGTTTGAATTGATAGGGTAGTTAAAACATACTTATAAACAAACAAAAAGAATTATTTTGGATTGTTCCTAAAACTCTAAATGTGTATTGGAATATTTCATTAAAAATCGAAGATTAAAATCTGTTATTGTTTTAATATATAATCCTTAGCACAGTTAAACAAAAATAATTGAATTAGAAATTCCCTCAAGAAATGCTCAAATCTTAACTTAAGATCTAATTTTAATTCCAGATTAATAAGTCAAAGTTAATAATGAGTCAAATATTTTGACATTTTAAACATATTTTTATGGATATAGTGAATAATAATTTGTTTTAAATTTTGATTGTTCAATAGATTGTGCTTTTGTCAATGAATTTTAATTGCATTTAGATTTAAGTGAATAAATTAAATTACTAGAAAAACAATTTTCACTAGGTGAGCCAATAGAAACAATAAGTTGGACAGAAATTATTTAAAATGTAACATTAGAAATATAGAGATAAGGTATTGATTATGAATTCATATTCACTCACTTAAATCATTCATTTTCTATTAAATACAATTACTATCCAAATACAAAATCACAAACTGATAAACATTCAGCAAAAACTCCTGGAAAATCAGTACTTATGAGCGATTTTAATAATGGAGGACTAATATGTGAATTTGAAAAGATGTATACATTAAAATCTACAAGTATTTTCTAAGAAATAATCCTTTAATGTGGTAAAATCTATACACTCAGCCTTCTTTTCACTGAAGATGGAATAGAATTAAGAACTTAAATGTATGCAAATACTCTTACTATGGGTGATTATACAATGATGATTACATTCTAAAATATTACTTAAGATTCTCATTTTTATACTGATTCTAATGGTTTGTATCCAATTTAGAGAGAAAGTTTCAAAAGAGAAGATTATGAACCAATATGTTCAGAAAATGATTAAATAAATTGCAATGTATATCCAATTACAGCATATGCATTATTATAATCAAATAATTATATTGCTGCTATTCTTACAGATAGATCTTAAGGTGTTTTTAATTTAAATCCTTAAACCATCGAAATTATTGTAGAACATTTAGCTGGTGATGATGGACTTGGAGAAGCTTGTGCTAAGCGAAATAATCATTAATTTAGGCATTTCATTTAATTTAATCCTTAATGTTTAAGATGCAAATGGAATGAATTTTTATTTACAAGTGATTTTATACGTTTAAGTAATGAATTCTCTTCCTTTCCATATAAATAAATTATTCATTCCAGATAATTAAGATTGTAATTTTAGAGAACTAATTTTGATCAAATTCTACTTTATGCAGAAAATCTACTTGAAGTTTTTGATAATACTTCATTAACTAATAATATGATATCAATAAACTCAACTTTGATTGAAGATATTTTATCCATCCAAAACATTACTTTGTAAGAAACATATTTAAATGGAATTCCTTCGAATTAAAAACAATCTACTTTAGAACTCCTACCTCTAGAAATAAGAACATATATTGTGAATTAGTGATTTTTATTCAGGTTGTCTATACAAAATTTGTTAATTCTATTTACTGTTTAAGTTTTATACATATAAAAAATCAAAATTTTTTTAATTTCATTTTTGTCCCTCTTTTTGTAATTTTTCTCTCTATTTTTTTTTATCAAGTATCACTTTCAATAAAGCTCCAACAATTAATAAGGATCCAAGAACACTTAAAAATGAAATATGAGCTCCACTAATAATATCAAATATATATCCATATAAAATTTATGTTTAACCTAACATAGACATTTCTGTTAGATCTCCTTTCATATATGCTCGATTAAGAAATATTTATTGTAGATAAGACACTAAACCAACTGATAATAATAAAATAGTTTCAATTAAAGAAGGATATCTCCAAATGAAGTTAGGTTCAATGATACAAACTATTGAAGAAATTATTAAAGAAGTTACTCCAAAATATTGTGGTATTACTAATTAATTGACCTAATTAATTAAAATGATTACTTTATTAGATAAATTATTGATCAATACTTATACAAGTGAAAAGAAGAATGCAGAAAATAATAATAGAATGCATCCAAAAAGTTGTGTTTCGGAATTTTTGATAGTACTTATGTTTTAACCAAGAATTTATTATAAAAAAGGTGGTTGAGTGATCAAAATTATTCCTAAAAAGCACAATATCAAATTAGCAAATAATTTATAAGACAAAATCTCAGTTTTTAAATAAAATATAGCTATTAATGTTGTCCAAAATGGTGATGTTTATAAAAGCACCTAAGCTTCAGCTATATTCACATATTTAAGGCTTGTATAAAATAAGAGTGTTGCAAAACAACCAATAATGCTTCTTTAAAAAAGCTTCATATAAACATCTCTTGAAAATCCGTAGAGCTTCACTTTCGAACTATTTGCAATCACTGAACCCAATAAACACCATACAATTCCTCTAGTATATACAATTTAATTTGCATTCATTCCAACTGTTTTACCCAATAAGGAATTTATTGAAATAAGAAATGTTCCTATTAAAATATAAATAATTGGTGCAGCCCTTATCCATTTATCTTCTATCATCTTAGCACATGATTAAGTTTTAAGAATAATTAATTCCATTTTTAAAAACTTAATTCTGAATAATAATTAAGAATATTATTTAAAATTTCATTTTCATAAATAACTCTAAAGTATTAATTTCATTCCATACTTCTTTTTTTTTTGTTTGAATTTGCTTTTCTTGAAGAAATATTTCAAATAATACTCATTCTTTATTAGTAGATATTTTTAATAAAAATAGTATGTCAATATTTCTAATTGTTAAGGTATTATAATATCAGCAAATTACCATTTGATAATTTTATATATATTATTAAAAGTATATATTCCCAAATTCCAATAAATAAGGATTAATTTAAGAATTATTTATTTTTCAAGAAATCATGGAAAACAGTATAAAAAATAGAATTGTACTTCAGTTAATTAGTAATATTTTAATACTAAAACAATTTTTTATATTGTCAAATAATTCTGTGCATAAAATAATATATATACTAATATTGACACAAAACAAGTAAGTCTTGGCAATCAAAATAATTAAAGGTGAAATCTAAATACCAGATAATAAAATACGATATTGCGAACTATTTAATTAAATTAATTTATTTTATATGAGCTCTGATTATGAAAGCGATTCCGAACATCTAGAGTTTGTCTCAAACTTTTTTAATCTCATTTAAGCTATTAATAATTGTATTCTTTATTAATCATTTCAAAGATTGGAAACTTAAGGCATAGCGAAATAGAACTGCTAAATTCATAAAAAATACCAAAGCGCGAAGAAGTAATAATTGTAAAACTATTTATTTTTAGAAGCTGGATAAATAAATTTTAAAATGCCATAAAGCCTTGATTAAAATTTATCAGAAATAGTTTCCTTTAATAAAAACTAAGCAGAGAAATTAGTTAAGCCAATGAGAAATTAAACAAAAAATTTAGAGAATTCATAAGTTGAGCCTTTCATTTGCAACGTTCATTAAATACTAAGGTAAATAACCTATGAATTAATTAAGAGATATCATGTTGAAATAATAGATCTTAAGGAATATTTAAAAATAAGTTTATTTGAATTTAATTGATTAACACAATAAAAAGCCATCTAATTTGTAACTTAGAACAAGCTGTTTACATGTGTAAATTAAGTTAATATTATCCTTTCTAGATATTTGGCAGAAAAAATTTATGCTGATAAAATAAAAGATGTTGCAATTAATAAAACTACTCATGAAACTCCAAAAATTGTAATCCCCTTATTGAAAAATATAATACAAACTAGAAAAGGAAGCATGGATTGAATATAAAATTTTGGTTTACTTCTTCTTTTAAATTAGTTTTAAGAATAAAAATAAATCTGTTTAAATTGTTAAATTTAAATTTAATAAAGTAAGAAAATAATATTAGAGTTCCAAAAACAAATTCACCTTTCTATACTACTCGCAATCTGTGAATATTCTATTCAAATGATTTTTATTGATGTTCTTATCATAGAATAGATGAATTTACTAAAAAATTATACTTTTCAATTTTTAAAAGTTGAATTTCAAATTTCCTTGCCATAATTATTGTCTCTTTTCTATTTTAAAAATTAATTTATTAGTAGTGAAAATATTTTAAGTAAATCACAAAATAAATTCACAATCATTTTTTTATTTATATCTTTATAAATTCATCTATGAAATAAAATTGAAATTCTGATTATTATATCATCTAATCTAAAAAATCCAAATAATTTTAACTTAATTATTATTTGAATATAATTTTTATTGAAATCAATAAAAAAGTTGAAATAAAAAAAGAATCTTTGTTATATAAAATAAAAAATTTAATGATTCAATGATTCAAGTGCTTATATTATTTTCTATATATATTCAAAAAATCTAATGAATCTAAATAATAGAATGAGTTTTTATAGATTTATAATATATAAAAAAATAAGTTATTTTCTCTAAATTATGGATGAATTATACTATATAAGGATATATTTTATACTCAATAAAAATTTTTTGATTAGATAAGCTACTAAATTAATTTAAATAATAAAAGTGCTAATTAATCTGATAAATATTTTGATAATTCAATTTCTTATTCAAAAGAATTTTGGCATATAAAAAATAAGAGAAGAATAAATATGGATTTATTTTTGAAGAAAATTATAAAATTGGAATAAATATTAGTATAACTTAATCAAATTAAAAATGTTCGTTGATTTTATTTGATAAAACTTGTAAATGTTATTCAATATGAATGGATGATAATTTCTTTAGTTTTAAAAGTGTTACTAATAAATATGTCAGATAAATCATATTTATTTTATTTCATATGCTTGTAAATAAATTTATAAGCTTGATTTTATATTTTTGCTCCGATTTTCTTGGGAAAATGAATAAGATATATTAAATTTTGAATAGTTTACTAATGAATCGAATAAATTTTTATCTTGGATAACTGTGAACATTCAATTTGAAGTATAAAGAGGCTTAATAATAAAGATTTATTTGAAACATTTATTGAGCTTAAATGGGATTTGTTTATGAATTGATTAAGTTTGATAATAATTATTATAAAATTGATTTCAGCAGCCTATTTATATCTATATATATTAAATTTCTAATTAACATGTTCAATAAATAGCCTTTCTATTTACAAACATCTAGATTTTAAAGATAATAATAAAGAGCTAATATGTTGCCTTCTGTAGCTCAATATTTATAGAAGGTAAAAACTCCAGAAAAAAACAATCCAAAATAGAAGGAATCTCCATAGTATAGAATTAAAAGCAATCCAAAAATTATTCCTTAAAGATAAGCATCATCATCAAGTCCAAGCAAAGAAAAGCCAAAACTTAAATAAAGTTCATTTCATTCTTAACAAAGTAAGTAAAAAAGAAAACTTTAAGAAATGGTTAATGATTCTTAAGTTATCTCAAGAATATAAAAAACAGAAACAGCCTTAGAAAATTAAGTTTTAAGTCAAAAAAAAAATGTTTTATAGGAATCTTAAGAAATAATGTTAAAATTACAAAAAAATGCAGCAGTTAGAAGAGTTAAAACTGAAGAATGCGACAGAGAAGATAATTTGAATTCAATTAGAGGAACAGTATAAAGGAATAATAAAAATTTTAAATTTGAAAATGAAAACCTCTTAGATTTATTATTGCTCTCTACAATTGAATTAAAACATCACTTTGAATAAACTAGAACAACAAGATAAATTATGCCAACAAAAGCTAAAGTGGCAAGATTGAGTATCAAATAATTTCCAAAAGATTTCTTTTGATGATATACTTCTTTTTTTCATAATATTCGAATAAATTATATTAAATCATATTTTTTCAAGTTCTTTAATGAAATCTGATATAATTTTTTGAAACTAAATATTATTTTCATCCTTTTTAATACTCTTAATTTTCGCAATATATATAGTCAATAAATTCTTAATTAAAACTATCTTTTACTTAGCATTTTCTATAATATTTTTCAATTACATTTAGGGTATTTAAAGATTGATTTGATATTCAAGAATGATATTATTTTCATTGCTTTTTTATTTTTTTTCAAACAAATCAAAAAAATAAAATACCTCATCATCTTTTCTAACTAGTTTATTAAGTTGTTAAGAATTTTTCATTTCTCCTAAAAATGAAAAAAAGCAGAAATTATCTAAACTACTCATAATAAAGTTCAAAAGATATATTTATATATCCAGATCTTTAATGAATATTTGAGTGTAAAGCCGTAGGAATAATTATTAATGAAATGATTTAAGTATAATCTTAAAAAAATCATCTTAAAATATTAATATCCATTCATCTAATTATGCTGATTATTTTGATGGTAATTTTTGAGTTGTGGTTTTTTAATGTTCTTCAATATTATCTTTAGTCTCTATGTTTTGTTATTCTAAAGAAATAAGGTTTGTTTATAAATTCATTTATTCTGTATTTTGATTGTTCATTGAGAATTTTAAATATTATATAAATAAATTAGCAAATATTTTTTTTCAAACATTAATGATAATTTTCTTTTTAGCTAATTCAGCCTTATACTTATCTGGGATAGCTTTTTCATTAAGATCCTTGAGCTTATTATCTTTAATACTCTCTAAAAGTCTTCTCTCTAAATTTAATTTATCTTTGATCTTTTTTCCTTCTTCAAGTCTATAATAAATTAAATTAAATTACTTATCCCTTTCTTCCTATTTCTTTTTCTCTTCATTTTAAATTATTTATTTTCTAAGTTCTTCTGCATGTTTTTTTCTTAATGCTTCTTTATCTTATAAAATTTTCATCTCGTTTTCTCTTTCTTATTTTTATTTTTAAATGACCCTTTAGAATTCATCTCTTTCCAATTTAGCCTATTAATTATAATATTGAAATTACTTATTCTTAATATCTTTCCATCTTTTCTTTTTACTATAATTTTCTTGCTTCCATAACTTCATAATTTAATTTCATTTTTTATTCTAATTCTTTTCTTTCTTTTTCTCTTGCTTATCTTTCATTTTATTCCATTTATCTTTTAGCTCTTAAAAGATCTAATTCAGCTGCTCTATCTTATGCCTTTTCTTACATTTCTCTTAATCTTTAAACTTCTCTTTCTTTTTCTTCTTTAATCCTTTTTTATTCTTCTAAAAGTTCAGCTTCCTTTTAAGTTTTTTATAAATTATATTATAATATTTTTTCTTCTTCATCTCTTTCTTCTTAAATTCTTTTTTCTTTAATCAATATTGCCTTATGATTAGCTTCTAGAATTTCATCTTACACTTTAGATTAGTGAAGTTTTCTTTACTGAATCTTCTATGCTTCATCTTATTATAATTATTTAATCTATTTAAGCATAATCTATCCTTCTCTTTCTTATTCTTCTTTCTCTTTTAATCTTATTAATTCTCTTTCTTTAATTTATTCAATTATGATTTCATGTCCAAGTTTCAATTATTATTTTTATTTCTAATCTTTTTCTTCATGATATTTAATTGCTCTAAGTCTCTCTATTTCCATCATTAAATCTTTACGCTTCTCTTACATTTTATATTGATCAAATAATTCTTTTTTTTCTTACAATTATTTATCTCTGATTGTTACACATTTTGCATACATTACCATTTTATTCATCTCTTTAACATCATCTATCTATTCATTCATAATCTCCTATGCCTAAATATCATTATTATTAATATAACTCTTGAAATTAATGAATCTTTTGCAAATTTATCTTCTTGTTCTTATTAACTTAATGGAACTGATTTTTTCTTCTCTTCTTCAATCTATAACATTCTTTATTTCTTAGCTTAAGCTTCAGCCAACTATTTCTCTTTCTATTCTTCTAATAACTTTTTATGTTGTAATTACTCCTCTTTTGTTGTTATAACTGAAAGATTCTATTATCAATTTCATATACATACCTTTATTCTCTATAATTCAGATCCTGTCAATATTATCATGTCAGATTATGCTAAATCTTCTTTAAAATAACTTTTTGTCATTTTCTATCGCTTCGATTAAACTTTGGATGTACCAACACTCTATTTGGTGGATAACTCAAAATTCTTATTACTGTATTACCATTAGAAGGTTGTTATATGAATTTTACTTAAAAAAATAAAAATTAATATTTTAATGGACAAGCAGATACGTTTAAATTAGGAACAGATCTTGTAATGCATTAGAAATCATAGAGATTTAAATGAAATCTTATCAAAATAAAAAGATCATAGTTCATAAGAGTTATTTGATGAAATTGAGAGAGTTACTAATAACATGTCAAATGAAAGCAAAGAAAGTTAAGAAAGCAAGTCAAATAGTGATACAATAGATAGAGCTATTAAAATGTTTGCAGGTAAAATAAATTTTATAGTTAAATTCTCTAGAACCTAAAGTGATACTTTATAAGAAAGAAAATAGTCTAGCCTCTGATCAAATAATGGAATAGATCTCTTAAGTATTCAACAACAAATCTTTTGATTAAAAAGTGAACTCAAATCTTTCGACTGAGATTTCTAATGAACCTTGTTTATAATTAGGTTCATCTCGTCAATCATTATTGACTAGTGGTTCAGAAACAGAAAGGAGAAAAAGAAAGACCATCTCACAAGAAGAATCTCATTATTTTGTTGTCAAAATCGAAGATGTCATTAATTATTAAGATGAACGAACTACAATCATGATCAAAAACATACCTAATAAATATACAGTCTAAATGTTACAAGATTTAATTGACCTATAACATCATGATTCCTATGATTTTTTATATCTCCCTATAGATTTTAAGGTAAACCAACAAATATTCTAAATTTAGAATAAATGTAATATGGGTTATGCATTCATTAATTTCATCCATCCCCATTATATTGTTCAATTTTACAAAGAATTTCATGATAATGGCTGGCCACATTTTAATAGTGAAAAAGTAATCCTTTTTTCAAATCAATATTTTATTTTAGATATGTGAATTAAGATATGCCAGAATCCAAGGTCGTCAAGCTTTAGTTTAACACTTTTAATTCTCAAGTGTTATGAATCAAAAAGTATGCCTTTATCATATTTTTAGGATAAAAAATTAAAGCCAGTAATTGTGCCATAAAGTGAATTATCCAGAATTCATTAATTAATTTAAGTAAATCATAAAGTTAATTTTTAAGCGACAAAAGTAATGAAATAAATGAAATAATTTTTAACATTTTTTTGGTGTTTTATGCATTTTAATTTATAAACTTCCCCATATAAACTAATTTTTTAAATTCTAATTCCACTTTAAGAATCTTTAAATTTTATAAGACATAGAAATTAATTTGAATAGAAAATAAATAATTCTTAAATAAATGAGATATTTTTAAAATAATTACTATAAAGTCATTTTTTCTTTGGTTATTATTTTAAACCTCCTTCTGGATTAATAATGACTTCAATTTCTATTGGAACAAAATCACCTATGGAATTAGTTGATTTATTAGAAATAACTAATTATATAAGTTAATAAATACCATAAAAATATTTTCCAGGAGGGAAATCCTCAGGATATTCTAAATTTTCAATTCTGACCATACCTTCCTTTGTTTCAACAATTAAAGGTTCATAATCACCTTCAACATATAATTTGACAGATAAATCTATTTGATCTGGTTCAGGTTGTTTTTTAGCTTATTTTTTTGCATCTTTCTTTTTAATAGGTTATTGAGCTTATTATTCTTCTAATTATTTTTAAGCTTCTATTTCTGCTTTTAAACGTGCAACTTCCTCTCTTCTTAAAGCTAATTTTTCTCTGTAATCAATTCTAAAAAGCTTATCACCTTATTCGGTTTTTTAAACTTTAATAATATTTATAAATTACTCATTTTTAATTCTAAAATTCTTCCTGATTCTTATTTAATTTAAACAGGAGGAGCAGGTATCATTCTCTTTGCTCCAAAATCAGGCATAGGAGGTGGATTTTTTTATTTTTTAGCTTCTTTTTACCAATTTTTAACCATTTCATCAATTTCTTATTAAGATGGTTAGACAGGATCTTCTATATCAGGTCCTTAATAAACTAAATAAAGTTCAAAATTATTAGTTTTTCCTGACTTTAATTCATGAACCAAAACTTATGTCAAATCAATAACTGGTTCTCCTTTTTTTGCTTTTGGGTCGATAGGTTCTTCTGGTTGAGGATCTAATTTAAAATTAAGTTTATTTGTTTGCACAAAAATATATAAATATAATACATGTGGGATTATCTTAAAAGAATTCTCCAGCATAGTAATATGGATTTTCACCTTTTTTGACTAAAATTCCTTATCCATGTTTTTTATCATCTAAAAATTCTCCTTCATAATCTTCAATTTGACTTTCATATTTTCCTTTTCCAGATCTTTTACCTTTATCAAATTCACCTATATAATTATATTCTTCTGAATAATAATTGCAATGTCCATGAGGTTTATGTTAAAGAAAAGTTCCTTCAATTCTATATGTAGGTGTTTACAAGATTCCAGTTCCCTACATGCAGTTTAAGTACCATTATCCTTCATATGTCATAGCTGGTGATGAAAATACACCTTATCCATTTTTCTCTCCTTAATGAAACTCCCCTACATACATTGATCCATTTGCATAATGAAATTCTCCATGACCTTAGATTTCTCCTTATTCAAAATTGCCTTAATAGTAGCTGCCATCTTTCATTTTTAAAATCCCTTAACCTTCCTTAACTCCATTCACCCATTATCCTTCATAAGTAAAAAAGGAGTTTTCATAAATATATGTTCCAAATCCATGCCTGACTTTATTGAGGGCTTAATATTCTCCTTTGTATCTCTATTGTATAATTTAAATAATTGTACATCTTTTTATGTTTAATTGGGGGATGCCATTCAAAATTAAAAATATATTTTAATAATGAAGAGAGAATAAACAATATAATTGTTTGTAAGTGATAACTAAGATGAAATTCAATTCTCATCTTATCCTTAAGGTCTTTTATAACCAACCCAATTAATAAAACCTTTTTAATAAGATGCTCTAGCCCATTTTCTTGATAATAGATGATATCTAAATATATGCCATATTCATGAAGATGAGTGGATAAAATTATTAATATTTAATTAAATTTTTTTATTCTAAAGTGCAACAAGTATCTTTATTTTTTGATTCCAGCTTCTTTGAATAATTATCTAATTATCATCATTTTTCTATTACTATAATCTTTGCTTTCTCACTTTTTCAATTTTTCATTAAAGACAAAATATAATTTTAAATTCCTTCATGTGTTTTTATTGATAAAGTTACCATCGTATATCTAACAAATGTAATGCTATTATTACTTTTTGCACACTTTACAAAATTTTATTTAAATGATTTTAATTTCAATTTTTTATAACTGTTTTTTGTTGATAGTTACTATTCTTATAATCAATGTATCATTTATCTTTTTAATTGTTTTAAATTTAATCTCAATCCTTCAAAATACTATTTATTATGATACAATTAAATTCATTTATATTAAAAATGAATTATTAAACAGATTAGTTTACAAATACCAAAGCCTAATTTTCAAAAATAACTGTAACCTAAGTTCTTGAACATCTACATAATTGTCGATTTCCTACAACTGAACCTGAAACGAATTAATTCATCCAAAATTATAAGGTAGTATAGCTACAATATTCAGTCAGCCTTTAATTATAGAGGATTACGAGGATTTGATAAATAGTCCCAATTTTACAATCATTTTTGAAAAACAAAACCTCTTTTACGGTATTGTAATAAATGGTAAGAAGAATGGACTTGGAGTTCAATTTAAAAATCAAAAAAGCATTTTTGAAGGTGTTTGGATAGATAATTAGAAAAATGGAAGAGGTATTGAGCTATTTTTTAATGGCTCTTACTATTTTGGATAGTA